CACAGCTAGGAAGCAGGGTCTTACACTTTGGAAAATAAAACCGGGATGGCACAGTGAGCCAGAAGACCGGTGGAGGCGGCCAAAACTCTAGACGCGTTTTGTGCTCCAGAGTCGCTACAGGACCCGAACCGAACATGTGACCCCACCAATAGATTCCACGTTCGGAGAGGAATCCATTGGTGGGGACGATCACGTTCGGTTCGAGTCCAATTTAGCGACTCTGAAACTAAAAACGCTTCAGGTATTATGTCTCGGTCTTTTGGCCACTGTGGACGGGGTCGCTGGTGACAGTATTCGAACCACGGACCTTACCGCCCGCCGGCGGACTCGCTAACCACTACGCCACGTAACGCGGCGGCCACAGCGGCGTCCTTGAAAGTCACCCTGCCGTCTGCCCCGTCTTCAGGGCCGGAATTTTAAAAATAGGAGACGTTAGGTAACGCTGCACGATTCGCTCGGCGATTCGCCGAGAGTTGCCTATCAATTAACGTACTCCCAGGAGACCTTTGACGATCATTATATAAGTTGACAAGGAATGCTCACGTGATCCGAAATGGTGTTTTGATTCCCGCTTATGTAAGTGCCGTTGCCAGGTCCAGGCCGGCCGGGCCGCTGGATGGGCGTTCCAGACTTCCAGCCTTCCAGCCGCACTTTCTGCAAGGTCGTGTCACAGCCGAAACAAAAACTCGATTCGTTTTCATTAAAATTCAGAGGGACGACTTGTCGCCGATGGGTATGTCGTTAGTCGCGTGGACCAGCTTTACGTTTTGGTGTGCGACACGGAGTGCCAGGAAGAAGCTCGACTTTTTTTTTCTTCTAAATTTCGATTTCCTGGGACAATTTTTTTTTTCAAAAAAATGGTGAGCAGCTAAAAAAAGTGTTTGAAAAAAATCAGAGTGGGTGTTTTTTCCTTTCTGCTGTTGGTTCCGCTCCTGAAATTCTTTCCTGATTTATTTCCCCAGCCTTCCCTGCCGTCGCACCGTTGCGACCGGCTGGCTCTCGTTTGACTTATTTGCCCGCCTGGCTCGGCCCGGCTCGGCCTAGCCGCATGGTGGCCGAGACCTAGGCCTTGTGCGTGGCTCTAGCCTGCTAGCCTGCTCTAGCCTGAGCCTTATGTAACCCTACCTGTTGGCTCTGACCGGGCCAGTAGACTCATTCCGAGAGTCGTCGCTCTGTCTCTCTCCCACTCATTGGGGCGCTCCTTATGGGTGCGAGCGAGACAGAGCGACGAAAAAGACTCTCGGAGTCAGTCTGCAGAGGACGCCCCGTGCCGTACAGGGCGTCGGCCACGCCGGGACGAAACAAGACCTAGTCGTCTTGTTGTTTAAAACAACAAAAATAAAAACAAATTAGAAAATACCAAAAAAATAGCGACGGTCGCTCTGTTTTTGTGGCGCCACACCGGAAAAAACAACGGCGGCTTCGGCGTCGGCCAAGGCTGCTCCGTGTGCGACAGCGCTGTCTTTGTCTGCCGCGCTGTTCTTGGAATATTAGTACCTTTCCCCGGTAAGCGCCGTCGCTCTGTCTCTCTCGCACACCGGTGGGACGCGCCGCGAGTGCGAGAGAGACAGAGCGACGAAGCTCTGCTGGCGTCACGGTCCGCTTGCAGGCGGACTTCCCTGTGAGAGCGGCTGCCGTGTGCGTGCTTCGATTTATCGCCACCCTGGCCACGCCAAGCACTGTCGTCACCAACAGATGACCCGCTACCGCCACACTCGCTGTCCAGTCACCACTCGCACACGTCACGAGGGGGCTTGACACCGACCGGTGTCGCCTGGGCGTATGCACTGTGAGGTGTGGGAGAGAGAGAGAGAGAGAGAGAGAGAGAGAGAGAGAGAGAGAGAGAGAGAGAGAGAGAGAGAGGCGCGGCATGGTGTGGGAGTGAGGCGGCGCGCGGCCGTCCACGCTACCCGCGGCAGTACAGCCGGCACGCTCTCGCACTTGTTGCACTTGTTTTTCGCGTTACGTGCTTTTTGCACAAAGATGCTGCACCACGTCCGGGGGCTGTCTGCATGTCTGCATCAATCACTGGCGAGTATGCGAGGGACGCCCTGCGAGTGCGAGAGAGACAGAGCGTCGCCCCAGACTCGGTGTCGCCTTGTCGCGGCGCGTCGCCGAGGCTAGATCACCGGGCGGCCATTCTCGGCCTCCTCGGCAAACGCGTGCCTGCGGACGGATTCCGAGAGTCGTCGCTCTGTCTCTCTCGCACTCATGCGGCGTGCCGTATAGGTGCGAGAGAGACAGAGCGACGAAAACGACCCTCGGAATCCGTCTGCTGGCGTGGTGTCTGCCGTCGGCCGCACTCCGCTTATCAGATGGAACGAAGCGACGACCCTGTCGATGCGCGTCGATACCCCGCGCTGTGAACGCGGGCGGCCCTCGCGCGGGGAGTAGCGTCGTCGCATTCTTCTTCGGTCTTTGCAGTGCTTTGCAGTGCTTTGCAGTGCCGCGTGCATGACGATCCGATGATTAGGGTTGCCCCTCGCCCCCGGCCCCGGCCCCGGCCACCCCGACGCGCTCACTGATTTCCGCCACCGCCGAGTGGCCCGCCTAGCTCAGGGGTCCCTTCCCTATCGATTGCGTCACTCGTGACGTGGGGGCAGTGCGGGGCAGTGCGGGGCAGCGCGGGGCACTGTAAGGAGAAGGGGAGGGGGAAGCAACAGCGCTCCAGCGGCGCGGAGGCTGGGCAGGCTGGGCAGCGGCAGCGGCAGCCGTCAGCCCGGCAGCCCGCCAGCGCACGGCGCTACTCTTGTCGGCTCAGTCCGTGCCGGGAGCTCCTCCACTGCGGACGACCAGTCAGACCGACAGTCAGACCGACAGCCACCAGCACCATGAACGGAACGTCGGCCACCACCAACGGGGACCACCACGCCGTGGTGCCCAAGAAGATCGTGCTGCCGCCCCAGCGCACCGTGTCCTGGTCCGAGGAGGTGGAGGGCGAGGAGATCGAGGTGCCCGGCACCCCCAGGACGCCCAGGACGTCGACGACGCCAGGTAAAGGCCGCCGCCAGGGAAGGCCGCCGGGCGTCGACGCCGTCCTCTGTTTCCGTGGCCACCGACTGGCCATGGCCACTACACTGTCGGGAAGGGCCCCTGCGCGACGCCGCGGGCCGCGCGGTCGCTGTAACAGTGTACCGGTGTAACGTCCGCCCGCGCTCACTTACACTCAGACTTGCGGTGCACCGCGTCGACCGCCGCGTCGTTTGCACCGCCGTCTTGCGTCGTCTGCTGCTGCGGTCGATTGTTTTTGTCGCTGTGGCCGTTTGGGGACGGGGGCGGCGGCGCGGCGGTGATGCGACGATGCCGCGATATCCCCACCCCGAGGTAAACTGGTGACATGACGCGTCGAACAATGACACTACTTGTCCTCGATCAAAACGCCGCGCCGGCTTTTACGTAATCCGTTGCGTCACTTTCTTTGTTTTGCATCAAGGCTGCATTTCCGTAGAGGTGGCTGCCCGCCTGCCTCGCGGTGCAGTGGCTCGCAGTGTGATGGCTCGACAAGCAGCGCGTTGGCTTGTTTGAGATGAACTTGCTCCCGGTGTCCACGACAGGCACGCGCTGGCTGGCCGCGTGAGTGCGAGAGAGACTCCGGCCCGGCGGCAGGCCGACTGCGCAGCGCAAGGCATCCTTGGAGGCGAGTCAGCCTGCGGGGTAGGCCGCGCGCGGTCGCCTGTGCGTGCAGGTCGGGCGGCTGCCTACCCGGCAGGGGCTCCCTTGCCTTGCCTGCGTCGGCCCGCTCAGTCCCGGGTTCCCGGGTTCGACTCCCGCTCGGGGCGTCGCACGCCGCAGGCTCATGCCGAAACGGTGCTCCGTCCTTCTGTCTCTCTCGCACCCGTACGAGAGAGACAGAGCGACGCCGCGCACCTGGATGGAGCTGAGCGCCGAACCGACGAGTGCCCGTCCAGCAGTGTACTTTACCAGTGTACTGTCGCGGGGAAGACTGCTTGGCGATGACGCACCCCTTTCGAACGGTCCGTGACTTACTATACCGCTCTGTGAGTCTGAGGCCGTGCGAGAGAGACGGCACTGCTGTACTGAGTGAACTGATAACTCGGAGGGCGGGCCAAAGTGGGCGAAGGGCTCGTATCTCTCTCTCTCTCTCTCTCTCTCTCTCTCTCTCTCTCTCTCTCTCTCTCTCTCTCTCTCTCTCGCTCTCCTCTCCTCTCTCTCTCTCTTTCTCTGTTTCTCCCCCCCCCTCTCTCTCTCTCTCCCCCCCTCTCTCTCTCTCTCTCTCTCCCTCTCTCTCTCCCCTCTCCCTGGCCGCTAACACCGTTATCGTGGGCCAACATGAAAGGGCCCACCCCGCGGCCCTTCCTGGCTCTGCTTGGCGGTGCCGCGCCCTTCGGTGCTCGTCGGCGCCCTGCGGCTTCAGCGGCGTCAACCGGACAGGGAAAAGTCACAAACTCGGCGTCAGTCTCGGCGAGAGAGGAGCGCGCTATTTTTGACAGCTCGCTCCAAGTATCGGGAGGTCGGGTTACGTAATCGCGCAGGGGTCGCTCACGCTGTCGGCGGCGGAGTGTCTCGCTCCCATCCTGCAAACGCGATGGCGCGCCTCGCTGGCGGTTCTGGACCGCGGCGAGGCGCGCCTAACCTGAGCCGGCCGAACCTAGCCCACCCTAAACACTCGCCGAAGACGGGCGACCTTGGGGCCACGCCCGGCGCGGCCTTGCGCGGCCGATGCTGGTTGCCCCGTCCGTCTAATTGGGATGCGTCCGTCTCTCTCGCACCGGGCCGATAAGCCGTCTCGCCTCGATGCCGTGATAACCGCCTGGTGCAGCAGCGGGGCGCCTGGGAGCAGCGCTCTGTCTCGCTCGCACTCGCGGGCCGTCCCGAAGGGGTGCGAGAGAGACGAGCTGACGGCGCGCTGCTCGGGATGTTGTTCTGCAGGCTCCAAACGTTTAAAGAGATTCAACAGGCACGCTGTGTTGGAAGAGCCCGTTTCACCGAGAGTAGCCCAGAGAAGCATTCTAACGCACTGTTTCCCCCTCTCCTTCCAGGCCACGAGAAGTGCACCTTCCACCACGACCTGGAGCTGGACCACAGGCCGCCCACCAGGGAGGCCCTGCTGCCCGACATGTCGAGGAGCTACCGCCTGCTGCTGTCCTCGCTGGGCGAGAACCCCGACCGCCAGGGCCTCATCAAGACCCCCGAGAGGGCCGCTAAGGCCATGCTCTTCTTCACCAAGGGCTACGACCAGAGCCTCGAGGGTGAGTCTTCCTCTCGGCCTCTCGCGACACTCGCGAGTCGGCGCTCGACGGCTTCCTGGTTCGGGTGCGCCCCTTTTTCGGTTGCCGCTGGAGAGACTTGCCGCCGTTAAATTGAGCCACTCACAAGAGGGCGCTGTTGCTGCCGTTGCTTTGGCGGGGCGCTCGGGGGATGTGGGTTACGGTCACGTTCGGCAAAGAAAAGACTCGCGGAAGAGGGAAAAGGCGGCGGTGCGAAAGAGAGAGAGAAAAGTGAGGGGATGGGAGGGGAGCGGGGAAAGAATGGATGTCAGGCGCTAGCGCCTGTCCGAGCCGATCGCACACACCGCCCCCCCCCCCTCTCTCTCTCTCTCTCACTCACCGCTCCGGCCCACGCCGCCAAATTTCGATTTCTTTGTTCTCTCCCTTTAAACCTCCCCCCGGGAACGGTTCCGGCGGCGGAAATCACGGAATGCGCGGCTCTCTGCCCGCGCCGCTCTGCGCCGCTCTGCGCGGTCACGTCGGGAAAAAGCGGGAAAGCGAGCGGAAGGAAAACTGCGCGGGAAGCGTGGAAAGTGCGGGGAAAAGTATTCACGGGGCGGGTGGCGCGAAAGTTTGGGAAAAGTCCGAGGGAAGTCCAGCCCAGCCAGGCGGGGCGGTTGCATTGACTTTTATAAGGCCGGTGCGTTATCGCTGAATCACGATGAGTGTAGTGGCGTCGCCATGGCAACAGGTTGTGGGGAGAGAGAGAGGGGGGGGGAAGATGATGTAGAGCAGGTTGCTGGTCCAGCCCCGATAATGAAAACGGCGACCCCCAACCCCCAACCCCAGCCCCGCAGCCCCAACCCCTCACCGCGCTGGCGAACCTGCTGGGGAGCCTGGTGGCGGCTGGGTATAATGGCCAGGTCGATGAGTGGAAGACAATCAGGGTGACCGTGGAGTGGCCGCCGAGAGGGCTGGGCTGCTGGGCACCGTGTCGGGGAGCAACACGACCACGCCGCCGACGTGCGAACACGTGGCTAGGCCGTGGGGAGGGTCGGGTCGGGTCTTATAGGGCAGTGGTTCTCAACCTTAGGGTCGCGACCCCAAGGGTCGCGGCGAGGTAGCTGGGGTCGTGTTTTGGGCCGATTTTAAGCAGCCACTGCGTCTGATCCGAGGCGGGCATTTTGCTCCCTCAACCGGCAATTGGTCTTTGAACCTTCCTTTAGCATGCCTTTGTTACGGAGTGTGATTATCAGTCTTAGTTTGGGAGCAGTATTGTCTTAAAGTTTACCAAAACGGTCAGAAATGTCTTTGAAAAATCGTGTTTTGGGCCTATTTTAAGCAGCCACTGCGTCTGACCCGAGGCGGTATTTCGTCCTCCTTCAACGGGCAATTGGTCTTTGGACCTTCTTTTAGCATGCCTTTGTTACGGAGTGTGATTATCAGTCTTAGTTTGGGAGCAGTATTGTCTCAAAGTTGGCCGAAACGCTCAGAAATGTCTTTGAAAAATCGTTGTGCCTGTTTTTGTCAACTTTGAGACAATACTGCTCCCAAACTAAGACTGATAATCGCATTCCGTAACAGAGGCATGCTAAAGGAAGGTCCAAAGAACAATTGCCCGTTGAGGGAGCAAAATGCCCGCCTCGGATCAGACGCAGTGGCTGCTTAAAATCGACCCAAAACATGATTTTTTAAAGACATTTCTGAGCGTTTTGGCCAACTTTGAGACAATACTGCTCCCAAACTAAGACTGATAATCGCACTCCGTAACAGAGGCATGCTAAAGGAAGGTCCAAAGACCAATTCCCCGTTGAGGGAGCAAAATGCCCGTCTCGGATCAGACGCAGTGGCATGCTAAAGGAGGGGTCCCGTGGGGTCGCGAAACTTTTCCTGGGGGTCGCGGAAATTTTTGGCTACAAATTTGGGGTCGCGAGCCGAGAAAGGTTGAGAACCGCTGGGCTAGGCCGTGGGGAGGGTCGGGTCGGGTCTTATAGGGCGCCCTCCTGCCCGTCCGAGTCGGTCCGAGTAAAATGAGCGGAACGGGGATTTTTCCCGCCACTTTAATTGAAAATAAAATGAGAGTGGTGTCGATGATGGGGCGCTGTCGCTCCCCGGCCGGTATTACCAGTGTACGTAATGAGACGAGCAGACTCGCCCCTCGGCAGGCGACGGTGGCGGAGAGCAGCCGGCTAAATCCAATTTCCGCTCATCTCGGGCCGACTCCGCGACGCGCTCTCGTCGCCCCGTCTCGACGCGTCTCCCTCGCTCTCGCGGCGCGTCCCGGAAGCCCGCAGCGGCGCGAGAGAGACGGAGCGACCCCCTTCGCGGAATCACCCCGCTTCGCTTCCCCTGCGATCCGGCCGTGCTGTCGTCGCAGCGAGCCTCCCCCCCCCTCCCTCGCAAACTCTTCGCTTTAATTTGCCTATGCTCCATACGGGGCGCGCACACAGCGTGCGCGAGGCGTGTGTGTACACGGGAGGGGGGCCTGCACCCCTCCCGCGAGTATGTGCACTGTGAGGGCCTACAGTGACGCGTGCTGGCTCCAGCATCAACCCCCTTCCCACCCCTTTGGGGTTGTCGGGCCTTGTAGTCAAATTTGCCAGTCACCGGGGCGGGGCGGGGCGGGGTGGGGCGGGGTGGGGTCGCTTCGAGTCTCGCGCCAGACGCTCGCAGCAGCAGCCCCCCGTCCGCTGCAGACTCTGATTGAATTGCCACTACTCTTGAAGGGGCTCCTCCACGCGACTGGGTCGGACTGGGTCCTCTGTCACCCCCCACCCCCACCCCTCTCGCGAGCTTGACCAGAACGTTCGCTCGCCCGCTATGGACTTGTTGCAGCAGCGCTCCGAGCGCAGCCGCCTGATTCCGAACACTGCATCGTCGCTCTGTCTCTCTCGCACCCCTACGGACCGCCCCGCGAGTGCGAGAGAGACAGAGCGACGAAAGCAGTGCTCGGAATCAGACGGCAGGGCTTGGGGCCAGGGCTTGGGGCCAGGGGCGCCTAGTCCGGCCTGCATTTCGGCTTCGGCGCTTTGGCCGACCTCTAGGGAACGCTCGGGAAGTGGATTCCTGGAATCCAGAGTGCCAGTCCAGTCCGGAACTTGTTGCTCTGTAGCGGGGCGGGGCGGGGGGGGGGGCGGGTGTGGTGGGGGTGTGGGTGGGGCGGCGTTGGGGGGGTGGGGTCCCCGCCGCCCCGCCGCGCCGAGCAGTAGGCAACTTGTTGCACGGCGGCCGGGCCGACTTTGACGGGTTGCCTGGCGCGCACACTGTAATTGATGGCCTGAAGGCAGTGTAGGAGCCAGAAGCGCCTGCTTGGCTTGCCCGAGGAGCGTCGCGGAGGTGTGCGAGTGAGACAGAGTAATTTTTTAGGAGCGCGTCAGCGCGTCCCCCTCGACCTTCACGGTCGAGTCGACGTCGGCGATGAGCCTCGGATGCGCGCGGGTCCGCGGCATGGACTCCGGTTCCGCCCCGTGCGTCCGGCCGGCCCAGCGGCTGCGGACTTTGGCGCGCCCAAAAAAAGGGGCAGGTGTTTTGCAGTGCGGGCCCGAGTGGCAACCGCTGTCGCGGTGGGGTGGGGGGGGTGGGGGTGGGGTGGGGGCGGGGTGCAGGCTAGGGGCGGCGAGCACCCACGCCACTAAAGGCCACTCCAGCGCGGCGAGCGCGGCAAGCCTTTCAAATGGACTTGGAAATGGAGAATTGTGGTGAGCGCCGGCAGTGGGGCGAGAGTGTAAGGAGCCCGGAGTTGGGGGAGGGCAGGGGGCAGTCCGGAACTTGGGGGGCAGGGAGGGGGAAAAGGCCCGCTTGTTGGAAGAGGCAGGGCCGGAAACAAAGAGAAGAGGAAGCGGGTTGAGAGGGGGAGAGCGAGAGGAGAGAGGAGAGAGAGAGAGAGAGAGAGAGAGAGAGAGGGGGGGGGAGACAAGGCGGCTCTGGTCCGACGGCCCAACTCGGAGGCGTATCAATTCCTGAGGCAATTTGCAGAGTCGCTCCAGATTTTGAGTCGAAGCATTGCCGTTGTGCTCGTGGCTCGGGCCGGGGGGGGGGGGCAGTCTGGGGCAATCAGGCGCGCCCCGTGTCCCCTGGGGATTATGCGGGGATGGGGATGGCGGCGGAGTGGGGAGCATGTCGCCATTTCGGCCCGGTCACGCGCCGTGGGGTGAAGGATGGAGGCCAGGCTGGGCGACGGCAAGATGCAGTGTGGTGCACCACCCGACGGACAACCCCACTAGAAACTGCCTCGCCACTGCCAAGAATTTTCCCACCCTCAACCCTCAGAGTCTCACGTTGTTTTCCGTTTGCAGAGGTCCTGAACGACGCCGTGTTCGACGAGGACCACGACGAGATGGTGGTCGTCAAGGACATCGAGATGTTCTCCATGTGCGAGCACCACCTGGTGCCCTTCTACGGCAAGGTGTCCATCGGCTACCTGCCCCAGAAGAAGATCCTGGGTCTCAGCAAGCTGGCTAGGATCGTGGAGATCTACAGCAGGCGACTCCAAGGTAAGCCCGGCGCCCTGTTTGTGGTCCACGCCGCCCGTCCGGCCGTCGGCCTGCGTGCTCATCCAAGCGGTTTTTCTGTTACAGTGCAAGAGCGCCTCACCAAGCAGATCGCCATCGCCGTGACCAAGGCCGTGCAGCCTGCTGGCGTGGCCGTCGTCGTGGAGGGAGTGTAAGTAGCTGCCTGCACTGCATAGCTTCTCCCCGACTCGCCCCGGCCTGCCTAACGCCCTCCGCTGTCTCTCTCGCAGGCACATGTGCATGGTGATGCGCGGCGTGCAGAAGATCAACAGCAAAACCGTCACCTCCACCATGCTGGGCGTGTTCCGGGATGACCCCAAGACGCGCGAGGAGTTCCTCAACCTGGTGCACTCCAAGTAGGCCGAGCCCGCTCAGCCCGCTTCAGCCGCCTCGCCCCCAGCCGCCTCGCCCCGCGCCCCCCAGGCACGCCCCCGGGCACGCCCCCGGGCAGCCTGGGGCGTGGGGAGAATGGTCCGCCGCGCTTGACTGTTTCCTTACTTCTTGTTGAATGTGTTCATTATTAGGCACTTTGTGATTGTGTTTCGGAGAAGAATTTTTTTATTTTATTATTTTTAGTTCTGTTTTTCCGACGTTCTACGCCCCCCAAGTTCTCGCCATTTCCCGAGTTCTAAAATTAGTCCGCATTGCTATATGGTTCAACTTTCTCTTAATGTAGGAGCTTTCACTTCGGTAATGAAATCTGTCCCCGAGGGTTGATTGTGTTGCTCTGTGTTCATGTTCAAATAAGCGCCATCAGTATTTTATTGTGTTAAGCCCAAAGTGATTCATGTTAGTGCAAACGTGTCATAGTTTCTCGTCAGGTCTTTGTTTAATCTTGTTCCCCCTCGATTAACTGCTGTGAGAAAGTTGAGTTTGCATTTAGATGTGTTCATTATTTTGAAATTGAGTTATAGTATGCATAGGTTTAAATAGTAGTGGGCACAAATAGTCGCCAGTTTCGTGTTTGTCACCAAACAGATTATGGAAATTATTTTTGCCTAGATGCACCACACGATGTACGTTTGTTGCAGGCAACAAACGAATAAGAGGAATGTAATTTTTTTTTCGAAAGTGTCTTTCAATAGAAAGAAAAACACATGTAGGATCTTGTACATGGTTGGCAACCATGGCCAAACATCACCCTTTCTTTAAATTCGTTCTTTGTCGCTTTTTGCCACGTAGTTAGTTCAAAACAAATTACTGTTTTTTCCTATTTCTTGCTACCAGTCGTCCCTGTAGTTGGTATCTTGAAACAAACGTAATACTGTGGAATGACCTGTGATGCACCATACAGACAGAGAAGAAGTATCAAGTCTTCGAAGAGTGAGCGGGACCATATGCTAATTTAGTGTTTCCCAGTGCGTTTTTACTTTGCTGCTAGATGTTTATAACTCGCTTATTTTATCTGTAGAAATAAGGAATAACTTAAGCTATGTCTCATGAAAACGAATAGTGGTCAAGAACAACCTGCTTTTGGACTACCTTAAGTGATGTATTCAAAATCCAGCAAGGACACAGACATTCCTGCTCTCTGCTTATTTTTTTGTTTGACAAAGGAAACTGCTACAATATTAAAGATATAGATTGACAGTTATAATTGGACAATAAGTGGAGGGAGCCTCAAAAATTTGCACTATCTTACTGTTGACAATATAGAATTTTTAAAGCTTTTTACTTACTTATTTGCTATAATACGTCCGTTGTAGTTGGAGACAGAATGTGACGTTATTGTTAAATGTTTTTGTATTGATTGAAAGGACCATAATGACTTTGTTGGTGACAAATCATGCATGTTTATGAAATCAGATTATTTTATTGAATAATAAAGTATATTTATGAGAACACTTCTGGCGATTTCCAGTCTGTCTTTTTGAAGCGAATCCTCTGTCTCGTGCCCGAAACGTGCCTGAAATGGCGTAGCGATGCGAGTGCCGAACAAAGTGCGGGGCTACCCGATGAAGAACTGCCCCCCCGCGGGTAGGACGGCGGGCATGGGCATGAAGAACCTGCAACGGGGAAGTCAAACACCCAAATTTGAAATTTGAAAAGGAAAAGAAAAATGGAACTGTACACTCCGTCGCCAGTCTTAATGGGGAGGCCTTCGGTGTTCGATGTTTTCACTCACGCGTTGGTGCCCTGCACGAAGGTGGTGTAGGTCGGCACGAAGTTGGCGACTTGGCAACAGAAGAAGAAGAGCGTGCCGCAGGCCTGCACCACGGCGGGCTGGGCCGTCGTGGCGGCGGCGTCGGCGCCTGGGAGGACCACCTGCCCCGTGACGGTGGCCCCCGCCCCCGCGCCTGCCCCCGCCCCCGCCCCAGCCCCCGCCCCCGCGCCGCCCCCAGCCCCCGCCCCAGCACCTGCCCCCGCACCGGCCCCCGCGCCAGCGCCAGCGCCCGGCCCTGAAACAGTCGAGGGTAGTTTTTGAAAGGGGGAAACTTGCTGGGCGCGAAAAGAACAAAGAAAGAAACGCCCAGGACCGGTATTTGAAACCAGAACCAGCAGATTGCTGATGGCCTTGGCATCCAGAGGAATTTTTCAAAACCAGTTCTTTTCCTTAAAAATGCAAAATGACACTATCACAGATAACAACTTTTTGTCTCTGACAATGTTCACAACCCACCTCCTCCTCCTCCGCCACCCGCTCCACCGGCCCCTCCACCGCCGCCTCCAGCGCCGCCCCCGTCGGCCCCTCCAGTCGGTGCTCCAGCACCTAGCGTCGGCGGTCCCCCGGCACCCCCTCCTGGGGGTCCTCCAGCACCGCCGCCGCCCGGGGCCCCCCCTGCACCACCTCCGGGGGGCCCACCCCCTGCCGGCGGCGCGCCACCGCCGTCCTGTTGCTGCGGCGCGGCAGCCTGTGCCAGACACCGACATTAGGACCGACATTGAGACCGACGTCCACGAGACCGACGTCCACGAGGCCCCACTCCGTTCGCCTCCACGCGGGGCTCACTCCTACCGTTTGGCTGAGCAGCGCGGCGGCCAGAAGCAGCCAGGCGACGACGGGGACCTCCATGGCCCGGAGGCCTGCGAACGAGAAAGCACTTCAAGGCGCTGCCGGCGGATGGGTGGCCTACCCACCAGGCGCTGCGGCCCGCAAGACCGGCAAAGGCGGCCAAACTTCCACACGCGTTTTGAGCTCCAGAGTCGCTCTCCGAACGAAGAATCCATTGGTGGGGTCACACGCTCGGTTCGAGTCCCATTTAGCGACTCTGGAGCTCAAAACGCGTCTAGGGTTTTGGCCGCCTCCACCGGTCTTCTGGTCCACTGAGGCACGCTGTCGACGGCAAGGCCCCCGAAGCCGGGAAGACGTTCCGATACTCACTGCGGCTCCTCCGGCTCGTCGACGAGGACCTCGTGTTCGGAGACTCGGGTCGCCGACGACGACCACGCTGCGGACGCAACTGAACGAACGGGCCTCCGGTGCGGCGGTGCGGCGGTGCGGCCCGCGGGACAGCGCGCCCAGCGCGCCCAGCCAGGCCATGGACACAAAACGGGCGCCAATTTCACTTGTCGAGGGCTTCCGCCAGCATCCGTCGCGCGGGGCCGCGACGAGTGCGACCTCACCTCGTCCTCACCTCGTCCTCGTCGCGCCGCGATGATTGACGCGTACCGAGAACGCGGCTTCCGAATTCCCGCCGAACGGGGACTTCCCCCGCGGCGCGACACGCCGTGAGAAACAAGTGGTTCTTCAGGAACGTGCTTTCGACGTTCTGTCTCGCTTGCACTCATGCGGCGTGCCGTAGAGGTGCGAGAGAGACAAGCGGCGCTGCCGAGGGAAGTCGGCAGACCGGAGAACGGGGTACTCATCAAAACGTCGTCTAGTCAGTTACGTTCGGTTTCGCGCATGTGGCATCGCGCAGAAACTGAAGACTGCCGAGGTTTTCGTGGCGGCTCTGCTTCTCTGGTGGTGCGCCCGGCAGCGGACTCCAGACCTTGGTGCGCGATGTGTTGCCTAGCGTAACGGGGCGCTCGAGCCTACTCTGTCGGAGAGGCGTACCCTGTCCAATACTCTCGTTTGGTTTTCTTCTTCAGAAGAAAGTGACACGTTTACAACTCGGATAAGCTTAAGCTCAGTTTGTGAAGAATGAAAGGCATCGGTAAGGATTTCACGTGTTTTATTCCTCAGATGAAAAAATAACTTATGAAGACACACTTTACATTTATAAATAGGAGTAGAAAAACTAAACAGGCTCTAGGCACACAGGCGTGTGTTTTTTCTCTCTCTCCCATTCACACACGTTCGCACAATCACACAATTCTTTTTATTTGCAATGATAATGACAAGACTGGTCATTTGTAAGATCCACAGACAAATAAAATAATGAATCGATCCATCGGTACTCCACGCAGGAGAGACTCTCTCTGGGCGCACATCGGTCGAGGGGTAGCGACAGCGCCGCAGTGTCTCGGGGACTGCCAGGGACTACCCGGCCAGCACGTTGCCGACGGTGTAGGCCTTCTGGGCGAGCTTAAGCCGCAGCAGCTGGTAGCCGTTGACGTAGGAGATGCTGGGCGCCTGCTGCTGGATCTGCACCACCACTGTCACGGGCCTGGCCGTGGTCGTCGTGGTGGTGGCGGCGGCCGTGGTGGTGACGACGGCCGGCGTGGTGGCGGTGACGGGCAGCAGCGTGCTGCTGGCGTTGTTCACCACCAGCACGCCGGGGAAGATGACCCCGCAGATGATGCACGACCTGAGCAAGCAAAGAACGACATCAGGACCGCTGTCACCCACACTGCTGGTGCCAGGCCCGTCGTGACGTGTCGTTAGTTTGTTATTTTGGCGGTTGGACGGTTAATAGTGATCCTGTTTGGGTTTCGAGTTGAAGCGTGCTCTCGGTTTTAGTCAGCGGTTTGAAAAGCCGTGATTGATCAGGACAAGTGGTTCGGTGTCGGAGTGCCGGCACACTGTCGGAGTCACATACCCCAGCGCCGCGCAGCGCAACGGGGTGCCGCTGCTGCATTGTTCAGAGAAACGGGAGAGAGAAATAAAGATTATGCCGTGACCGCGGATGCCGGGTTGCCTCTGCGAAGTGCACAGGCGCAGCGCACTGCGGCGATACCCCGCGCGTCTGCAGGAGTGTCGAGGGGTATCGCCGGGGAGCCCCGTCGCCCGGTACACTGGAATACACCCCGCCGCCGAGCCAAGCGGAGCGCCTGCGAACCGCGCGTAGGCATCCCGGCTGCCTGCGGCGCGTCGCGGCTACGGTGCGCTCGCCTTGCCCGCCCGGCGAGCCTTTACCTGCAGCCGTGGCGAGTCGCAGCCGGTGCCCGCGGTGCGGACGGTGCGGGCGGTGCGGACAGTGCCGCCGGTGCAGGGCGGCACGCCGCGGACCCACGGCCAGGGCCGCGGCCAGGGCGCCGACGGGGAGTCGATTCGGCCGCCGGCGACGCGGAGTGGCCGACGTGACGTCCACGACGTCCAGGACGAGCTGCTCCAGCGGCCCGTCACCCCACCACGACGCTGGCGCCCGGCGCCGAGACGGACACCCCGGCCACGCCGGCCACGCCGAACCCCGCCGTCACCGAGACCGCGGGCCGCGCCGCCACCGCGGCCACGGCGGGGGCCACCGCCGGCACTGCGGACACCGTGCCCACCGCGGGCACCGAGGACAACAGGCCGGGGCACAGGCAGAAATTGCACAGGCACGCCACGAAAGAGCACCTGCAACACACGCGCAGGAACGACGGACCCGTCTCAATGCCGTTAGAAATCAGGAATCGGATGGGGGAAGTTCAGTTCCACGAGATGGGGTTCCAGCTCAAACGGACCAGTGACCCGACTATTACGTCTATGGCGCTCAATTACACCTCAAAATTACCGGGATTTGCCCCTAAAAAAGCCTTAAACTACCCAAAAATAGGTAAAATTATGAGAATATCAGCTACTACGGCACCATCAGGCGTGACAGCGGACAGAGTGACCCGATTATTGCGCATTATTACACAATTATTACGCATTATGCATCCCCCGCCTCACCCCCTCCGTTCCGTTGCTCCGTTATTCTGGCCGAGAGGGGAGGCACTTACTGGGTGACATTGGGCCGGGGTGTGGTGGTGGTGGTGGTGGTGGTGGTCGTGGTGGTGGTGGTGGTGGTGGAGGACGTGCTGATGGGTGCAACGGTGGGGACAACGGTCGGCACAACGGTCGGCACGACGGGAATGGGGATGCAGCCGAAGGTACACAACCCCGTGGCGAAGGACGACTGCGGCGAGAAGCCGAGCTGCGTCAGGAAGTTGGGCGACTGCACCGGGAGCAGCGTGCCGCCCTGGCCGGTCGTCTGCTGCACCGTCTGCTGCCCGGCGGGGATGAACATCTGCGGCATGTTGGCGGGCAGCGTCTGTCCCACCTGCGACAGCGCGCGACAGCGCCGAGCCTCAGTGTTGATGCACATTTGACTCTCGACAGATTTTTTTTGTGAATCGATCTCCGGGTCGCTTTACGACGCACTCACCACTTGCAGCACTACCGCGGCGAAGACGCCCAGGACGAGCGCGGTGGCGGCGGTCATGTTGAAGTGACGTCACCCTGGCTAGGATTGGCACGCCGAAGACCGCCTCGCCCCGGGGTTGGGGCAGTGCCCGCAGTGGCCGCTCTCTGGACGCGTTCCACGATGCGCACGCCACGGCGACCCGTGTCGCATTTTCTATCCCCGCGACCGAGAAGACCGCTGTCTGCACTCCGGCACCGTCAGCTATGTACCCCAGCGGACTCGGCAAACGGGAGGTTCGAGGGTTCGGACGCGGCCTGCCCAGACCAGCCAACCCGTCGCCTCACTGACGCCTACAAGAAGGGCCTGACAACGCCAACAGTCCAGCACGGCGCGTGTTGTGCTTCTCGGGGGTCTTGTGCTCGACGGCGGCCTCTGCGCGACTGCCGCTTCCTCGTCGTCCGCGCGAGTGTAGGGCACTGAGGGCGCCGGCGGCGGTACACGCGTTTTAACTCGCGGTGCTCGCGGCCAGGACGCTGAGGGTCCTCGTCAATCGGGAGCGTCCCGCCGTCCCCGCCGTCCCCGCCGTCCCCGCCGTCCCCGCGCAAGGACGCGGCCCGCTGGACTCGCAGGGGGGCGGGGGCGGCGCGGGGGGCGGCGCGGGGGGCGGCGCGGGGGGCGGCTTGCCGCCAAGTGCAGCGTGTGCGCTTTCAAACGGACGGAAGGCCCGATTAGCGGCTTGGCCGCCGCGTTCTGTGTTTCCCCAGGTTCCAGTCCCAGGACGCCGTCATAGTGTTGTCGCGCTGTCACCGGCGGAGGCAGGGCAGCGAGGGCAGCGCCGCGCGCCGCCGCCCTTGAACGCTGACAGTGTGACAATGCCCTGTGCCGGGCGCCGCCCGGGCGCGTCCACGCCGTCCACGCGGTCCCTTTGCCGCCAATCTCACCGAACCGCCGCGGCCACAGCGAGCAACAACAATGGGTGACACCTCGAATTATCGGGTTTTATATTCACGCCCGTCCTCTGTGTGAGGTGAGCGACCTTAACCTTGAAAGGGCGCGTACCCTTCACCGGGGGGACTTTCAGGACTTTCAGGACTTTCAGGACTTTCAGGACCAGGACTTTCAGGACTTTCAAGACTTTCAGGACTTTCAGGACTTTCAGGAGGCTGCCCTTCACCCTTAACACGCCACCCTTCCTAGCGCAGGTGCGGGGCAGGACGCCTGAGGTTGGCAGCCCTTCCGACTCGGTGGCAGCCTAGTCGCCTACACTGTCCCAGGCGCTTTGCTGATAACCCCGGCCAGTAAATCAATGCACTTGTCGCGGCGGTGGCGGCGGCACTGCCCGCGGGATTCCCGATTCCGGATTCCCAGTGTTGTTCTCGCGACACGTGCGCAGAGTGCGGAGCACGGCGAGCGTGGCGCGGGGCGGCGCGGGGAGGAGGCAGGGCCTGCCTGGCAGGCACGCGTTTGGAGGTCGTCGTCACGCAGCGCGCGCTGGCGCGCTGCAGGCGGACCCGTTCTCACTCTGTCGCACTCGTGGGGCGTCCGGGGCGTCCAGGGCTGCGAGAGAGAGAGAGAGAGCGACGACAGTGCCGGTCGGAAGCGGCCTGCCCCGGGCGCCACAAAGACCGATTAATTCACGGCCACGCAGTGCAGCAAAGGGTTATCCCTCTCTCTCGCCCCCCACCGGATTGCGAAAGTGGTTTGAAGTGTCAAAAATATGGTTGGGCGCAGCCATTCCACGCGGCGCGGCCCTTTCGGCCGTTTAGGGAAAACCTGAGGTCAGCTGGTCGAAGCGCGCTGGGCTTCGCGCGCGCCTGACTTGAATGCCGGGTGACTGCTCCATAGAGTGATTCACGTCCGGTTTCGGGAACTCCAGGCGGGTAGGGAAGTGAGTCATGCCATCGGTGAAGTGTAGAGTTTATTATTCACTTAAGCATTTATATACATTGAGCTCCAGACGCAACAAACTCATCGTACTTCCATTGAAGAGAAAAAACAACAACATGCAAATAGTCTTGATTCACGACAGTTAATAATTGGTCATCATAGGACATCATTAGTAATGCCAGGGCTCATTGCGAAGGGTGCCAAAATCACAGTTTTGCCCGTCAACAAGTCTTGTACAATGGAGGAAAAAATACAATAAACGGTGGACACAGCCGTGACTAAAGTATACTGCCCCACCTTTACTTAAGAGCTAAAGACTATCAAACTAGGAATATATATTAAAATGATATAAATAATGAAGCCACAGCGGGCGATGCGATGCCAGTACAACAACAATGAAAAAATTCCAGGAACTCGACCTCAAAGATTAATCACAGAATTCATCGCAGTCAGTCAATCACGCGAGAGTTTGTTTTCGTTTGCTTTCAAGTCTTTTCATCGTATTTCTCGTTCGGGCGATGTCGCGCTCAACACTCTGTCCACCGTTGCCCAAACGACGAAAACGAAAACAAAAACACAATAAATACACCATTTCGGAGCGCGCATTTTTTTCCGCCCAAGTTTTGGCGGCCTTGTGGTGGCGCTCAGGGACGTTCAGTTCGTTCAGTCGATGCTGAGGTTTCTGAAGGCCGTTTGGACGCTCTTGCTGCTGCTCTTGCTGCTGCTCTTGTTGTTGCTGTGGCTCGCCTTGACGCCCTCCTGCTGCTGGAAGTAGAGTGCGTAGCTCTCCAGCGCCTTGCCCCACTGGTCGCGCAGTGCCGCCACCGTACGGCAGGAGCCGCCGTACTCGGCGGGCAGCACGTCGGCCGGCACGTACTGGTGCAGTGACTCCAAGCTGGAGTGCACCACGAACTGCAGCAACAAGGCAGAGGTCACAATCAAGTCTCAATCAAGTCGGCGGATAGGCAGCACACAGCTGGCCAGAGCCAGATGACCGATGGAGGTGGTCAAAATCCCGGACGCCTTTTGAGCTCCAGAGTCGCTAAATGAGACTAGAACTGAACTTGTGACCCCACCAATGGATTCCTCTCCGAACGAGGAATCTATGGTGGGGTTACACTTTTGGTTCGCGTCCTGTTTAGCGATTCTGGTCTGGAGCTCGAAACGCGTCTAGAGCTTTGGCCGCTGGCGCTGGTCTTCTGGCCCACTGTGCTGCAGCGGTGTTGCTCGCACGACCGCTGGCCTGCGAAAAGGCAGCCTGTCTTTCTGCACTGCTCCTTTCTCTCTCACTTACCCGGTTCCTCATCTTCTCCTTCATGAAAGAGCGGAACAAGTTGATGCCGCGGTTGACGAACGGGTGGGCGTTGATGATGTGGATCTCCTTGAGCCTCTGGGGGTAGGCGGTCTGCAACAGAGCATGAAGCACACGGTACAGAAAGCGAAAAAAAGCTGTTTTGCCGTTCAGGTTTCTGCTGCGCAGGGGGATTCCTCGTTTTGCTTCTGCCGTGGTCGCGTAAAATTATAGATTACCGGACATTTGAACGGACAGACCCGGTGGGGCATGCCAACGCACTGCTGTCCCCGTCCGAAAGACCCTTCTTTGCACTATAAAAAATGCGTGTGGTTTTTGGTGAACGCTCTGAAAAATGAGCGGCTAGGCGACTGTCCCGGCCGCTCGGCGCTCGACCATGCGTACTCCAACCGGTCGCGCCGGTTCGCACGGCTAGTGGGCACCGCGCTGGCGCCGGGGATTTCGAACCCACTGGAATCTCCCGCCAACGCGTCCCTTGCCTTCCCTGTTCGAGGCTCGCGTGAGCGCCTTCCCGATCGGAGAAAAAACATTCCCAGCGTTCAGCGTAGCTTGGCGCCACTGGACACCAGAACCGGTTTTCAGTCGGGTTATTTATGATGCTAGATTATCCGCTGGGCATCAGACTCATCAGACACTAGCAGTTCGGGAGCAGTGCGGAGCCTGATGGGTGGCCTACGTCGAGGCGCGAGCTGTGGACGCTCGAGTAGTATGCACACCCCACAGTCACGGCGCCATGGTGGCGGCCCCCACAGTGGCTACGCGTCGTACACTAACCTGTGCCAGGGTGAGGGCCTTCTTGAGCAGGCTGCCGGCGTGCTTGAGCACCATGGACACGCCCGCGTTGGCGGCGTCGAACACGAACACGTCGCCGGAGATCTCGGGCTCCTCCACCATCCGGATGTCCGAGACCATGAAGATCATGCGGTACAGGTGCTGCGGCACGTGCTCGCACGCGTCCACGTCGTTCAGGATGTGCAGGCAGACGCGGGCGCCGTCGCCGCGCGTGCGGGGCAGTGGCAGCACCGTCCTGGAACGCGAAAGGTTCATGAAGCGCTGTCGCTGATTTTCATAAACAAATGGCGGAAGCAAGCGTGAGGACTCACATCGCCCTCCAGGCCTGCTGGATGTCCGGCGAGGTGGGGTCGCGCTGGGCGAAGAACTCGGGGACCTTCGCCCTGGCGGTGAAGTAGTTGTCGATCTTCTTCTGGGCGCGGTGCAGGTTGTACTTGGTGCCGCAGACGAAGCGCGGTAGGACGCGATCATCTGCGTGAAAACAAAACGACAGTTTAGAAAAAGCTTTTGCCAGCGGGTGGAGCCTAGCCTCGTTCCATTCAGACGGCGCCACTTGCACGCCTTCCAGACTCCAGTGTTACCAGTGTTACGTATTACGTGTCGGTGACGTCAAACGACCGGCCGCGACGCTGCTGTCGTCACAGATTCACACATGGTACCGTTTCCGATTGGAAGTCGCCTTTCACTAGGTCAAGGTCGGTCAAGGCCGATCTAGGAGGTTCGGAGTCGGGGGTTCTGACCACTCTGGTCATCCCCGTCGTTGGAGGCAGTCGCGCCATCTGCTCTGCTTTCCAACGTACCGTAGTTCCGCGGCAGGTGGGGCTGCGTCTGCATCCACTCCTTGAGCTGGTCCACGTACTCGGCTTGCTTCGAGGCGTAGGTGTTGTTGAGCTCCCTCCGCACCAGGCGGGCCTGCTCGGCGGTGGGCGGGTACAGGAGCTGAAACAAAAACGACAAAGTTCGACATCACTTTACGGTTTTGGGACAGTCCGACCTGTCCGATCACGCAAGCCTTTCGGCAACGGGCGTGCACTCCGCACTCCGCCGGCGGCCTCGGCTCGAGGCTGTCTGGGCGGACCGGAGGGTTGACTTCTTTTCGGCGTATGTGTGCCGACCCTTTGCGCCAAAACAAACGACCAGGACTGCATCCCGAGGGGAGCGGGGAGCGGCGGAACGAGAACCAGAAACAGTCTGGAGGTCACTGCCACGGCCTCGGCAGGCCTCGGCCCAGCATGCGTGGCATGCCGCGCCGCTGCAAGCAATTAGGGGGTACTTTGCATTCTGATGTCGACGCCGTCTCTCTCGCACTCACGGGGCCTGCCGTAGGGGTGCGAGGAAGAGGTGGACATGGCGACACGATACACCAGACGGGCACGGCTCATGCAGACGAAGACGATGATAGGTTCTGCACGAGGTTCCGCAGGAAACCAGGGAGGCAGTGCACCGCATTGCCAACCTCCCGACTGCACCGCCACTTTGCGATTCTCCACCTGCCGTGCGATCCAGAGGAGTCGTCTCATCGCTCTGTCTCTGTCGCACTCACGGGACTCTCCCTAAGGGTGCGAGAGAGGCAGATAGAAAAAGCCGATCCTCTGAATCGCCCGGTCGTGGACACGAAAGAACGCGGTAGCCGAAACAACACATCGATTCGCACGCTGCCGAGGCAGCCCGGCCGAACGGGCATGAGAAAGCTCCGAAATTGCTCAGAATTGGGAAGTGATGGCCCTCGTCAAAGGCACTTGACTTGCGAAGGAAGCGGACCAATTTGTTGTTCTCGGTGAGTCGGGCCGTGCGTGTGAGTCAGGCGGCTTCGGAACGCACCAGAAAACACTACCACGGTGAGGAGCCCGCGGGGGTGGGGGGAGCGATTCCAGACACGCCGGCGTGGAAAAACACCGGGCGCGTGGCCGGCCGGCCGGCACTGCGGCGGCGGGACTGCTCTGGAGAGAATGCTGATTTTCGCGCCCGGGTTACTGGCCACGGCACAAATAGACTCCTCCTTCGCGTGGAAGTTTCCAGGCTGGACTTCGCAGGCCGTTCCACTCGGAGTACAGCAGTACAGCGACATGCCTGGCCCCGCCCCGGCCCAGCCGGGCCGCAATTAGCTTCACCGTTGTGCGTCGTCCTGCCAAATGGCAATCATATGTTTGGCTGATTCGACTTTAAGTAGTGTTTGTAAGAAATCACCAACTTGCAGGACGAGAGCGCAGGGCTGCTACTGGTCGCACTTTCTGCAGCCGCATAGCAAAGAGCGGGGACCGTTAGAACCCTGTCAATCGATCGAGGAGGCTAGCTCCGGACGAGGTGGCCGGGGAACCCCCGGGTCTTTCTCCCGGCCGGAAACTAGTTCTGGTGGTCGCGGCACTGCCCCTTTGGCTCGGCGAAAGTGAAGAGATGCCTCTGGAATCCTTCCGCAGTCCACTCGCAAAACTGACCCCAGCCGCGACTGCCATTGCGGGTGATTAGCTCTGGCACGACGGCCGGGGAAACCCGGTTCGGTAATAGTTCTCTCATCAGCCGAGTTCCAGTTCGTCTTTCTCGACCCTTCCACGGCGCTCCAAACATGCCACGCCTAAACATACGAGGTTATTTTAAAGTCACTCGAAGGAGTGGAAGCACGAGAAATTCAATTTTAAAGCCACTCTAAGGAGTGGAAGCATTCGACGCATTACTGCCGCGTTTTCGACGATTAAACGTCGAATCGACCCAAGGTGTGAGCCACCCGTCGAACACCCTTTTTCCCGCTGGCCCTGAAACAGTCCCAGTGCGACCCTGAGACCCTTACCGTCGTTGTTACTGCTCCCCATTGACGGCTTCACAGCACCGAAAATGAAAATGAGAGGTCGCTCTTTACGAGTTGCAGACGAACCAGCCCGTGTCAATGTCGCCCAGCCCCGGTGATTGCGCCGCCGTACCACCGTGAATGCAATATGAAAGAAACGGCGCAATAAACACCGAGCGTTCCATTCTCATGAAAACAAAAATCCCGCCCGCTACCGGGTTCTCACACCTTGGGTCGATTCGACGTTTAATCGTCGAAAACGCGGCAGTAATGCGTCGAATCTGGGCAACCCGCGAGTTTGTCTCGCTTCCTGATAAGTCTTTCCCCTCCTCCGTCTTTCATTTATTGTCACCCGATTCCCGGTAGGGCCGAGATTGGAGGGGGCGGCTCGGTCACGACTCGAAAGTGACACTCGGCGACACTCGGCAGCGCGGCGTGGCCAGGCGTGGCGCGTCTCCGGCACGACGGCAAAATCACCAATCGCACGACCGATTTGCGGAGAAATCGCAACAAAACGGGGAGTGTGCGGACAGACAGACAGACAGACAGACAGACAGACAGACAGACAGACAGACAGACAGACAGACAGACAGACAGACAGACAGACAGACAGACAGACTCACAGACTTGCTGACAGGGAAACAAACAAAGAAATAAAGCAACAAACACACGAACAAACAAACAAACAAAACAAAAGAGATGACAGGAATCGGGAGCCACGTGCTGACACATGTTGCAATGAGTGACGAGCCAGAGTCACACTAATTGTTCCAATTGTCTGACTCATCGCCGCCCCTGCAGTATTGTGTGCAGATCATGAACGGTGGTTGTTCCTTCCGGCACAGCGCAATGAGAGGCCGCCCCGCCTGCTCCCTTTTTTCTCTCTCCTTCTGGAGGCTTCTCGAAGAGGGCAGCCAGCCCGGCCCAGCCCGTCCGTCCAGCCGGGCGTCCTTGGAAAGGCGATGCATAAACAAGGCCGGGCAGAGCGCTCGCGCGATTCGGATATGGTCCAGTCCTCGACACCGGTCGACATCCATCAAACTGCTTTTCCGCCAGTTAAGAGATTGGGATCGATTTCCGTAGGAATTAAAAGCCGTCCCTGCCCAGGCTTGACTGCACTCTGCCAGACTACTACTGCACGAGCTTAAGTCCTTTTGACTAAACCTTAGTGCAGAGTTCATAAGAATCTCTTAAAGTCAAAAATGGTTAAGAAAACGAAGCAAATTTTGTTGTGGTTAGGTATGACTTATTTTCTGTTTTGCAGTGTTGTACTCACCCTGGATTCCTTCATGATGACCATGGCGGGCTGCTGAGGCTGCTCCTTCGATATCCACAGGACGCAGGCAACACAAACTGAAGAGCTCTCGTCGGATTTTGGCGCGCTTTCTGCCGCGTCGCCGTCGTCTGAGTCTGACTTGGATCTTGGGGCACAACCACGGCCTTGGGGCACTCACTACGAGGGGGACGAAACACGCACTTCTTTGCTTGGACGGCCAGAGCGCTACCAAATTCACCAAACGGAGCGCGCTGTCGGAATGACCCGGCGGCCCGCGCGGCGCTCGCTTATATCAAGTCGGATCCGCGCGCGTCCCGCCGGACCCCCCGGACCCCCCGGACCCCTCCGAACCCAACCCGCCCAGCCAGCAGGACCCGCTCGGAGCGGACGCCGCGATGCAGCGAGGAGCCGCTCCACTGCAACCGCCTGCAGCAGCAGCCTGCGTCCGGATTCTACCGACGACGAGATTTCGTTTCAAGATCACCCAGAGATGAACGGTCACCTTCTCGCCCTAACGGTGGTGTCAATGCGATTTACTTTACCCTTCCCTTAGCGAAACTTTGGAGCCGCACCTGGTTGCAGTCGATATTGATACTGCTGTTGCTTTAATTGTCGCTGTTGTTGAAGAAAAATGGCAATCTTCATTTTTGAATAGGACGAGCGTCCGAAAATGTACTGAAATAACAAAGCGGTCACATTTTTGGTTACCACTTACATCATCATCATTGTCATCATCACCATCCGATCATCAGGGTCATCATCATCCGATCATCAGGGTCATGATCATCCGATCATTACGGTCGTTATCATCCAGTCATCATCACCCTCATCACGCCGTCACCACAAAACCGCCAGAAACTGGATTGTCCATCGCGCTTTGTTCTTTGTTGTGATTTGGCGTGGTGTGGTTCGGCATAGCACCGAGAAGAGGAGTGGGGGAATCGCGAGACGCTTCTAATTTGCGTAAGTTTGTAAACAGAGGCCCCACGTGGCGAGACTGGCGAGTCGGCCGGCCACACAGTGTAGTGGAGCCGCGTCGCGGGGGGAGAAAGGAGGAGGGGGGCTCGTCTTCGGCGGCTTCGGCGCATTATTTAGCGGTGCGCATGAAAAGTAGACTCGGGCTTTTTCCAGGCGGTGTTTACGGCGCCTCGCTGGACCTGTACTTGTTTTGCTGGAGCTGGAAATGATTACAGAAACGGGAGAGCGGACGGAACGCTCGCGCCAAGCTAAATTTTCCATCCGGTGGGACTTGATGGTGTTTGCGATGCGCGCCGCTGGTTTTCGTCGTGAAGCTCATAGGAAAATCCGGAGGAAGTACTCTTCGTCTCGGCCGTGCGAAGCGAATCCCGGAAAACACAAAGAAGTGCGTTCCTTGATTAATGCATCGCGTCAGCGGAACTGGAACTGCCGTGTTTGCTTCACGATCGTCGCCAGCGTTACTGTAACGGTGTCTGGTCTTCCCCGAGACAAGCCTCTGTGCACCAAGATGCACTGTGGGCCGGGAAACCGGCGCTGGCTGCCAAAATTCTAGGCGCGTTTTGAGGTCCTGAGTCGCTAATGGGACAACCCCCCTAGCTGGCCAGCGTTTCTCTTCTTTTACCAGGAATTACTCAGAGTTTCTGGCGGCGTCCGAAACAGTCGCGCTCCTCGTGTGCGGGTATTGGGGGCGATAGAAGACGTCTCGGATGCCTTTCGGGTCCGAGGGAACCACCGGGAACCATGGTGCGCCCGATCTCTGCTGATGAGGGCATTTAGGGCGGCGACACACACTCCGCAGTGTCGTTGCGGGACGAAGTGCGAGTCATGCTGTTCCCAGTTCAATGTGCAGCGCGTCGGCGTTCGAAACGACACCGCCACACTGTGGAGGCGGCGGAGGGGCCGACCCGACGCGGGCCTCGACGCGGAGTCGCGGAGACAGCCCCGCGACACGCGCGGCAAGCCCGCCAGGCAGGCAGACAGTCGTGCTCCTACATCAATCAGAGATTCGTCAATTGCGAGTCGGGGTCACAGCCAAGTCCCACGCGGTCGTGGAGGGTAATGCCAGCTTTCGGGCGCCTTGCGAGCGCCTTGCGAGTGTGTGAGAACCCGGTCCGAATTCGCGGTAACCACAGTTATCCCTTTGCACGGAGGATGCGCGCCATACCGGACACTGCAAAAAAAGGAAGTCAAAGTAGTGAACAAAACTATACGCATTTTAGTTGAGACTTAGGTTTCCTCAGAAGGTATAACCCCACGAACGGAACCAAATCAATTCTAGTCAATGCGGTGAAACTTTTTTGGCAGAGGAGAGTCCCCGACCAGTGTATAGACCAGTTCCAGCAGCGGGTCGCACGGCACAGACCACACAAACACGATCGCGTGTAAACAATCGCACCAATAGCCCGCGAAGAAAGTTTTGGCAGTGTACACCGCGTGAAAATTGCGCGGTGCGCGCGGGTACACTGTTGGGCGTGTGGGTCGTCTAGGTGGACCGGGTATTCACCGTCCCCTATCTGCCTATCTGCCGGGTGCGCGCGGCCGGGTCCTCCGCTCTGCACGTGTTCGCAGCCGAGCATCATTAAGACCTCAGTCGCACTCGAGAGACAACCGCTCGAGTGTATCCTTATCCGTCGCACTGGAAACTCTATATTCCATTTTGTGACATTATTTTCATGGTCGTTGGGGGGTGGACTCTGATCTCGTTTCCTTCACATTCTGCTTTCTCTACGAACAACAACAAAAACAACAAACAACAACAGCAAACAACCCCACAGAAAAGTCCCCATCGGTTGATTTTTGATCCAGTCTTCGCGTACTGTCCAAACCCTTCATTGGTTGAGCGCACGCGCCTCCCCCTTCCCCTCCCCCTCCCCGCCTAGGGCTACTACTTGTCGATGAGATAACCGTTTATCAGTCCATCTCCACCTGACAGTCTCCGGCCGACAGTCGCAGCCACGCGCCCCGCGGCCCTGCTTGCCAGCCTGCCCGGCGGCGAGCCCTCCGCCGAGTCCTTCGGGGACGAGCAGTCGCTGGCGGACATGGCGGAGACGGAGCACGCCGTCGAGCGCGCCGAGGACGGCGTCGACGGAGACCTGCCCGCGTGGGTGCCGGGCGCGTTCGACCTGGCCGGCGAGCTGGCCGCCAACCCCAGGCTGCGGCAGGAGGACCTGGACGAGCTGGCGACCTGGGCGCGCAAGCAGCACGCCCTGCCGGCCATGCAAGGTACATTCGCCGACAACAAAACACAGTGCTAGACGAGCGCAGACGAGTCAGTCCTGTTGGTCCTGTTGGCCGAATCCAGAGGGCGACTTCGTCAAGTTCCTGCACAGCTGCGAGTACGACGTGCTCGCCGCCCAGCAGTGCATCAACTACTACTACCGGACCAGGTCGACGACGCCGAGCGTCTTCTGCGACCGGGACGTGCGCCTGCCCAGCGTCCGCGCCCAGCTCAACGTGTTGTGAGTGCAGGGAGAATCGATCCCAATCGATGGTGGTGCAGCGCGAGAGTCGAACGCCGCCGCGACTAATCGAAGCGGAGACGCCTGGGCGGGCCTGGGCGGGGTCACTGTTAGTCACCATCGCACGCAGGCCGTGATAAGGGGTTATCTTTACACACCGCCCTCTCTGACGCCCACCTCGCGTGGACGGGGCGCCGCGCGCCGCTCAAAACGGAAGGACTCAAGGATTGCTCGCTGAAACGGAAACGGTGTCGTAGCCCAGGGCCTCGCGGCTACAGGGTGCAACGCCCCTCACGCACACACACACACACACACACACACACACACACACACACACACACACGGCAGATACTGACGTGAGGACAAACTGCCAGATAGGTGGGCTGCAAACAAGAGGAAAAGCATCACAAGGCTTACCAAAGGACAATACACCCAGAAAAAGACAACATTTCTTGAAAGAAGAAAATTTGCTTGGAACGAGGATAATTTACTTCATGGTGAAGAAAATAACCCTTGTTTAAAATAAATTAGCCTTATTCCAAGAAAAGTGAATTTTCCTAAGAAATGATTTTTTTTTGGGGGGGGGGTGTGATTTTTTTTTTGGGGGGGGGGGCACCTGCCTGCCCTTCTAGAATTGAAAAAGGAATTTCAAAGAACGCCCCGAGCGCTCTCCCTCGCAGTGTAATGCGAAATCAAATCGATCTATAGAAAAACTCGTCCGTGATTGGCGAAATACGGGTTGGGGTCCGAACGATAAGATACTGAGATTGGAACAGGAATCGGGCAGCCGCCGGCTGCGTTTGAAGTTATAGGAAGCCGGGCTGATTACTGCAGTTTGACTCACAGACGGGCCGGTGGCCGATGACCGCTGGCCGATGGCCGCTGGTCAAAGCGCCTGACCAGCGCCGGGTGGGCAGCCGCCACCCTCCCCTGAGCGGCGGGTCTGCCTACCCTGCCGGCCGCAGGCGCTAGCTAGCGCTAGCTGGCGCACAGTGGGCCAGAAGACCGGTGGAGGCGGCCAAAACTCTAAACGCGTTTGTGGCGGCTCCCACGGCAACTTAGTGCCTCGGCAGGGACTTCGTGGTGGTGCCGAGGCTCGCCCCGGACGGCTGCCGGATCATCATAAACGGGCTGACGGACCCGGACCCCCGCAACTACGTGTTCGAGGACCACCAGAAGCTGCTGCTCATGATGATGGACGCCATGGTGGCGGCCGAACCCACACTGCCCGGCGTCTACATCATCTACGACCTGGACATGGGGCTCATCAGCCACTTCTGGAAGTTCGGCTTCTGGCTGCAGAGGAAGCTGTTCGCCTACTTCCAGGTCAGCCTGCTCAGATTGTCGCTCTGTCTCTCTCGCGACCTTATGGAGAACCCCATGAGTGCGACAGAGACGACTTTTCTGAATCGCTCGGTGCCCGCCGTCACGTGTGTCTTCATTCTATTCCCTTGCGACAGGGTGGGCTTCCCCTGCTGCTCAAGAGCTGCATTCTCCTGCACACCCCGTCCTACATCAACACCGTCATGAAGGTGCTCAGGAACTTCACCGACAGGAAGCGACTGGACGAGGTGCGTGCACATGTCCTACTTGTAGCCGGAAAGGTTCTACCTTTCGAAACGCTCTGATCACTCGGTTATGTTTTCCAGACGAAAATGTTCGAGGGCGACGATTTTGCCGAGCTGCACAAACTGCTCCCGAGGGAGTGCCTTCCTAGCGACTACGGCGGCACCCTGCCCTCTCGGAAGGAGCTCCACGGTAGGTGCCCCAAGCCCGGCCCCACCCCTGCTACGCAGACTGAGAGCCGTTTTCGTCGCCCTGTCTCTCTAGCCCTCATGGGGTGCCCTGACGAGAACGACTCTCTTGCCTCCGCTCAGTCAATACAGTGTGGTGTGTGGTTGCGGTTGCAGAGATGACCTGGAGACGGCTCGACTCTCTGCGGGACTCCTTCGCGGAGGAAGAGGAAGCGCTCAAGAAGAAATGAACCCTCTAACTTAACGTCCTTTCTGTGATGACTGGTCCGAGCCGGACGTACGTCTCGAGATGTCGGATCGAGATATCGATTCGAGATGTCGGTTCGAGATGTCAGCCACAAGAGCGCGTCAAAAGCACTGTGGGAGTGTCGCAGCGCGCGGCGCGCGGCTTGTCTTGTGATAACTTAGTTGCTAGGTGTACATATCAGTGTTGGTAATTTGTTGTGACAATAAAAATCTTTTGACGTAGTCTTGTCCCGAGTGTCGTCTTCTTTAACTTCCCTGCGAACGACGTCCGTGTTGCGCATGCGACGCGCTCATCTTGTTCGACAATGGGGAAAACACGCAAAGCCTTCAATAAAGTACCGACCTGATGTCATCGGCGTTTGACACGTTTTACGACAGTTTTGCGGTAGCGATGACGCGCCTTGCAGCAAACTTGCTCCCGGATGCCTGTTTTATGCCTAATCTGCCGCCTGCGAGGCAGGCAACCCATCCGTCACCGATCGCGGCTCGGTGGCCGCCCGGTCCCACCCGCGGCCCGCGCCGATAACTGTGTACACTGTTTTGTTTGAACAACGGTGCGCTTGGTTTGATGCGTGCTCTGCACACCAAAAGAACGCACACGAAAATGAATGCAACTTTATTCCTTCCATCCACTTCTCCGATTGTTTTGAAATTTTCCCGCTGAGCATGTGGAACACTAGCGCCGCGCGGCAAGGCGGAGGGTGCACTAGCGCTCGCCTCGCGGGGTTTTGATTGAACTAACCGGCTTGGCGCGGCATCACTGCTGTCACAGCTGAATGTCAACAAATCGTCCGAACTGTGTACTTAATTCGTTTTAAAAATGTCTGAGATTAACTTTAATTTTAACATGAAGGTGATTAAAAGCGAAATTCAAAGGGCTATTTCAGAATTATCTGAAAGAGGCTTATTGCACAGCACAAAATGGTAAGGGGTGTTGATTTCCCATCTTTTGAATGAGTAACTCTCCTCAACAACATTCCTCTTTGCCTTGTTGTTCCACTCATACAGAGTTTATCAGCCTTCTAATCTTCATTTATGCGTTAAAATTGTTGTCCTTACAAGGCGTGACTGTTTCTTAAATGTACTAACTCATGATACATGTTAGGTTATGATACACATTGTTTACTCCACACTGTCAAAGTTATTGAAGTTATAATATTAGAATTGAGTAACGGTTTGTACATTTGCACGGAATTAAAACGATTCTGTCCAATTTAAATTTATTTGGTTGAGTTGGGTGATATTACAGATACAATTTTTATCTTGCGGGTTCCGGTACAGTAGATGTTTTCTACCCCTGTTCACTCTTACTTCGTTTAAAAGTTTCCTGCTCTAAAATCTTTGTAAATAGCATTTGAGTTACATGACCCAGTTAATTTACTTTTTTCCTCAACTGTGATGCATGGTCTTTCTAGAGTCTTGAAAATAAATAATATTTGCTTTCATCTGCAGGTTGGCCGAAATGAACATAGCTTTGAAGGATGTACCAATCAACTCCTCAGACTATTCAGCTGTCTATAATACCACTAGTAATTTTGGAGAAGATGATTCAGATTTATATGTACTTGCCAAAACTTATTTTGACCTCAAAGAACTAGATAGGTAAGTAACATTGATTTTCTTTTAAAAAGAAAGCATTGTTTTATATTTGTGCTTCCAGTTTTCATAACCAAAACTTTTAAAATTTTCTTAAATTTCAGATGTGCCTTTTACACCAAAAATAGCACTTCTCCAAGGATAAAATTTCTTCACTTATATTCGCGGTATCTTTCAGGGGAAAGAAAAAAGCTTCATGACATGACTGATACTGCCTTACCGCCAGATCCAACGCAAAATACTTCATTACGTGAATTGTCAAGTGAATTGCGGTTTGAGCATAAGGAAGGGAAACTTGATGCATATTGTCTTTATTTGTATGGAATCGTCCTCAAACGCCTAGAGCTTGTGAGGGAGGCTCAAAATGTCCTAATTGAAGCAATTCACAAGGAGCCTATGCACTGGGGGGCTTGGCTAGAACTAGCAGCACTTGTGTCTGACAAGGGAAAGGTAAGATTTTGTTGTGAGTTCAGTTCTACAGTTTTGAATGTCTTATAACCTTTCTGGAACTTGTTGGCAGTTTCCTATGTCATCGCTCCCAATTCACTGGATGAGACACTTTTTTGAAGCTCATACCTACTTAGAACAGCAACTGAATGATGCTGCTTTGGAGGTTTTCTACCAACTGCAGCAAAATGGGTTTGAGAAAAGTAGTTATATTACTGCTCAAACAGCCATAGCTTCTCACAACAGAAGAGGTTGGTGAAATGAATAGTAATACAGTATCTTTGTCATAAGCAGTTTTGTGTGTGTGTTTCCTATGTCTACATTTATTTCATTTCTTTCAACTAATCTTTACAGAGGTTGATACTGCTATAGCCACATTCCGCAATTTGCACAAAGAAGACCCGTATAGATTAGACAACTTAGATGTGTACTCTAATCTTCTCTATGTCAAAGAATTAAGAGTAGAGTTATCTCAATTGGCACATCATGTGTGTGAAGTTGATAAATATAGGGTAGAAACTTGTTGTGTCATAGGTGAGTATTAGATGCCATATTTTTTCTGTGAATTAAGTATCTCTCAAGACTTTTGGGTTGCTAAATCATATTTTATTTCAGGAAATTACTATAGTTTACGTTCTGAACATCAAAAGGCTGTGCTGTATTTTCAAAGAGCATTAAAATTAAATCCTCAGTACTTGTCTGCCTGGACGCTAATGGGACATGAGTTGATGGAAATGAAAAACACTTATGCTGCAATTCAAAGCTATAGACAAGCAATTGGTAATGAGAAGAAATTTTTTTAATACTTTGGTAGTGTCATGGCATCATAATTCTTATCTGTAATTTGTTCTTTTCAGAGGTCAATAGGAGGGACTATCGTGCCTGGTACGGTCTTGGTCAGACCTATGAAATACTGAAGATGCCTTTTTACTGCCTTTATTACTACAAGCAAGCTCAACAATTGAAACCAAACGACTCTCGTATGCTGATAGCACTAGGAGAAACATATGAGAAGCTTGATAAAATCCAGGAAGGATTGAAGTGCTACTTTAAGGCTAGAAGTGTTGGTGATATTGAAGGCATTGCTCTTCTCAAAATGGCTAAGTAGGTTAAACTCCATCGCAGTTTTTTAAAATTTTAACAATAATAAATTCTAATCTGTGCTTTTTAATATCATTGTAGACTTTACGATAAACTACAAGAGAGTGAAAATGCATCAGCTGCATATATTGAATATGTGACTGACAATGAATGTAGTCAAGCAGGCGACAAGAGCGAAGTTAGCCAAGCTTATAAATACCTTGCAAACCATTACATCAAACGTAACCAATTAGATGAAGCATACAAGTATGCTCATAAATGTCTTGATTATGAAGAGGTAGGCCTTCAAATTTAGTATTCCAGAAGCTCAATAAATTTGCTTTGAATTTTTTATTTTGGACTCACTCTTATGTTTTTTTTTCTTTTTTTCTTTACAGACAAGAGAAGAAGGTAAAGCACTATTGAAGGCTGTAGCTCAAACAAGAAGTCAAGCTGACAGAGAAATGATGGTCAGTAATATTTCTATGTCTTGTTAACATACATCATTCGGAACATTTTAATATTGTTATCTTATTGTTAAATCTGATTTTAAAAGAAATTAAAATGAAGATTTTGCAGTCAACTGACTATCATCAAATGTGTTGTAACATTTAGTAAAACATATACTCAAGAGTTAAACACAGTTGGGAACCTTTGATATAGGATCACAGTTGCTTGTGACTGGATTGTAGGCTGTCGTTGGTTCACAGCTACCAACCTTCATCGTTCCATCTCGCAGGCACATAATAAAGAAATGGCAGTTTCCTGGGTAGGGATGACGTGAGTGGTCTCCAAACTCCAAAATATTGTGTAGAGGACACTTGAATAGCACTGGTTTCATTGAATCTTCAGGTTTTGGGGTTGGGGCTATAAAGAATATCATCAAATTAACTCCATAGCATTAACACTTTTTCTTTATCTCAGGTATTTTTGTCCTTACCAATTAATGGGGCCTCTGTATTGGGCTTTTCACACAGAACCAAGTCCTCATCTGTTGGTGTTCGGCACATTTTCTTTTCATTGTCAAATACTAAATTTTTGGGGCAGGTGTCTGGCACTGCCGTGCTATTGTCACATTTGTAGAAGCGGTTACAGTTGTTGGGGTCAGGGTAAATGCCAAACAGCCTTTCGCAGACTCCTCTTCCCTTGGGAGCCTCTGCAAGAAAATGTATTTATTTAAATTGACCCTGTGAAATTTGCAGCAGTTTCTTTGCTCAATTTAACACTCACGCAATTTTTTGCCTGCCGAACAAGTTACTTCATGAAGTAGTCGACAACCTTTGAAGAGCACAAAGCCGTAGCCATCGAGACACTGGCCCAGGTAGGGCTGTCCATTTTGGCATGTGAAGTAGCGATCACAGTAGACTTTGTGGGGGCGTGAGTAGCTGCCTCCAGGTTCACACACAGGCCATTCCGTCGCTGTTGACAGTCAGTTATTTTCCGGGTTTAGTTTTGATTTTGGCATCGTATAGGGAAGTTGTTGACGAGGCTGTGGGCACGCGACCCTGCAAAGGAATGGCTGGAAGCTAAGATCGTCGGCCTGCTGTCGGCTATTCACCTTCGCCTGCAGAGCCGTCCCAGGAGACGGTCAGGGACACGCCCTCCAGCGGGTTGATGGGCGGCGCGTCCTCCACGTCGAAAAAGGCCTCCCTCTCCGGGAAGCCGTCGACGCCGTACGCGGACAGGGCGTCCACCAAGCACCCCAGCAGGAGCAGCCCCAGGACCCACGCCGTCAAACCACCCGCACCACCCGCACGCGCCATGGCCACGGCTTGACTGACGCTGTGCCGCGTCCTGGGGAATGCAGTGCTGCAGTGCCACCTCGGCGTCAACGGCCACCCTCGCCCGCCTGGCCGCCTGGCCGACATCTCTAATAGTCTTCTCCATTAGGCGATAGCGTGCGGCCCACCGCCCTCGTCTCTCTGTCTCTCTCGCTCCCTGCAGGACGCCCCGTGGGTGGGAGAGAGACAGAGCGACGAAAGCTCCGTCCGAAGGCAGCCCTCTGGGGAGATAAAACACGATCCCCCCGTGTGTGTGATGCGGCGCTGCCTATGCTGACTGGGGGGCCAGGGGCCGCTCTCCGTCTTCGTCTCACCGACGCGCCGCGTGGTCGTCCTGTCTCTGTCGCACGCCCACGCGCTCTGGCCGTAGATAACATCCCGAAGAGCATCTCTGTGCCACCATTTCTCGGACGTCGACATCTGCTGGAAGCAGATAGTGGGAGGGAGATAGGTGACGTTTGCCTCTGTTTTTAAGCTAGTGTAGTAGCGAGTTTTATCTTTTCTGAATTTTTGGTCGCGATGTTTGTGTTCTGTGTTGAGCTTTTAGCTCGCTCAAAAACTTTGAATTGTTGTCAATATTAATTGAGTTGCCTGTAACCTTTCCGTTATGCGGTGAATAAATGGAGCCCACTTGAGGAAATAAAGAGATTCAAGTTTATATTACGGGTTCTTTATTAAAAGCAATTATCACATTACAATGGGAAGAGTGAGGTGCGAGAGAGTTAGAATCTGAGCAAGGCACACCTCATATTTCTATACTTATATATCTCTCTCTAATTAACATAATTTGGGACAATTTTTTTTCAGTAAACTTCGGTAACTTTGTAGATAAAATGCCTTGCACAGCAATACAAAAAATACGAAACAATTGCTTATAAAAATTACTTTCTCAGAATACAATTATTGGCAGTCTTATACTGTGATAATCTTATTAAAGAGGATTGTGTAACAACAAACAATAATCAATTATATTTATTTAGCCCTAACATTTTATCAATTTAAACGCCTCCTCCTGATATTAAATGTACAAAGTCAATCACAGTATTGGGCAATTTTAGGAATCCTCCTTCGATAACAAGAAATCGTAATTCATAATCCACTAGCATAGTATTAAATACAAGAGCGGCGTCGGTGGTCCTAGGAGTGTTACATATAATTAATTCAGGTCAGTTTGATTTTAGAAAATGTTACTATAAGGGATTCCTGGTTCTCCCAGGCACCACCGACAAATATTTACAACATTCACAAACAACACTATCACATAAGTAAAGGATGGGCGCAAATCCTCCGGCGGCTGTGAGACAGACAGCCTAATGGGCAAAGCAGCTTTGACGGACTAATAAAGGCAAAAAGGAGTCTGATACTCGGTTTTACATTTCAGAAACAGTACACAATTTTTCTGGAAGGGTGGAAAAGAAATTGCGTTAAAGAAAGGGTAGACCCTCCACCACTGCTAAGAGTGAGTCCCCAAAATCAGTGAAACGATAACAGCTCTACTCGATGAGAACGCTGCTACGCTGCTGCCCTAGCCGGCGGAGGAGGTGCATTCGCCCAGGAACCGGGGCCGTCGCGGGGTTCCCAAGTGCTTGGCGGGCGGGGCGGGAGCGCGAGCGCGGTGTTCTGCTCGCGAGGGGGTGCGCCGCCGCGCCATGCGTCCGCCGCGGTTCCGTTGACGGGGAGGTGAGGTCCGGGTACACCTCAGCCCCCCGTCGGGGGAGGCGGGAGGCGCCGTGCCCCCCAGGGGTGAGGGCGGTGCCCTGGCAAAAGCCCCCAGTCGTGTGTGCGCGGCACTAGCTACTTCCACTCATCCAAAAAGAAATAAATACCCCTAAATTTCGACGCAAACGCATTCACAACAAAATAACGAATGGCACTACTGGTCCGGGCTGGCTGTCGCCCAACGGCATCGCCCCCGGTGCGCGGCGTGGCGTCCTGGTGGAGCGCGGGCACGCCGCGCTGGGAACACAAGCAATGTCTTGCAAGGAGTCTTCTTTTCTTGATTCACTTACGCACGCACACTTTGACACATTCACACGCACTAAAAAACACACACGCATTCACGCTTTCAGTCACGCTCGTCAGTATTTGGTTTGGTTACGAGAGGTAGTCGGGCGAGGGCTCGGCGACGGGCTCTGGCGTGGTGAAGAGCGGGTTCGGGAACTCCGGCGGATGCGGGAGCGGGCCCTGCGCTCTGGGCCGCCTCCTCCACGCCATGAGCCAGCACGACACGGCCACCGCCACGGCCACGAGGGCCAGCAGCGCCGTCAGCACCAGCGCGATGATGAAGCCGATCATGGACACGCAGATGTCGTCCACCTGCTGCGTCTCTGGCGCTGCAGAAAAAGACAAGGCTTTCGTTAGTCGGGGGTTCAAGCACCCCACTGGGCGTTCCCAAGGCTTTCCCCGGGCACTTACCTTCCGTGGGATCGACGAAGCGCTCCTCGCGCCGCTCGAAGGTGAGGATGGCGTTGGACTGGATGGTGATCTCCTCGCGGAGCTGGCCCTCGAACACCGACTCGGCCACGTCCACGGCCGTCTGGTTTTGCCGCTCGTCGCCGATCTCTCTCCTCCTCCTCCGGCCGTACGCGTTCAGGTCGCGGCAGTTGACCTGCAAACACAACAAGCATGTAGTCCAGGCCAAGCGCCTTACGAGGGTGGGGTAGGCAAGCCCGCCACACAGAGGTGCGCGACAGGCGGGCCTACCCGCCAGGCGGCCGCCAGGGGCGCGGTAGGCAGGCCCGCGACGCAGCGCTGTGCGACAGGCAGGCCCACCCGCCAGGCGCTCCGTCGAGGCTCCAACTTACCGGCTGGCACTTCCCGAAGCACACGCGGATGTTGCACTGGAAGCGGATGTTGTCGCTGCTGGGGAACTTGAAGGCGTTGAAGCTGGCCAGCAGCGACATGGTCTCCGCGCTGTGCTCCCACTCGCCGAAGATGGACGGGTCGGTGGCGCAGCCGTTCTCGTCCGTTACGATGTACTCGTTCTCCACGTTGTCCTCCATCGTCTTGGCGACGCAGCTGCGCGCGAAGCCTCCGTAGATGCTGGACGGCTGCACGTCCACCTGCAGCATGAGGTTGTCGCCGATCTCGGCCGAGTTGATCTCCTGGCCGGTGTGGGTGACGATGCGCATGATGCACGTGGGCGGCGGCCCGGTGTTGGCGATCGTGCCGGCCGTGGTGAGCATGGACACGTTGAAGCCCAGCGTCACGTTCTGCTCGCCCGTCGCGTACACGCACTTGATGTGGTAGGCCTGCGCCTTGTACGTCACCAGCTTGGGGTGCTTCTGGATCACCAGCACGAAGCTGGCCTGGCCCTGCGAGAGAGAGGCGCTCGTCAGTACACTGCAAAGCTCTCTGGAGTCCTGTCTGCTGCAGGCCGCGCTGGCCGTACTTACATTAACGTGGGTGAGTCCGCAGGTGCCGAACTGCACCTTGAAGCGCTCGGTGCGCTGCGTCGAGTCGTGCGGCAGCGTCACTACACTGCGGCAGTTCTCGTCCTTGGAGTGGCCCTTGACGTAGAGCACGCCGTTGAAGCCGCGCTCCGTGATGTGGATCTCGACCTGCACGCCGTCCGAGAGGCAGGACACCACCATCTCCGGCGGCAGGAACTCGACGCGCAGCGTGGTGGGCGGGGCTGCGAAGCGGACACGTTAGCGTCATGAGCTGACCAGTGTTAGAGCGGGCCAGAAGGCCGGTGGAGGCGGCCCGAAATTCTAGACGCGTTTTGAACTCCGGAGTCGCTAATCGGGACTCGAACCGAACGTGTGACCCCACCTATGGATTCCTCGTTTGGAGAGCAACCCATTGGTGGGGTCACACGTTCACCTCGAGTCCTATTCAGCGACTCTGGCGCTCAAAACGCGTCACGTGTTTGGCCTCCTCCGCCGGTCTTCCGTCCCACTGTGCGGGGCGACACGAAGGGGCGACACGAAGGGGCGACACTCACTGCAGTTGATGTAGGGGTCGCCGCTGTAGCCGGTGATGCACTGGCAGATGGCCTGGTGGCGCGTGGCGTTGCACAGCGCGTGCACACCGCACCGCTTGATGAGGCACGGGTCCTCGCAGGTCCTCGTCTCCAGGTTGCAGTACCGGTCGTCGGCGCAGTCGTCGTTGGTCTGGCACTCGGGCACGGCCACTGCGGGCAACACCGGACTCGTTAGACAACGTCATGATCGTCTCGCTGCACTACTTGGAGCTCGGCAGCACTACTCACCGAGCACGCAGAAGCCCTGGGCGTTGAGGCGGTAGCCGTGTTCGGGCGGGCACACGCAGTTGCCTCGCTCGTCGATGACCATGCCCCTCTCCAGGGCGCACACGCAGCGGCCGCGCTCGTCCACGCGGAGACCGTCCTCCTCGCGGCACGGCACGCACACGTCGTCCTCGTTGAAGGCGTGGCCCGGCGGGCACACGCAGTTGCCGTTGTCGTCGCGGATCAGGCCCTTGTCCGTGGGGCAGCGCTTGACTGCGGGAAGGGAGGGAAGGTTAGGAACTTGTTTCTAGTGAAATACACAAAGCTCGGCAGGAGGTACTCACTCTTGTCGCACTGCACGATGGCGTTGCCTTGGTATCCGGGCAGGCACTCGCACACCATGGTGCGCACGGGCGCCGTGTCGAACACCTTGCACTCGGCGTTGACGCCGCACGGCTCGGTGATGTTGCAGGGGTTGACGCACTCCTCGTTGATGCAGGCCGTCTGGGACGGGCAGTCGAAGTCGCCCCGGCAGGCCACGTCCACCTTGGCGCAGCCGCGGCCCAGGTCGCCGACGAAGCCGGGCGGGCAGGAGCAGTCCGTCTGGTGGTTGTAGACCTTGCACTCGGCGGGCGGCTGGCAGGGGTTGGCGGCGGCGCAGGGGTTGGCGCACTCGGCGTTGATGCAGGCGCGGTCCGACGGGCAGTCCGAGCTGCTGCGGCAGCCCACGAGCACGCAGGCGATCTCGGGGTTGCCGCTCATGCCGGGCGGGCACTCGCACACGGCGCGGTGGTTGGCGCCGTAGCACACGGCCTGCGTGCCGCACGAGCTGCCGTCCGCCGCGCACACGGGCACGCACGTGCGGTCCACGCACGCGTGCTGGCCCGAGCACTCGGCGTCGCTGCGGCACCCGATGCGCGTGCACTCGATGTCGGGGTTGCCGTCGTAGCCCTCCCTGCAGGCGCACACGGGCTTGTGGTCGCGGATGATGCACTCGGCGTTGGGCCCGCAGTTGCACGGGTTGCGGCAGAGGCCGTTGACGCACGCGCGTTCCGCGGGGCAGTCCGAGTCGGCGGCACACTCGACGCTCGACAGCGGCGGCGTGGCCTTGCAGGTGCCGCTGCCGCTGCTGACGAAGCCGGGCGGGCACACGCACACCAGCGTCCTCACGGGGTTGGTGTCCACGACCTGGCACTGGCCGGGCTGGCGGCACGGCTGCAGCACCCCGCAGGGCTCCACGCAGCGCGCGTTCAGGCAGGCCAGGCGGGACGGGCAGTCCGAGTCGACCTGGCATTCGGGACGCGGCTCCGGACGACAGCCCACGTAGGGGTTGCCCTCCAGGCCGGGCGGGCAGCGGCACACGGCCAGGTGGTTCTGCACGCGGCACTCGGCGCGCGGCGCGCAGGGGTGCTCGTACACGCAGGGGCTGATACACTGCGCGTTGACGCAGGCGCGGTCCGTGGGGCAGTCGTTGTTGGAGCGGCAGCCCACGACGTGGCAGCGCTCGCGAGGGTTGCCGCGGTAGCCGCTCAGGCAGCGGCATTCGGCGCGGTTGGCGTAGGCGTAGCACTCGGCGTTGACGCCGCAGGGCTCGCCCACCAGGCAGGGGTTCACGCAGTTGCCGTTCACGCACGACTTCTCAGACTCGCACTCCGAGTCGCTGCGGCAGCCCACTGCAAAACCAACAACACCAAAATATTAAACTCACGTAAAACGCCGGCGAATGTTCCAACTGAGCTGGGTCAGAGCGTACCTGCGCGGCAGGCGATGTTGGGGTTGCCCTCGTAGCCGTCCTTGCACGAGCAGATGGGGCGGTGGTCGCGCACCAGGCACTCGGCGTCCACGCCGCAGTCGCACGGGTTGCGGCACATTCGGTTGATGCAGGACTCGTCGTTCGGGCAGTCGTCGTTCTTGGTGCAGCCCGGGGGCTTGGGTAGGGTCACTGCGGAGGAGAGAGAGGAGGGTTAGAGGTCGAAGTCCTGGAGGAGGTGGCGACCAGACGGGGTAGTGCCAAGTACTCACCAGGTTTGCACTCGCCGCGTTGGTCGGGCACCCAGCCCTCAGGGCAGACGCAGGTCATGGTCCTGACGGGCACGCTGTCCAGCACACTGCAGTGCGCGGTGGCGGCGCACGGCGCTAGCTCTCGGCACGGCTCCACGCACTTCTGGTTGATGCAGGCGAGTCGAGAGGGGCAGTCCGGGTCGGCACGGCACTCCGGCGCGGCCGGCGTCGGCGGCGGCGCGCGCTCGCAGTGAGCCATGGGGTTACCGACGGGCAGGTGCTCGGGGCAGCGGCAGCCCGCCACGTGGTTCGTCACGAAACAGATGGCGTTGGCGGCGCACGGCGACGCGGCGCACGGGTTGACGCAGTGCTCGCTCACGCACGCGCGGTTGCTGGGACAGTCGTCGTCCACGCGGCACTCGGCGCGCACGCAGCGGTCCAGCGGGTTGCCGTGGTAGCCGGCCGGGCAGCGGCAGTTGGCGCGGTGGTTCTCGCCGAAGCACTCGGCGTTGGCCGCGCACGGGTCGCCCACGATGCACGGGTTCAGGCACTCGCCGTTGTAGCACTGCTTGGTGTTGGGGCACTCGCTGTCCGACTGGCAGCCCACTGTGAATAGAAAGTCAAGTTCTCATTACCGTGAACTACCTCCACTCCAAGCGAACCTCCATCGACACCTCTACTGTACTCACGTTTGACGCAGCCGATCTGCGGGTTTCCGGAGTAGCCCGGCTTGCAGAAGCACACCGGGTAGTGGCTGGTGACCTGGCACTCGGCGTTGGGGCCGCAGTTGCAGGGGCTGACGCACAGCCGGTTGACACAGGACTCGCTGGGGCCGCACTCCGAGTTGGAGGAGCAGCCCACGGTGGCGGCAGCAGCTGCGGGACCAGAACCAAAACCATGAGCCACTTCGCTGCCGGGGCGCGACTCGGCGCTGCTGGAGGCGGTCGAGGTCACTCACGTGGTCGGCAGCCGGTGGTCGGCGTCCCCTCGAAGCCGGCGGGGCAGCGGCACACGGGGCGGTGTTGCTCCACGTGGCAGAAGGCGCCCAGCGCGCACGCGTCCTCCAACGCGCACGGGTTGACGCACAGCTGGTTGCGGCACGACCGGTCGAAGGGGCAGTCATCGTCGCGCAGGCACTCCGCGGGCGGAGGCAGCGCGGGGATGCGGGGTTCTGCAAGGAACGTGCGTTAGTCTCAGGTTCGAGTCCCGGCGGGCGCCTCGTCTTTCCCTCGTGGATACTCACGGACAGTACACTCGATGTGCGGGTTGCCGACGTAGCCGGGCGGGCATGAGCAGACGGCGCGGTGGCGCTGCGAGTCGCACTGCGCGTTCACGCCGCACTGGTCCACTCGGCAGGCCAGCTGGCAGCTTCCCTGCACGCAGCGGTCCGGGTCGCGGCAGTCGCCGTCCACGCGGCACTGCGGCGCGGCTTGGGCTGCAACCGGGCCAGGTTAGGTTAGGGTCACCTCGGTCGCACTCATGGGGCGTCGCAAGGAGAGACTCACCGATGGGGCTGCAGCGGCCGTCCTTGGAGGCGATGGTGTCGGCGGGGCACACGCACACCACGGTGCGCAGCGGCAGCGTGTCCAGCACGCGGCACTCCTGGGCGGGCGAGCACACGGCCGACACGGCGCACGGGTTCTGGCAGCGCTGCTGCAGGCACGAGAGCTGCGACGGGCAGTCGGCGTCCTGGGTGCACTCGGGGATGTCCTCCACCACGACGGGCACCTTGGGGCCTGGAAGAGAGCCGACGGGGATGTCAAGGAAGGTCCGAAGAGCGTAGAGGTAAAGCGGTGGCCGGGATTGGAACCCGCGGGGCGTACCGAGGCACTCGATGTAGGGGTTGCCGACGGTCCCCGGCGGGCAGCTGCACACGGGCTGGTGCTTGCGGCCCGCGCAGGTAGCCGTCACGGCGCAGGTCTCCTGGTCGCACACGGGGCGGCACACGCGGTTGAGGCGGTCGCAGGCCTCGTGGTCGGCGCAGTCCTCGTTGTACTGGCACACGCCGGCCACGCACGACAGGAATGGGTCTCCCTGCGTGCCGGCCGGGCACACGCACTGCGCGCGGTGCGCCTGCACCAGGCACTCGGCGCCGCGGCCACACTGCACCGCGCCGTGCACGCACGGGTTCAGGCAGTTGCCTTCGATACAAGCCTTGTCGTAGACGCAGTCGGAGTCCGCCTTGCATTGCGCTGCAACACGAAAAAGGCAAGTAAGTAAACTCGAAAAAAAGTAAACTCCCGCGGTATTTGAACCCAGGGTCGTGACACGTACGTTTGTAGCATTGGGTTTGCGGGTTGCCTCCCCAGCCGTCCGGGCAGCTGCAGATGGGCCGGTGGTCGAAGGTGCGGCAGTCGGCCGACACGCCGCACGGGCTGGTGATGGCGCACGGGTCCTGGCAGCGCTGGTTGATGCACGCGCGGTCCGACGGGCACGGCGAGTCCGTCTCGCACTCCGGGGCGGCCACCGACACTGCGGCGAGGACCACGACGTCAAGACCGAGAACGAGGTGGGAGTGGTCACCGTGCTGGACAGGGTACTCACGGGCGTAGCAGTTGACGAGCGGGTCGCCCACGAGCGGCGCCGGGCAGCGGCACTGCGCGCGGTGGTTCACGGACACGCAGTCCGCGTTGTGCGCGCAGGGGCTGGAGGCCACGCACGGGTTGACGCAGCGCCGGTTCAAGCACGTGTCGCTGAGCGGGCAGTCGTCGTTGCTCCTGCAGCCGGGCTCGTCCTCGGGAGCTGCGGAACCACGCGGAACCAGCGACATCAGACACGGCCCCCCACTCCGGCCACCACCGCCACGAACACGTCCCGACAAGGTCAACTTGGACTTATTGGCAGACACGCTTACAGAGCAATCACACTTCTAAGTTTCATTAATTTTAATTTGACTATGCAAGGGAACGCTTGGGACAATGTGTTCGTCGCTGGCCGGTCAGGCAGATAGAACGACGGTTCAGTGCGAAGTCTCGAAATTCAACATTTCGAGGACGTTCGCACTGGAATCCGTGAAGGGGGGAGACAGTTGCGTCTCGAAAGTTTGGTTGTACCTGGAAGCAAAAGTATTAACGAAAGGCACCCTAACAAGTAGGACCTAAGTGTTGCTGTTTAATTATTAGGAAAGTCAGAGAAGGAAAGTTGTAGTGAGAGAGTATTATAAGGGTTTGGGGGGTTGTGGGTTGCCAGTTGGACTGGCGTGACGTTTTTGTTGGTTGGTTGTCGATGTGCACCTGTAACGATAACAACAGCAAACGGGTTAGTTCCTTTGTTACAAAACACCTTCCACCCTCCCGTCACACACATACTTTTTTTTTGCAGCCTCGATTTTCGTTCACAACATAATCAATAAAAGCCATTACTAATTTTTTTAAAACACCATAAACCCAACGTGAATTGACAAATCGCCACGGGGAGAGAGAAGTCGCCAGACATGGCAGGTAGGGAAGTCCATTCAAAATTTGTACGAGTCCATTGAGACAAAAAACAACAACAAACAACAAGTTAGACCAACACACTCTACCACCTTTTCCACCGGATTACGTAGGACTCGTCCAAATTGAAAAAGTCGCGCCTTTCCGCAGTGGCGGCGACTCCTCCTTCCCCCTGGCGGGGTAATCTCGAACCAAGCTACTGCAGCGCCCCACCACACCGCTACTCCCAATCGCTCCGAGGCCGCTGTGCAGTGTGTGAGGGCGAGGGCTTGACGCCCTACCTAGCTTGCACTGCACATCCGCGTCGCCGACGTAGCCGGGCAGGCACTCGCACACCATGGTGCGGAGCGGCAGCGTGTCCGTGACGATGCACACGGCGTGGTCGCCGCACGGCTCCGTCTCGGCGCACGGGTTGCGGCAGTGGCCCGAGAAGCAGGCCTGCTTGCTGGGGCAGTCCGCGTCCTGCGTGCACTCGGGGCGCACCTCGATGGGCGCTGCGGGACAGAGACAGGGACTCGTCAGCGGGGAGGTCTCTCTCGCACTCACAGGGCGTCCCTCACGAGACTCACCGATCTTGCACTCGACTTGCGGGTTGCCGATGTAGCCGGGCGGGCATCTGCAGGTGGGCCGGTGGTCTTGGACGGAGCACTGCGCGGTGGGCGCGCAGTCGCACGGGTCGACGCAGCGCTCGGCGCGGCACGCCAGGTGGTTGGGGCACTCGGCGTCGCGCGTGCACTGCGGCCGGTCGCAGCGCACCAGCGGGTCCCCGCGGGTGGGCGCCGGGCAGTAGCAGCGCGCGCGGTGGCCGTCGACGCGGCAGTCGGCGTTGAGGCCGCACTGCGTGAGCGCGCAAGGGTTCTCGCAGCGCCGGTTCACGCAGGACTGCGTTGGCGGGCACTCCGAGTCCGACCGACAGCCGACTGCAACAGGACAGGGAGGTCAAGGCACGCTCAAAGCAGGCCGGGCGGGGAAGCACAGTGGGCCAGAAGACCGGTGGAGGCGGCCAAAACTCTAAATGCGTTTTGAGCTCCAAAGTCACTAAATGGGACTCGAACCGAACGTGTGACCCCATCAATGGACTCCTCGTTCCGAGAGCAATCGATTGGTGGGGTCACACGCTTGGTCCAAGTCCCATTAAGTGCCTCTGGAGCTCAAAAGGCTTCAAGGACTTTGGCCGCCTCCACCGGTCTTCTGGTTTACTACTGTGGGAGGGCGACCGGGTACTCACTGTCGAAGCACTGCAGCTGCGCGTTGCCGGTGAAGCCCTGCCTGCAGGTGCACAGCGGGCGGTGCATCTGCACGCGGCACTCGGCGTTGGCGCCGCAGACGTGCGACTCGCGGCACGGGTCCCTGCACTGTTGGTTGATGCAGGCCTTGTCGCCGGGGCACTCCGAGTTGTCGACGCACTCCGGTCGGGGCGGCGGCGGGCTGTCCAGTTGCGGCCGGCGGCACTGCACGCGCGGCTCGCCGAAGTAGCCCGGCGGGCACGAGCACACGGCCTGGTGGTTCACGACCGTGCACAGCGCGTTCAGACCGCACGCGTCCACGCACGGGTCGCGGCAGCGCTGGCTGAAGCACGCCTTGTCGCGCGGGCAGTCCTGGTTGATGACGCACTCGGGGTACACGCACACGGCGGCACCGCCCACCACGCGGCACTGGCCGTTCTGGCGGCACGGCGACGGGTTGCACGGGTCGGGCGGCGGCGCGGGCACCTCCTTGCACTCGATGAAGGGGTCGCCGTAGGTGGGCGCGGGGCAGCTGCAGACGGGGCTGTGGTTGACGACGACGCAGCGCGCGCCGTAGCCGCACGTGCCGGGGCACGGGTCCACGCACTTGGTGTTGGCGCAGGCGCGGTCGCGCGGGCAGTCGGCGCTGATGACACACTCGGGCCGGCAGCCGCTGGACGACGACGGCGAGCCGAAGAAGCCGGCCAGGCACTCGCACACCGCGTTGTCGCCCACCGAGCGGCAGCGCGCGTTGGGGCCGCACGGCGACGGCACGCAGGGGTCGCGGTGGACGGTCTCCTCTGTGGGCAGGCAAGGCAAGGACACCGTCAGACAGGTCAAGGGACACGCAGCGGCCTTGGCAAGGGCCGACGACGCCTACCTCTGCGCGTGGGCTGGCAGATCCGGAACGCGTCGCCGGTGGAGCCCTCCGGACAGGTGCAGATGGGGATGTGGTTGGACACGGTGCAGATGGCGTTGACGCCGCAGGTGCCGGGGCACGGGTCGCCGCACTTGTTGCGGATGCAGGCGCGGTTCATCGGGCAGTCCGAGCTGACGAGGCACTCCGGCCGGCAGCCCTCGTAGGGGTTGCCGTGGTACTCGGGGTCGCACTCGCACACGCCGTAGCCGCCCTGGACGCGGCAGCGCGCGTTGGGGCCGCACGGCGACGGCCGGCACGGGTCCGGCGCGGCGGTCGGCGCGATGGGTTCGGCTGCGGAGAGGAAAGGGGTCTCGGTGAGCACGGCGAACGCGTCGACGGGCAGTCGGAACCGTGGCGGACCCGGTGAGCTGCGCACCGCGGCCCGCCACGGACTCCGAAGGGTGGCAGTTCCTGGAATAAACAGCTCGAAAACACCATTATTTTTACTCGAACAACCACTAAAGCACGACGACTACTTAAACACGCACTACTCCACTCACACACGCGTCGCGAATCAAACGCCAAAGCAACACCTTTACATATATGAACCAAAAAATAGGCATGCGAACTCGGGAAGCAAACGATCACTCCACTTCAAACACGCCGGAAACGCAACTCAACACACAATAAAAAGCGTGCAACTTAACAGTAGATGACAATGGTGGCCTTAAATCTAGGATTAGACATGCATCATCTACAATGACAGTGAACGCGTCCACGGGGATGGATGATGACTATGAACATGCAGACCACCACTACGGGTGCGGGGCTTGGTGAGTATGGCAACATGATCATTTTCCAACCGGGGATGTTTGGCATGGCGGTTCCACAATCCGGATAAGTAGTTCTAGTCCACTATCATCTCCAAGAAGCTCTGGTTAAGTCGGCCCCACGGTTAGACGCTGCACTCTTCGTTGTCGGCGGCGGGCAGGGCCCGGCAGGGCAGGCTCCTCAGCGCGTCGTCGGGGTGGTGCTTACGTTTCCTGGGCTGGCAGTACGAGAAGGGGTCGCCCTCGTAGCCCAGCGGGCACACGCAGTTGGGCACGTGGGCCACGACGCGGCACTCGGCGGCCACGCCGCACGAGCCCGGGCACGGGTCGCGGCACTTCTGGTTGATGCAGGCCAGGCTGCTGGCACAGTCGCTATTGACAACGCACTCGGGGCGGCAGTGCGGCGGCGCGCCCAAGTACCCCGCCAGGCAGGTGCACGACGGCGAGCCTCCGGGCCCGCCGGCCACGGCGCACAGCGCGTACGGGCCGCACGGCGACGGCACGCACGGGTCTCGGGGCGGGCTGGGTTCGGCGAGGACGGGCCGCGGGGGCTCCGCTGCACGCATGCAAAGCGAGAGGGCAGCAAGTCAGAGAGAGAAACAGAGATAGCACACTCAAGTGGAGAAAAATGAGGGGAAAATTAAGTGAGGGTCAGAGACAAGGTAGTAGCCACTCTGCCGGAAACCCAAAGTCACAAGGGTGAAATTAAGGAGGAAACAAGTCCAAAGTAACTCGAAAGAGAAAGATTTGTGTGAAAAGAAAACGAGAGAAATTTTAAAGAGTAGGAACACAGTAAAGTTGAAGAAGGTTGCAGCACTTCACGTGCCATAATGTACACACAAGCAACAGAAGAATGGCTACACCTTGAGCAATGAGTATCATACACAATGGGAAATAAGTTTGAAATTGTAAAGTTCAAGAATTTTTTAGATTGAAATGAGAAACATGAAAGTAAAATGTAAAAGGTTGAAAAAATGAAAATTAAATGTATAGTACAGAGAAGCTCCCACTCAGCGAGACGAAGAGACAGCCCGGATCGATCGAAAAGTTGAAGTAACAGCAAAGCTATTTCGAAAGTCCCGCGCGATTCAGCTGCCATCGTCTCGCCGAGGTCGCAGAGAGCGGACCGGGCGAAGCAGAACGTCGGACAGTGTACGGACAGAGGCTCCCTTCCAGGAGTAACAGCCGCAGTGCCGTCACGCAGCCTCGCCCCGGGCCGCGCCTGCGGGAGTAGGGCGGAAAAGAGACAGTGCTTACGCAGCGGCATGCATCTGGTGAAGGGGTCTCCCACGAGCGGGGCGGGGCAGCTGCAGATGGGGTTGTGGTTCTGGACCACGCAGCGCGCGCCCAGCCCGCACGTGCCGGGGCACGGGTCCACGCAGTGCATGTTGATGCACGCGCGCACCGGGGCGCACTCGGCCGAGACCACGCACTCGGGTCTGCAGCCGGGCGGCGCCCCGAAGTACCCCGGCAAGCACGAGCAGACGGCCTGATCGTGCTGCGCGCGGCACACGCTGTTGGGCCCACAAGGGGACGGGTTGCACGGGTCTCTCCGCACCGGGGCTACAGGAAAACAAAGACAGGTTGACGCGGGGCGCGGGGGCGGCCCCCCGACGCAGGGCCCGGCGGTCGGCGGGCCCCACGCCGGGGGAATGACAACAACGGCGGAGGCGAATGCTTTATTAGGTTCACTGAGGGAGACAGGGTGAGGCGAGCCAGGGCAGAGCCCCTTACGTGGGTTGGGGTGGCAGAACACGAACGGGTCGCCGGTCATGCCTTCCGGACACACACACGTCGGCACGTGGTTCTGCACCAGGCACGTGGCCAGCTGGCCGCACGTCCCGGGGCACGGGTCCACGCATTTGTTGCGGCGGCAAGCCTTGTCGCGGGGACAGTCCTGGTTCAGGACGCACTCCGGACGGCAGCCGCGGTACGGGTCGCCGAAGTACTCCGGCAGGCACGTGCAAACGCCGTCGCGGCACTGTGCGTTCGGCCCGCACGGCGACGGGTTGCACGGGTCTACGGCCTGCGGCACCGGCGCTGTTGAAGAACATGCCGTTAGCAGTGGAGTCACAAGAGGAAGGACTCACAGTGGGACTGACGGGGTACTCACGAGGCGGCGGAACAGGGCGGCACGTGGAGAAGGGGTCGCCGGTGTAGCCGGGCAGACACGTGCACACGGGCGTGTGGTTGATGACGCTGCAGTGCGCGTTGGCGCCGCACGAGCCCGGGCACGGGTCGCGGCATTTTCCCCTCATGCAGGCCAGGTTGGGGGGCACTCGGGGGATGGTGCACTCGGGCCGGCAGTTCGGCGGGCCCCGAAGTAGTTGGGTAGGCAGGAGCACGAGGGGCTGCCGTTGGCGTCGCGGCACTGCGAGTTGGGCCCGCACGGCGACGGCACGCAGGGTTGCGGTACGGCGGCGGGGACTCTTGTGGTGGCAGCGGGGCTGGAAGCAACAACGCACCGGTCAACACTGATTGAAATTTTATTCTGCTGACTCGTTGACATCAGAGCAGAACTTACGTGGTAGTGGGAAGCAGCGGGCGAACGGGTCTCCGGTCTGTCCCGGCGGGCAGCTGCAGATGGGGCTGTGGTTCACCACGTGGCAGCGCGCGTTCTGGCCGCACGTTCCGGACACGGGTCGGCGCTTTCCGGTTGATGCGGGCCTTGTTCTGCGCGCACTCCGAACTGGTGGTGCATTCGGGCCGGCAGGCGGGCGGCGTGCCAATATACGTTGGCAGGCAAGAGCACACGGCCTGTTCGTTCACCTCCGGCATTGGCTGTTGGGGCCGCACGGCGAGGGGTGGCACGGGTTGACAGGCGCTGCTTGACTTGAGCTGAAAAGATAACGTCTGTTACGCATTGGAAGAAATTTTGAGGTAACTTTCTTGTTACAAAAAGATAAAAATGCTTACGCTGCTCCACTGGGACCACATTGCAGAACCTGAACGGGTCTCCGGTGTAACCGGGCCAGCAGGTACACTGCGGCAGGTGGTACACCACCTGGCAGTCGCGTTCTGGCCGCATGTTCCAGGACACGGGTCCATGCACTTGTTGCGAATGCAGGCCTTGTTCGAGGGGCAGTCCGAGTTGACAACGCATCAGGGGCCCGGGAGCCTTCGTACGGGGTTTTCCCATGTACTCCGGCAGGCAAGTGCATGATCCTGCTCCGTTCTGCTCGCGGCAGACGGCGTTGGCTCCGCACGGAGACGGCTGGCACGGCGTCGGTCGCTCTTCCACGGGGATCGCTGCAAGAGGAACGTTACTTCAGCGCCTTGGAGCGGAGATCGGCCGAGTAAGCGAACCGAGTCTCCGTGGGGCGCGTCGCTCCGCGTGGCTACTTACCGCATCGACTCGTTAGGTTAGTGTCTTCATAGAGTTAGGCTGGAACCGACACTTTGATCGACTGACGCGCACCGATGACGACACAACTCACTGCCAAGCGTTAGTATGTGCTTCTGCTACTGTTAGTTCGACCTGACGATGCTGCCTTTTTAAAACCTGCTAGTGAAATTTCATCCTGACCAAATGACCAAAAGGATATTTCACGAGCATGAGAGACAGAGCAACAGCTCGGACACCGACCTACGCCGTTCCACCGAGGGCGGTCCGTACTTAGCCGCTAGCGCGGGCCAGGGCGTGGATGACAGCATGCACGAAGGTTAAGCCCTGCCCAGCCGCGGGCAAGTCGAACGCCAAACGGTGGAACACTCAACAGTCAAAACTGACAGAAAAACCCTCATCAGAAGCAAACGCCACAAGCACAGGTTGGTTGGGTTACAAAACAGTCAACTAACTCAACGACGCCGTCAATACCTCCACTACAAACTTAAGACTACGACCTGCAACGGGGAGACTGACACACAAGCCGATTAATCGAGTGCAATGCAGTGCTACGTGGGATGTGACCAAGTCTTACATTGCACGACCAGACACTGGACGAACGGGTCGCCAGTGTAGCCGGCCACGCAGACGCAGCGCGGCGTGTGGCTGACCACGCGGCACTCGGCGTTCTGGCCGCAGGTGCCGGGGCAAGGGTCGCGGCACTTCTGGTTGATGCAGGCCAGGTGCTGGGCGCACTCCGAGTTGGAGACGCACTCTGGGCGGCACTGCGGCGGCGCCCCCACGTAGCCGGCCAGGCACGAGCACGAGGGCTGGTCCGCCACCACCCTGCATTCGGCGTTGGGGCCGCAGGGTGACGGCTGGCACGGCTGTGGCGGCGTTGGGAGAGGGTCGTACACTGCGAAAGCATCAGCAGAGACAGTGACACCAACATGAAACAAAAAAACTCCCACACAAAAAGCAAAATTGCGCTTACCAATAGGTGAGCAACGCACAAACGGATCACCACTGTACTGCGGCGGGCATGAGCAGATCGGGTTGTGGTTGACCACGTTGCAGCGAGCGTTAATGCCGCAGGTTCCCGGGCAAGGGTCGATGCACTTCTGGTTGCTGCAGGCCTGGTTGAGCGGGCACTCCGCCGACACCACGCACTCTGGCCGGCAGGTGGGCGGGGCGCCGATGTAGCCCCGCACGCACGAGCACACGCCCTGGCCGTTCACTTCGCGACAGATGCTGTTGGGGCCGCAGGGCGAGGGGATGCAGGGGTTGACGTAGATTGGCTCTTGTTGTACGGGTCGGCAAGATATGAAGGGGCTTCCCTCCGTTCCAGGAGGACAGGTGCAGGTGGGCACGTGGTTGATGACCTCGCAAAGGGCACCCTGGCCGCAGGTGCCAGGGCAAGGATCCTTGCATTTGTTCCTCATGCAGGCCAAGTTGCGTGCGCACTCAGAGCTCATGATGCACTCCGGCCTGCAGCCGCGGTACGGGTCGCCCTGGTACTCGGGCAGGCAGGTGCAGATTCCGTTGTTGCACTGCGCGTTGGGCCCGCACGGCGACGGGTTGCAGGGGTCGCTTGCCACCGGCTCTTGCGGTGGAGGCGGCCTGGGGAAGCAGTTGGAGAAGGGGTCGCCGGTGTAGCCGTCGGGGCACGTGCACACGGGCGTGTGGTTGATGACGCTGCAGTGCGCGTTGGCGCCGCACGAGCCCGGGCACGGGTCGCGGCACTTCTCCCTCATGCAGGCCAGGTTGCTGGGGCACTCGGGGTTGATGGTACACTCGGGCCGGCAGCTTGGCGGCGTGCCGATATAGGTGGGGAGGCAAGAGCACGACGGCCTGTCACCGATGGCCTGGCAGACGGCGTGCGGGCCGCACGGCGACGGCACGCACGGGTTGACGTACACCGGGGGATCTGCAGGTGGCGGTGGAGGCGGTGGAATCGGGAAGCAGCGGCTGAAGGGATCGCCAGTGTATCCCGCAATGCAGCTGCAGATAGGGCTGTGGTTCCGGACGTCGCAGCGAGCGTTGGCGGCGCAGTGGCCGGGGCAAGGGTTGATGCACTTCTGGTTGACGCAGGCCTTGTCGAACGGACACTCGGAGCTGACGGTGCATTCGGGGCGGCAGGCAGGCGGGCTGCCGATGAACGTCGGCAAGCACGAGCACACGGCCTGGCCGTTGATTTCCCTACACTGGCTATTGGGGCCGCAGGGTGAAGGCTGGCACGGGTTCCTTGGCGGCGGTTCAGCCTCCACGGCTTGGGGTGGAATATGGTTGCAGAATCTAAACGGATCTCCAGTGTATCCCGGCCAGCAGGTACACTGTGGCAGATGGTTCACCACCTGGCAGTCCGCGTTCTGGCCGCACGTCCCTGGGCACGGGTCCATGCACTTGTTCCTGATGCAGGCCTTGTTGGACGGGCAGTCGGAATTGATGACACATTCCGGCCGACAGCCTTCGTACGGGTTGCCGATGTACTCAGGCAGGCAGGTGCACGACCCAGCCCCGTTCTGTTCGCGGCAGATGGCGTTCGCGCCGCACGGCGACGGCTGGCACGGGTTGACGTAGTCGTACACGACGGGCTGCTGCACGGGGTTGCACTGCACGAAGGGGTCGCCGTTGAAGCCGATGGGGCAGATGCAGTTCGGGGCGTGACTCACCACGCGGCACTCGGCGTTGGGCGCGCAAGTGCCGGGGCAGGGGTCCTTGCACTTCTGGTTGATGCAGGCCAGGTGGAAGGCGCACTCCGAGTTGGACACGCACTCCGGGCGGCAGTTGGGCGGCGCGCCGATCATGCCGGGCAGGCACGAGCAGGACGGGGAGTCGCCGACGGCGCGGCACTCCGCGTTGGGGCCGCACGGCGACGGCTGGCAGGGCCGCGCTGGTTCAGGCACGTCCAGCGCCACAACTGCAATCAAATGGAAGTAAGACAACCGGCCGAAAACACTGTAGAAGATGACTTCAAGTGAGGACGGCAGAGGACTTACCGATCGGCTGGCAGCGCACGAAGGGGTCTCCAGTGTAGCGTGGCGGGCAGCTGCAGATGGGGTTGTGGTTCACCACCGTGCATTTGGCGGCGATACCACAAGTGCCAGGGCACGGGTCGCGGCATTTCTGGTTGAGGCAGGCTTGGTTGAGCGGGCACTCGGAGCTGACGACGCACTCGGGTCTGCAGGACGGCGGCGAGCCGATGTAGCCCGGCACGCACGAGCACACGGCCTGGCTGTTGATCTCTCTGCACTGGCTGTTGGGTCCGCAGGGCGACGGGTAGCAGGGGTTGGTGACCACTGGCGGCGGGATGGGCCTGCACTCGATGAACGCGTTGCCAGCGGTGCCTTCCGGACAGCTGCAGTGCGGCACGTGGTTCACCACGGCGCAGATGGCGTTGGAGCCGCAGGTGCCAGGGCACGGGTCCTTGCACTTGTTCCTGATGCACGCCTTGTCGCGCGGGCAGTCCGAGCTCAGCACGCATTCGGGCCTGCAGCCGCGGTACGGGTCGCCCTGGTACTCCGGCAGGCAGGTGCAAACGCCGTCGCGACACTGTGCGTTGGGCCCACAGGGTGATGGATTGCAGGGGTCCACCACGACAGGCTCTTGCAGTGGAGGTGGCTTGGGGAAGCAGTTGGAGAAGGGGTCGCCGGTGTAGCCGTCGGGGCACGTGCACACGGGCGTGTGGTTGATGACGCTGCAGTGCGCGTTGGCGCCGCACGAGCCCGGGCACGGGTCGCGGCACTTCTCCCTCATGCAGGCCAGGTTGCTGGGGCACTCGGGGTTGATCACGCACTCCGGTCGGCAGCTTGGCGGCGAGCCGATGTACCCTGGTCTGCACGAGCACGATGGGCTGTCGCCCACCCTGCGGCATTCCGCGTTCGGGCCACAGGGCGACGGGACGCAAGGGTCCACGTAGACCGGTTCTTGTAATGGAGGCGGTGGTGGAGCTGTTGCAAAGAAAACAACCCACAAATAAAAACATGCTTTCACATCCAGAAAATCTAAGACTAGACAATATGTTTTGCTTTTGAAAACTTACGTGGAATCGGGAAGCATCTTGAGAACGGATCACCAGTGTATCCTTGAATGCAGCTGCAGATGGGGCTGTGGTTCACCACATTGCATTGAGCGTTCTGGCCGCAGGTTCCGGGACAAGGGTCCACGCACTTCTGGTTGACGCAGGCCTTGTTGTGGGGACACTCGGATGACACGGTGCACTCTGGCCTGCAGCCTGGCGGGCTGCCGATGTAGGTGGGCAGGCACGAGCACACGGCCTGGCCGTTGATCTCCCTGCACTGGCTGTTGGGGCCGCAGGGTGACGGCTGGCACGGGTTCCTTGGCGGTGGGTCAGCCTGAGGTGGCGGCGGTGGAATCACACTGCAGAACCTGAACGGATCACCAGTGTATCCCGGCCAGCACGTACACTGCGGCAGATGGTTCACCACCTGGCAGTCTGCATTCTGTCCACACGTTCCAGGGCACGGGTCTTGACACTTGTTCCTGATGCAAGCCTTGTTGGACGGACAGTCCGAGTTGATGGTGCACTCAGGCCGGCAGCCTTCGTAAGGGTTTCCAATGTACTCTGGCAGACAGGTGCACGATCCTGCTCCATTCTGTTCGCGGCAGATGGCGTTCGCTCCGCACGGCGACGGCTGGCACGGGTTGATATACTCAACTGGAGCTGTAAAGCACAAAAACACATAATTATCATCCCCACTTGCTCCACTAAGAGAATATTACTTCACGACTCGGCATGACAAGTACCTTGCTGTGGCAAGCTGCACGCGGTGAACGGGTCGCCCACGTAGCCCGGCAGGCAGTAGCAGTTGGGGGCGTGGCTGACGACGCGGCAGTTAGCGTTGGCGCCGCACGTCCCGGGGCAAGGGTCCTTGCACTTCTGGTTGACGCAGGCCAGGTGCTGCGCGCATTCGCTGTTGGTGACGCACTCGGGCCGGCAGTTGGGGGGCGCGCCCACGTAGCCCACGCGGCAGGAGCAGGACGGCGACTCGCCCACCACCCTGCACTCGGCGTTGGGGCCGCACGGCGACGGCTGGCAGGGGTTCGAAGGCGGCACGTAAACAGGTTCCTCCACTGCGAGTACCAAAAGGAAACGATACGTTAAAACGGCGCCGGTTCTACTTGATATTTTTACAAAGCTGTGCGTAAGTACTCACGTATGGGCTGGCAGCGCACGAAGGGGTCTCCGGTTTGGCGCGGAGGGCAGCTGCAGATGGGGTTGTGGTTCACCACCGAGCATTTGGCGCCAATACCGCAGGTGCCCGGACAAGGGTCGCGGCACTTTTGATTCGTACACGCCTCGTTTTGAGGGCACTCTGAGCTGACGACGCACTCGGGTCTGCAGGACGGCGGCGAGCCGATGTAGCCCGGCACGCACGAGCACACGGCCTGGCTGTTGATCTCTCTGCACTGGCTGTTGGGTCCGCAGGGCGACGGGTAGCAGGGGTTGGTGACCACTGGCGGCGGGATGGGCCTGCACTCGATGAACGCGTTGCCAGCGGTGCCTTCCGGACAGCTGCAGTGCGGCACGTGGTTCACCACGGCGCAGATGGCGTTGGAGCCGCAGGTGCCTGGGCACGGGTCCTTGCACTTGTTCCTGATGCAGGCCTTGTCACGCGGGCAGTCGGAGCTCAGCACGCATTCGGGCCTGCAGCCGCGGTACGGGTCGCCCTGGTACTCCGGCAGGCAGGTGCAAACGCCGTCGCGACACTGTGCGTTGGGCCCACAGGGTGATGGATTGCAGGGGTCCACCACGACAGGCTCTTGCAGTGGAGGTGGCTTGGGGAAGCAGTTGGAGAAGGGGTCGCCGGTGTAGCCGTCGGGGCACGTGCACACGGGCGTGTGGTTGATGACGCTGCAGTGCGCGTTGGCGCCGCACGAGCCCGGGCACGGGTCGCGGCACTTGAGCTGCATGCAGGCCAGGTTGCTGGGGCACTCGGGGTTGATGGTGCACTCGGGCCGGCAGTTCGGCGGCGCCCCGAAGTAGTTGGGTAGGCAGGAGCACGACGGGCTGCCGTTGGCGTCGCGGCACTGCGAGTTGGGCCCGCACGGCGACGGCACGCAGGGGTTGCGGTACGGCGGCGGGGACTCTTGTGGTGGCAGCGGGGCTGGAAGCAACAACGCACCGGTCAACACTGATTGAAATTTTATTACTGCTGACTCGTTGACATCAGAGCAGAACTTACGTGGTAGTGGGAAGCAGCGGGCGAACGGGTCTCCGGTCTGTCCCGGCGGGCAGCTGCAGATGGGGCTGTGGTTCACCACGTTGCAGCGAGCGTTCTGGCCGCACGTTCCCGGACACGGGTCGGCGCATTTCCGGTTGATGCAGGCCTTGTTCTGCGCGCACTCCGAACTGGTGGTGCATTCGGGGCGGCAGGCGGGCGGCGTGCCAATATACGTTGGCAGGCAAGAGCACACGGCCTGTTCGTTCACCTCGCGGCATTGGCTGTTGGGGCCGCACGGCGAGGGGTGGCACGGGTTGACAGGCGCTGCTTGTACTTGAGCTGAAAAGATAACGTCTGTTACGCATTGGCAAAAATTTTGAGGTAACTTTCTTGTTACAAAAGTTAAAATGCTTACGCTGCTCCACTGGGACCACATTGCAGAACCTGAACGGGTCTCCGGTGTAACCGGGCCAGCAGGTACACTGCGGCAGGTGGTACACCACCTGACAGTCAGCGTTCTGGCCGCATGTTCCAGGACACGGGTCCATGCACTTGTTGCGAATGCAGGCCTTGTTCGAGGGGCAGTCCGAGTTGACAACGCACTCAGGCCGGCAGCCTTCGTACGGGTTTCCGATGTACTCCGGCAGGCAAGTGCATGATCCTGCTCCGTTCTGCTCGCGGCAGACGGCGTTGGCTCCGCACGGAGACGGCTGGCACGGCGTCGGTCGCTCTTCCACGGGGATCGCTGCAAGAGGAACGTTACTTCAGCGCCTTGGAGCGGAGATCGGCCGAGTAAGCGAACCGAGTCTCCGTGGGGCGCGTCGCTCCGCGTGGCTACTTACCGCATCGACTCGTTAGGTTAGTGTCTTCATAGAGTTAGGCTGGAACCGACACTTTGATCGACTGACGCGCACCGATGACGACACAACTCACTGCCAAGCGTTAGTATGTGCTTCTGCTACTGTTAGTTCGACCTGACGATGCTGCCTTTTTAAAACCTGCTAGTGAAATTTCACCCTGACCAAATGACCAAAAGGATATTTCACGAGCATGAGAGACAGAGCAACAGCTCGGACACCGACCTACGCCGTTCCACCGACGGCGGTCCGTACTTAGCCGCTAGCGCGGGCCAGGGCGTGGATGACAGCATGCACGAAGGTTAAGCCCTGCCCAGCCGCGGGCAAGTCGAACGCCAAACGGTGGAACACTCAACAGTCAAAACTGACAGAAAAACCCTCATCAGAAGCAAACGCCACAAGCACAGGTTGGTTGGGTTACAAAACAGTCAACTAACTCAACGACGCCGTCAATACCTCCACTACAAACTTAAGACTACGACCTGCAACGGGGAGACTGACACACAAGCCGATTAATCGAGTGCAATGCAGTGCTACGTGGGATGTGACCAAGTCTTACATTGCACGACCAGACACTGGACGAACGGGTCGCCAGTGTAGCCGGCCACGCAGACGCAGCGCGGCGTGTGGCTGACCACGCGGCACTCGGCGTTCTGGCCGCAGGTGCCGGGGCAAGGGTCGCGGCACTTCTGGTTGATGCAGGCCAGGTGCTGGGCGCACTCCGAGTTGGACACGCACTCTGGGCGGCACTGCGGCGGCGCCCCCACGTAGCCGGCCAGGCACGAGCACGAGGGCTGGTCCGCCACCACCCTGCATTCGGCGTTGGGGCCGCAGGGTGACGGCTGGCACGGCTGTGGCGGCGTTGGGAGAGGGTCGTACACTGCGAAAGCATCAGCAGAGACAGTGACACCAACATGAAACAAAAAACTCCCACACAAAAAGCAAAATTGCGCTTACCAATAGGTGAGCAACGCACAAACGGATCACCACTGTACTGCGGCGGGCATGAGCAGATCGGGTTGTGGTTGACCACGTTGCAGCGAGCGTTAATGCCGCAGGTTCCCGGGCAAGGGTCGATGCACTTCTGGTTGCTGCAGGCCTGGTTGAGCGGGCACTCCGCCGACACCACGCACTCTGGCCGACAGGTGGGCGGGGCGCCGATGTAGCCCCGCACGCACGAGCACACGCCCTGGCCGTTCACTTCGCGACAGATGCTGTTGGGGCCGCAGGGCGACGGGATGCAGGGGTTGACGTAGATTGGCTCTTGTTGTACGGGTCGGCAAGATATGAAGGGGCTTCCCTCCGTTCCAGGAGGACAGGTGCAGGTGGGCACGTGGTTGATGACCTCGCAAAGGGCACCCTGGCCGCAGGTGCCAGGGCAAGGATCCTTGCATTTGTTCCTCATGCAGGCCAAGTTGCGTGCGCACTCAGAGCTCATGATGCACTCCGGCCTGCAGCCGCGGTACGGGTCGCCCTGATACTCGGGCAGGCAGGTGCAGATTCCGTTGTTGCACTGCGCGTTGGGCCCGCACGGCGACGGGTTGCAGGGGTCGCTGACGACCGGCTCTTGCAGTGGAGGCGGCCTGGGGAAGCAGTTGGAGAAGGGGTCGCCGGTGTAGCCGTCGGGGCACGTGCACACGGGCGTGTGGTTGATGACGCTGCAGTGCGCGTTGGCGCCGCACGAGCCCGGGCACGGGTCGCGGCACTTGAGCTGCATGCAGGCCAGGTTGCTGGGGCACTCGGGGTTGATGGTGCACTCGGGCCGGCAGTTGGGCGGCGAGCCGAAGTAGCCGGGCCGGCAGGAGCACGACGGCGAGTCTCCCACGCGCCGGCACTCGGCGTTCGCGCCGCACGGCGACGGCACGCACGGGTCCACGTAGACCGGCTCAGCGTAGTGCACCGGTGGAGGAGCTGGAAAATAATGATTTATTGTAGTTATCATGCTAGACATGCAGGCAATATTACTTTCGAAAAGTCATATGAGTGAGCACACTTACGAGGAATAGGGACGCATCGCGAAAACGGATCTCCAGTAAACCCTTGACTGCAGCTGCAGATGGGGCTGTGATTCCTGACAAAGCATTGAGCGTTGGGCGCACAGGGTCCCGGGCACGGGTTGACGCACTTCTGGTTGAGACAGGCCTTGTCCTGGGGGCATTCCGAACTGACGGTGCACTCCGGCCTGCAGCCTGGCGGCGTGCCCACGTATGTCGGCAGGCACGAGCAGACGGCTTGCTGGTTAATCTCTCTGCACTGGCTGTTGGGTCCACATGGCGATGGCTGGCAAGGGTTTCGTGGAGGTGGTTCAGCCTCAACGGCCTGGGGTGGAATGTTGTTGCAGAAACGGAATGGATCTCCAGTGTAGCCCGGCCAGCAGGTACACTGCGGCAGATGGTTCACCACCTGGCAGTCTGCGTTCTGGCCGCACGTCCCTGGACAAGGGTCTTGGCACTTGTTTCTGATGCAAGCTCGGTTCGTGGGGCAGTCCGCATTGATGGTGCACTCTGGTCGGCAGCCTTCGTAGGGGTTGCCGATGTACTCTGGCAGACAGGTGCAAGATCCTGCTCCGTTCTGCTCCCGGCAGATGGCGTTTGCTCCGCAGGGCGACGGCTGGCACGGGTTAAGTTGTTCCTGCTGAATGGTCGGCTGGACGAAGTTGCACTGCACGAACGGATCACCAGTGTAGCCGACAATGCACACACATCGGGCGGAATGGCTGACCACTCTGCACTCGGCGTTCTGTCCACACGTCCCGGGGCAGGGGTCCTTGCACTTGTTCCTGATGCAAGCCAAGTGCGAAGCGCACTCCGAATTGGTGACGCATTCGGGTCTGCAGTTGGGCGGGGAGCCGAGGAAGCCAGCATGACAGGAACAGGATGGCTGGTCGCCTGCAACGCGGCACTCTGCGTGGGGTCCGCAGGGAGAAGGCTGGCACGGCTGGGTTGGTTCGGCAAGTGGTTCAGGGGCTGTGGTTAAAAACATTAAAATTAAAAGAACATCCCCATACAAGTAGTTAAAAAGAAATAAGGATGAAAGGTAAATTTAACTTACGTCGAGGTGAGCAGCGTATGAACGGGTCTCCGGTGTACCCATCTGGACACACGCAGAAGGGGTTGTGGTTGACCACGTTGCATCTGGCTTGGATTCCGCACGTCCCGGGACAGGGGTCCCTGCACTTCTGGTTGCTGCAGGCCTGGTTCAAGGGGCACTCCGCGTTGACCACGCACTCGGGCCTGCAGGCCGGAGGGCTTCCGATGAAGCCGGGCACGCAGGAGCACACGCCCTGCCCGTTCACTTCTCTGCACTGGCTGTTGGGGCCGCAGGGAGACGGCTGGCACGGGTTGACGTAGACTGGCTCTTGCTGCACGGGCCTGCAGGATATGAAGGGGCTGCCCTCGGTGCCCGGCGGGCACGTGCAGGTGGGGATGTGGTTGATGACTTCGCATCTGGCGCCCTGGCCGCACGTTCCCGGACACGGGTCTTTGCATTTGTAGCGCATGCAGGCCTGGTTCAGGGCGCACTCAGAGCTCATGATGCACTCCGGCCTGCAGCCGCGGTACGGGTCGCCCTGGTACTCGGGCAGGCAGGTACAGACGCCGTCGCGACACTGTGCGTTGGAGCCGCAGGGCGACGGGTTGCACGGGTCCACCACAACGGGCTCTTGCAAGACCGGTGGTTTGAGCTGACAGCTTACGAACGGGTCACCAGTGTACCCTTCCAAGCACGAGCACACGGGTGTGTGGTTGATGACGCTGCAGTGCGCGTTGGCGCCGCACGAGCCCGGGCACGGGTCGCGGCACTTGAGCTGCATGCAGGCCAGGTTGCTGGGGCACTCGGGGTTGATGGTGCACTCGGGCCGGCAGTTGGGCGGCGAGCCGAAGTAGCCGGGCCGGCAGGAGCACGACGGCGAGTCTCCCACGCGCCGGCACTCGGCGTTCGCGCCGCACGGCGACGGCACGCACGGGTCTACGTGAACTGGCTCGGCCTCTATTATCGGTGGCGCTGAAAAAGTTTACCAAAAAGTTGACGCGGTGTCTCTAACTGAATTTTCGCGTCGCACTGAACACAGGCGAGAACTTACGTGGAGGGATGGGGTAGCACCTCGAGAAAGGCTCGCCCGTGTAGCCCGCCGGGCAAGAGCAGATCGGGCTGTGGTTGCGCACGTGGCAGCGGGCGTTGGGCGCGCACGGCCCGGGGCACGGGTTCACGCACTTCATGTTGATGCAGGCCTTGTCCTGCGCGCACTCCGAGCTGACCACGCACTCTGGCCTGCAGGCCGGCGGGCTGCCCGTGTACGTGGGCAAGCACGAGCACACGGCCTGGCCGTTGATCTCCCTGCACTGGCTGTTGGGGCCGCATGGCGAAGGCCGGCAGGGGTCTACAGGCTGCTCTAGCACAGCCACAGCTACGCGAGTGGCGAAGAGGAAGGAAGTAAAGAGAAACATCAGGCATGCGGAACGTGCAGAACCAAAGGGGGACATGCGGAGAGGAAAATTTAGAAACCAAGTGGAAAACATAAATCGGAAAACGAAAAGTAGAAACCAAAACGTAAAGGGAAGGACTTTATACAGTGAAGTTGAAACGGAAAATAAACACAGTGACACACAACAAGGGGAGGGGAAACGAGAAAACGAAAAATACAAACAAGAACAAACAACAAGGAGAGGACCGCCCGTTTTGGAATTCAGGTATGCACAGCAAGTAAAATCATTAAATTGTTTTTACTGCATGCACCCAAAAATTTTTTACAAATTGAAATGGTTTTGCAGACTCCAAAACGAACTTGCCATCCACTGGCTGCGGACGCCTGAAATCCGAAACGCCATCGTGGCGGTCCTTTCCCACAAGAAGCAGAGAAAAGGCGAGAAAGAACCACAGCTTACATGGAGGAGGTTCTGGTCGGCAGAAAGAGAAGGGGTCGCCCGTATAGCCGGGTCGACACGAGCAAGTCGGAAGGTGGTTGACCACGCGGCAGTCGGCGTTCTGCGCGCACGTGCCCGGGCACGGGTCCTGACACTTGTTGCGCACGCACGCCAGACTGGGCGCGCAGTCCGAGTTGACGACGCACTCGGGCCGGCAGCCCTCGTACGGGTTGCCGATGTACTCCGGCAGGCACGCGCACGAGCCCGCGCCCCCGCGCACGCGGCACACTGCGTTGGCGCCGCAGGGCGAGGGCTCGCACGGGTTCAGTGCCTCCTGGAGCACTGGGTCCGCTGGAAGACGAGAAGCAGGTCACACAGAGCAACACAGAGCCCACAGCGGAAAAGAGAAAAACACAACGTGAGTTAGAGAGAGCGGCTCAAGCTCGGAAGCAAGCGAGTTAGTCGGTAAGTAGCTGTACACAGAGGAGTCAGTAGAGAGGAAAAGCCTACACACTGTTTAGACGAGAGTGCATAAACTAATAAAAGAGTTCCCTGAGTTGGAGGTTGGGGGAACTCGAAAGTGAAAGTATCTCCGGATTAAAAGGTAGACAGGTACCAATTAATTTGAAAGAGAAAAATAAATGAATAAAGGAAAACGAAAAAAAGTAATTTTGTTTTAGGAAACAGATAGAGAAAGAGAAGAATTTAAGGACAATAAAAAAATAAAAGAAAAGAATTATGACATTCCAACAGAGGAGATTATCTTGATGTTTAGCACTCACCGTTGCTGTTGCTGCTGTGGGGAGAATCACACTGCACGTAACAAAGTCACAAAGGCACTGCACTGCATTGCAAATCGTTTAAAAAGCTCATCATGGCATCAGTCTACTGTCACAGGTATTGACGGACAAACACACTTCCAACGGACCGGCACTGTGGCCCCCGCATCCATTCATAAACCAACCAAAACCAACAACCCAGTCATTCCCACTTCTGGGAATGTTTTACCTTCACATTCCGAATTAGGGGCAATCAACTTAATCTAGCATCACAGTTGCACGCATATTAAGATACATCGCAGCCATACGACATACTTCATCCGACCATGAAACTGAACAACACCATCCGATGGGAACACACCGCCCGGAAAATGAGTCGCCTCGCGTCCGAGTGTCGAGTCGACAATGAAAGTGAAATGATGGATGCGAATGAGATGAACACAATGAATGGACACTCGTGAAGGATGGACACTGGCGACGGGTCCCGGCGGGCGAGGGGAGGGGCTGTCGGACTCACCCCGAGGCCCGCTGCCCCTGGCCCGGCGGGGCCGCGTCGGACATGCAGAGCTACGTGCAATGTGATGACGGGGGTTAATGCTATGCACAATGACGGGGGAGGGTTCTCTGACTGCGGGGCGACATGCAACAAGCCGTGCCGGCCGGGGCGGCGGGGACGTGGGTCCGGGCGGCCGGGGCCGGCACCCCAAGGCGGATTGGCGGCTGGCGGTCGCGGCCTACCTCTGACCGGCTGGCAGCCGCTGAATGGGTCGCCAGTGAAGCCGGCGTCGCAGCTGCACACGGGCGTGTGGTTGATGACGGAGCAGCGGGCGTTGGGGCCGCACGAGCCCGGGCAGGGGTCGCCGCAGCGCTGGTTCATGCAGGCCAGGCGGCTCGCGCACTCGGGGTTGATGGTGCATTCCGGCCGGCAGTTGGGCGGCGCGCCGATGTAGTTGACCAGGCAGGAGCAGGCGGGGCTGCCGCCGCGGACCTGGCACTCGGCGTTGGGGCCGCACGGCGACGGCCGGCACGGGTCGATGGGTTCGGGCGGCGCGGCTTGGACTGGCGGGCACAGGGCGGCGTCAGCAACAAGCACTACTCGAGGGAGGCGGGTACTCTGCGACGGCGCACTTACCTGGTATCGGGTAGCATCCTCGGAACGGGTCGCCGGTGTTGCCCGGCGCACAGCTGCAGATGGGGTTGTGGTTCACCACCTGGCAGCGCGCGTTGAGGCCACATGTTCCGGGGCAGGGGTCCTTGCACTTGTTGGCCAGGCAGGCCTGCGTGAGCGGGCACTCGGCGGACACGACGCACTCGGGGCGGCACGACGGTGGCGAGCCCACGAAGTTGGCTTGGCAGGTGCAGACGGCCACGCCGTTGGCGACGCGGCAGAGGCTGTTGGGGCCGCAGGGCGACGGCTGGCACGGGTCCACCGGGGCCTCCACGGCCTGCACCACGCGGCACGCCGTGAACGGGTCGCCGGACGTGCCGGTGGGGCAGCTGCACGACGGGATGTGGTTGATGACCTCGCACAGCGCGCCTTGGCCGCAAGTCCCGGGGCACGGGTCCTTGCAGCGCTGGTTGGCGCAGGCGCGCGTCCGCGGGCAGTCCGAGTTCATGGTGCACTCCGGCCGGCAGCCCGAGTACGGGTCGCCGAAGAAGAGCGGCAGGCAGGAGCAGGCGCCGTCGCGACACTGCGCGTTGGGGCCGCACGGCGACGGGTTGCAAGGGTCGGTGGCGGGCGGTGGCGTGGCGGGGATCACGATGGGCGAGCACTGCGTGAACGGGTCGCCGGTGTACGACGCCATGCACGTGCAGATGGGGATGTGGTTCTGCACGCGGCACTCGGCGTTGAAGCCGCAGGAGCCTGGACACGGGTCGCGGCACTTGCTGGAGATGCAGGCCTGCGTGGGCGCGCAGTCCGTGTTGACGCTGCACTCGGGACGGCAGTTGGGCGGCGCGCCGACGAACTCCGCTCGGCAAGAGCAGGACGGTACCCCGCCGACGTCGCGGCACTGCGAGTTGGGCCCGCAGGGCGACGGCACGCAGGGGTTGACGGGCTCGGGGATGGCCAGTGGTGGCGGCGGTGGCGGCGGCTGCGTGCAGCGCACGAACGGGTCGCCGATCAGGCCCGGCGGGCAGCTGCAGATGGGGTTGTGGTTCACCACCTGGCAGCGCGCTCCAGTCCCGCAAGTTCCAGGGCAGGGGTCGGTACACTTGAAGCGGTAGCAGGCTCGGGTCTGCTGGCACTCGGCGTTGACGACGCACTCGGGTCGGCAGTTGGGCGGGCTGCCCGTGTACTCGGGCATGCAGGTGCACACGGCCTGGTCGTTCACCTCGCGGCACAGGCTGTTGGGCCCGCACGGTGACGGCGTGCACGGCTGCACCACCTCCACGGGCTCCACGGCTTGCGGCGGCTGGCGGCACGAGCGGAACGGGTCGCCGATGAGTCCCGGCAGGCAGGTGCACGTCGGCACGTGGTTGATGACGGAGCACTGCGCCTGCGCGCCGCACACGCCGGGACACGGGTCCTGGCACTTGTTGCGCACGCACGCGCGGTCGGTGGGGCAGTCGGCGGAAAGAACGCACTCGGGCCGGCAGCCCTCGTACGGGTTGCCCTGGTAGTCAGCGATGCAGCTGCACGCGCCCGCGCCGTTGCGTTGCCGGCACTCGGCGTTGGCGCCACACGGCGAAGGCTCGCACGGGTTGATCACTTCCTCTGCGGAGCGGAAAACAGAAAGCGTTATTCAGAGATAAGAGGGAAATCCGGGCCTCTTTTGCGAGGAAAATCTGAATCATTAAAAGTTGGAGGCTGCTTCAGCCTGCGAAGTGCAGGGTAGGCCAGCCCGGCGTTCACGTGCGCACGGCGGTACAGCCTACCCAGCAGTTGACAGGCTGAGGCGCCTGCGAAGTCGAGGGTAGGCTGTACCGCCATGCTCGCGCGTACGGCGGGCCGGCCTACCCTACCATCATCAGGGGCTCCACACTGCAAAAGCACACTCACGTTGCTGCGGGAAGCACTGCACGAAGGCGTTGCCGGTGAAGCCCGGCGCGCAGGTGCAGCTGACGGTGTGGCTGACGACGTGGCACTCGGCGTTGGTGCCGCACGAGCCCGGGCACGGGTCGCGGCAGCGCTGGTTGACGCAGGCCTGGGTGCTGGGGCAGTCCGGGTTGATGACGCACTCGGGCCGGCAGGCGGGCGGCGCCCCGATGTAGTTGGGCAGGCAGGAGCAGACGGGCGCCCTGTCGCGCGGCTGGCATTGCGAGTTGGGCCCGCACGGCGACGGCACGCACGGGTTGACGGGGACGTCTTCGATCACGACGGGTGGCGGCGCTGCAAGATTAACAATGAGTATCGCTGCCAAACCTCACCTCACTCAGTCATCACAAATCGAGTCACGACTTACGTGGCAGGTCGTGGCAGCTGCGGAATGGGTCTCCGGTCTGGCCGTCCCGACAGCTGCAGATGGGGTTGTGGTTGATGACCTGGCAGCGCGCGTTGATGCCGCACGAGCCGAGGCACGGGTCGGTGCACTTCTGGTTGACGCAGGCCAGCGTCTGCGCGCACTCGGAGCTGACGACGCACTCTGGGCGGCACTGCGGCGGCGCGCCCACGAAGCCCGTGAGGCACGAGCACACGGCGTGGTTGTCCACGGCGCGGCACTGACTGTTGGGGCCGCACGGCGACGGCTGGCAGGGGTCGCTGCGCTCCGGCGGCAGTTCTGCTCGACAAACACACCGTCAAACGTGGAACAGGATAGAGACATTAATCGCTGATGTCGGAGTACTCACGCTGCGGGGCGAGGCGGCAGTTGGAGAACGGGTCTCCGGTGTAGCCTTCGGGGCAGGAGCAGACGGGGATGTGGTTGACCACGTCGCAGCGCGCGTTGCTGCCGCACGTCCCAGGGCAAGGGTCGCGGCACTTCTGACGCAGGCAGGCGCGGTCGCGCGGGCACTCGGGGTTCACCACGCACTCGGGCCGGCACGCCTCGTACGGGTTGCCGCTGTACTCGGGCAGGCACGAGCAGGCGCCATCGCGGCACAGCGCGTTGGGGCCGCAGGGCGACGGGTTGCAGGGGTCGCTGGCGAGCGGTGGTGGCGTGGCTGCAGGCAGACGGGGACAGTTCATTATTTTCGAACGTGCTTCGATGGCAAGGCCACCGAGCGATCTCAAAGAGTTGTTTCGGTACTTGGTCTCCCTCGCGCCTCAACGGAGCGCCCTTTGCGTGCGATAGAGACAGCGACGAAACGACTCTCCGAAATCGGTCTGCTGTATGACAAGAAAAGAGCGTCCAGGCGACTTACTAATCGGAATGGGTGAGCAGGCGGTGAACGGGTCGCCGGTGTGCCCCTCGTTGCAGGTGCACACGGGCACGTGGTTGATGACGTGGCAGTTGGCGTTGGAGCCGCACGAGCCGGGACAAGGGTCTCGGCAGCGCTGGCGCACGCACGCCTGCTGGCTGGGGCAGTCCGCGCTCAGGACGCACTCCGGCCGGCAGTTGGGCGGGGCGCCGATGTGGTCCGGGAGGCAGGAGCAGGCTGGCACGCCGCCGACTAGTTGGCACAGCGAGTTGGGCCCACAAGGGGATGGCACACAGGATGGCGGACGCTCGGTCGGGGCGGCGACCGGAGCGACGGCTGTGGACGAACACGCGAACGTCAGCAAACAAAAAAACTAAAAATCTGTCAGCGGGTATTCGAACCAAGACTCACGTTGCGGCGAGCACTGCAGGAACGGGTCTCCCGTGAAACCGGGCGGACAGGCGCAGATGGGGTTGTGGTTGCGGACGGTGCACTGGGCGCGGACGCCGCACGTGTTGGGGCAGGGGTCGGCGCACTTCTGGTTGATGCAGGCGCGGTCCAGCGGGCACTCGGAGCTCACCACGCACTCGGGCCTACACTGCGGCGGCGCGCCGATGTAGCCCTGCAGGCACGAGCACACGGCCTGGTCGTTGACGGCGCGGCACTGGCTGTTCGGGCCGCACGGCGACGGCACGCACGGGTCCAAGGGGGCGCGGGCCGCTGCGGCAGAGAAGGACAGACAGCGAAAATTAGTCTCGATTATCCAATATGGTTAGTAACACTTGACTAAGGCGGTTCACTTGTAAGAGCTTAGCAACTGTTTGAGGCCTGGAGAAACGTATTTTGAGCACACAAAAGCCTCACAAAGAAAATACTTGGTAATTTACGAACTACTTCTTTGTAAGACAATCTAAATGGTTTGTGTCGTACACATGTTAGTTGGAGGGTAATTGAACTCACGAGCAATGGGCACGGCTCTGCAGGAGAAGAAGGGGTCCCCGGTGAAGCCCTCGGGGCAGGAGCAGACGGGCACGTGGTTGGCGACGGTGCAGATGGCGGCGGTACCGCAAGTGCCGGGACAAGGGTCCACGCACTTGAAGCCGATGCAGGCCAGGGACTGCGCGCAGTCCGAGCTGGACTCGCACTCGCGGCGGCAGCCCTGGCCGTCGTACGGGTTGCCCTGGTAGCCCTGCAGGCAGAAGCAGGCGCCCGCGCCGCCGCGCTCGCGGCACTCGGCGTTGGGGCCGCACGGCGACGGCACGCAGGGGTTCGGCGGCGGCTGGCGCTCCGTGGCTGCAAGGAAACACACACGGTGTCAGAGAGAGGGAAAGCACCGCGGTGACAGAGACGCCGCTGCGCTGTGACCTGCGGGAAAGAGAGAGACAACAACAGCACTGACATCAACATGACACAATCCCGCCACCACATTAGTACCACACTCGCCTGCAACAGGAAACACGACATCGTTAGCGGCTAACTGAACAACCCTCCGCGACGAAGAGACGGCGAGACTTACATGTGACGGGTGCGGGCGTGCAGGCGACAAAGGCGTCGCCTACGTGGCCCGGGGGGCACGTGCACACGGGGCTGTGGTTGACCACGGCGCACAGCGCGAGGCGACCGCAGGACCCCGGGCAGGGGTCCACGCAGCGCTCGTTCTGGCACGCCAGGTTGGCGGGGCACTCTGCGCTCGTGACGCACTCGGGCCGGCAGTTGGGCGGCCGGCCCAGGTAGTTGGCCAGGCAGGAGCACGCGGGCGAGTCGCCCACCACGCGGCACTGAGAGTTAGGCCCGCAGGGGGACGGGACGCAGGGGTTGCTGGGGCGGGGCGAAGTGGAAGCTAGACAGAGACAGACCGGAACGGTCCGGAAGAGTTGAAAGGACAGCACAAGAGGCATGCAGGCCACCGCCAGGACCGCGCCCGCGGCCGAGAGAGCGTGCGGACCGCGGGCGGGCGGCGGGAGTCGCAAAATAGAGACAGTCAGTCAAGAAATTAATGATAAAAATAAAAACAGTGTAGGAAGTAAAATGGTGCTCGAAAATAAAAATGGTACATAAGGACAGTTTTGGATTGAAGGCCGAATGGTGTACATTAACCAAGGGTAGCGTAGAGCGTATAAAACATAGCAAGAGCGCGTTGAGCGAGCCGAAGCCGAGCTCGGACAGGGCGGCCAGAGGCGAGGCCGAGGAGGGGCATGCTTACGTTGCTGTTCGATAACACATCGCACGAACGGGTCGCCCGTGTTGCCTGGAGGACAGCTGCAGATGGGGTTGTGGTTCACCACCTGGCAGCGCGCGTTGGTGCCGCACGTGCCAGGGCAAGGGTCACCACAGCGCTGGTTGAGGCAGGCCTGGTTCTGCGGGCAGTCCGAAGACACCACGCACTCGGGCCTGCACGCGGGCGGGGAGCCCACGTAGTTGAGCTGGCACGAGCACACTGCGTACCCGTTCACCTCCTTGCAGTTGCTGTTGGGCCCACACGGCGACGGCACGCACGGGTTGGTCGGCGGGGCCTCTTCGACTGGGGAGGGGCGGGGCGCAGAACAGAGAGAAGAGTGTAGAGGGTGCGGGGACGGGGCGACTCTCTCGTTTCGACAATCACATTCCAAATTTAACTTCGCAATCATTTTTGGAAAACTATTCGAATGTGATCGCGGTGAAAAGAGAGCGTCGCCCACTCCGTGCGATACCGAAACAGAAGCATAGAGGTGGAAGGGCTCGTCTTACTGGCTTGGACAAGCGTGCAAGCAGAGAGCGGGTCGCCGCTGTAGCCGGGCGGGCAGGAGCACGAGGGCGCGTGGTTCGCCACGCGGCACTCGGCGTTGAGGCCGCACGCGCCGGGACACGGGTCGCGGCACTTGTTGTTGAGGCAGGCGCGCGACCGGTCGCAGTCCGTGTTGATGACGCACTCGGGCCGGCAGCCCGTGTACGGGTCCCCGGAGTACTCCGGCAAGCACGAGCACGAGCCCGCGCCGTTGCGCTCGCGGCACACCGCGTTGGCGCCGCACGGCGACGGGTTGCACGGCTCGCGGGGACCCTCCGTCGGGACCACCACTGTAAAGGGACCGTGGGTCAGGGCCGGGTTCAAATACCACCCATTTTCATTTTACTTAAACAATCGCGGTTTAGAACCCCCATAGCGACATGGTGTTAGCACGTTAGAAGCCAGCTGTCGCGAGGGGCGGAGCCCCAGGGGTTAGTGTTTCCCTTACCAGGGATGGGCGAACAGCCCGCGAACGGGTCGCCCGTGGTGCCTGGCTCGCACGTGCACATGGGGGCGTGCTTGACCACCACGCACGTGGCGCGGGGGCCGCACGAGCCAGGACACGGGTCGCGACAACGCTCGTTCTGGCAAGCCAGGTTGCCCGGGCACTCTGCGTTGATGGTGCACTCGGGCCGGCAGTTGGGCGCGCGGCCCACATAGTTCTCCAGGCAGGAGCAGGCCGGGGTGTTGCCCACGGCGCGGCACTTGGAGTTGGGCCCGCACGGCGAAGGCACGCACGGGTCGCCGCTCTCCACCGCCACGGGCGGGGACTCTGTGTGGGGGCAGCCAGCGCGTCAGACAAGCACACAAAGCACCAGGATGCAAACACAAACACGAGGAGCAGGGGGCCGGCCCCTCCTCCCTGGAAAAGTGCGTGAAAGACAGAGAAGGAAGGAACGACGCTCACTCTGTTCGGGCCGGCACTGCACGAACGGGTCGCCGGTGAAGCCGGGCGCGCAGCTGCAGATGGGGTTGTGGTTCACCACCTGGCAGCGCGCGTTGGTGCCGCACGTGCCGGGGCACGGGTCGGTGCAGCGCTGGTTGACGCAGGCCTTGTCCTGGGCGCAGTCCGCCGAGACGACGCACTCGGGCCGGCAGGACGGCGGCGTGCCGATGTAGTTGGTCTGGCACGAGCACACGGCGTGGCCGTTCACCTCGCGACACTCGCTGTACGGCCCGCACGGCGACGGCCGGCAGGGGTTCTTCGGCGCCTCGGCTGTGGCGGCGAAGGAAGAGGAAGAAGGGAAAGAACATGCTCAGTGCGAGTCCGTGGAGACAGGCATGCGAAAGGTAACTCGATGTGCGTAAAGAATAAACGTGTGGACACCGAAAGAAGCGCCCGGCCGAACCCACCGGCCAAGGAAGCAACGATCACCAAGACAGAACGAAACGAGAAGAAAGACCCGGGTTTCGGGTTCAAGCCCCGGTGGGAGCGAAAGTTTTTTGAGCGACAGAAACGGAACGGCGTGTTGCCCCTTGGCGGTGGGGGCGGTGGGGTGTGCGGGGGCTTACGGGGTGGGGGCGGGGGCAGGTGGCAGGCCTGCAGTGCGTTGCCGATGTAGCCAGGGAGGCAGGTGCACGTCGGCGCGTGGTTCGCCACGCGGCACTCGGCGTTGAGGCCGCAAGTGCCGGGACACGGGTCCACGCACTTGTTGTTGACGCAGGCGCGGTCGCGGGGGCAGTCCGTGTTGAGCACGCACTCGGGCCGGCAGCCCGTGTACGGGTCGCCCGTGTACTCCGGCAAGCACGAGCAAGAGCCGGCGCCGTTGCGCTCGCGGCACACCGCGTTGGCGCCGCACGGCGACGGGTTGCACGGCTGCCTCTCCTCCTGCTGGGGCGGCGCTGTAAGGGGAGGGCGGTTAGAACTCCGGCCAGCAGCACCGAGGACGACAACAACATCAACAACAATAACCTGCACCAGTCAAGCTTCATGTGAGGTATAAGCAGTAAAACTCAACCAAGCGCTGTGTGAATCAATGTCGCATTAAAATACTTAAATTAAAAATAAAGGTAACATTAAACCATCCATGTGCCAAACGCATTTGCTGCCGAATAAAACAGGAAAACAACAGTGCGCCAGCGAACCCAGGGATCCAAAAACCACAAAACAACCACCATTCCAAGTCATCGTGTCAAAACAGTGAGCTCACCCAAACCCAAACAATTGTTACATAATTCAAAGAATCAAAACCAACAGCGAGACACAATTATGTGGCTCAGGTTATCAGCTGCGATGAGTAATTTACGCTGTGAATGAATGCGTCGGTGAACCAATGAGCAAAATTATTAGCGATCCTGTAAATAAACGTTACAACCAATGGCATGAATGTACACCGTGATGACGCCGTGCCGAGTGATGCAGCATGAGGTTAGCGACCGAATTCCGATTTTTATTTGATTTAGCTTCCGTGGCGACGAATTGCGGGTTAACGCAGTGCGCTTCGTTCTCGCGCGGTCAGTGGTTTTATTTCCATCGCATGACGCGGGGGCGGTGAACGTTATTACGGTTATTCGTATTAGCGTAGTGTGGGGCCTGAACCGTCCGGGGTTATTTTTTAAATTTGCTTTCGAACACGTACGCAGGGCGATGGGGATGGGGTGGCACCCGGAGAACGGGTCCCCGGTGAAGCCGACGCGGCAGTAGCACTGCGGGGCGTGGCTGACGACGCGGCACTCGGCCTGCGGGCCGCACGAGCCGGGGCAGGGGTCGCGGCAGCGCTCGTTCTGGCACGCCTTGCTGCTGGGGCACTCGGAGTGGATGGTGCACTCGGGCCGGCAGTTGGGCGCGCGCCCACGTAGTTGGGCAGGCAGGAGCACACGGGTGTGCCCGCCTGCGCGCGGCAGTGCGAGTTGGGCCCGCACGGCGACGGCGAGCAGGGGTTCTTGTTCTCGACCACGGCCACCACGCGCGCTGCGGCCGGAAGGGGGGCAGTGAGACAGGGACGACATGGCGCGAGCCGTACCGAGGACGATGATCGAACGACGGGGAGGTGCAACGCAGGACTGCCTCGACGCAAGATTGGGCCAAAGTTGGTCAAAAATGGGTTCATGATTCGAAAAGGGGGTTCATCTTTAAATTTTAAAATCTCCATATTTGCTATTTTGAAAATGACTTCATTTTATTTTAAGAATAATAGTTTGATTTAATATTTTTGTAAAGTTATAATAATTAGTTTCTTCCAGAGGGATTATGATTTGAACGAGTTCAAAAGCTACATCAAACCGAAACGGATTGAAAAGTGTGCCCAAGTTGCACCCCGAGGCAGCCCCGCGAGTGGCCTGGTCCTTACGGGGTTCCCGCTGGCAGCGCACGAACGGGTCGCCGGTGTAGCCGGGCTCGCAGCTGCAGATGGGGTTGTGGTTGACGACGCGGCAGCGGGCGTGCGTGCCGCAGGTGCCGGGGCAAGGGTCGGTGCAGCGCTGCCGGACGCAGGCGTGGTACTGCGGGCACTCGGCCGACACCACGCACTCGGGCCTGCACATGGGCGGCGCGCCGACGTAGCCGAGCTGGCACGAGCACACGGCCAGGCCGTCGCGGCTGCGGCACACGGAGTACGGGCCGCACGGCGACGGCACGCACGGGTCCACGGGTTCGGCGAGGGGCGCGACGGGCTCGGGCACGGGCCGGCACCCCGACAGAGGGTCGCCCGTGTAGCCCTCCACGCACGTGCACACGGGCACGTGGTGGGCAACGTGGCACTCGGCGTTGCGGCCGCACGTCCCCGGGCACGGGTTCACACACTTGTTGTTGAGGCAGGCGCGGTCGCGCGGGCACTCGGCGTTCTGCACGCACTCGGGCCGGCAGCCCGTGTACGGGTCGCCGTGGTAGCCCGCCATGCACGAGCACGCCCCCGCGCCCTGACGCTCGCGGCACAGCGCGTTGGAGCCGCACGGCGACGGCGTGCACGGCTCGCGGGGAGCCTCCACGACGGCCACGGCTGTGGGAAACACTGGTCATTAGGTGGGGCACTGCGGGGCACTGCACGCTGCGAGGAACAACAACAACTAGCATGCACAAAAACAACAACAGTCAAAGCAACATGGATAACACAGGTGGTGCCGTACATCAAAGGTGGTGCCAAATAACCAAAACGACCAGTAACCAACAACAAAATACAGTGACGACAAAACCAACAAGCCAGAAAGCGCACTACGACAACAAAACCAACGACCAGCAAAACCGACAAAAACCATCAAAAACATCCAGACAGCCGAGCAAACAGGCGGCCTTACTTGGCGGCAGCGGGACGCAGCCCTGGAAGGGGTCGCCGGTGAGGCCGGGCGCGCACGCGCACTGCGGCTTGTGCTCGGCCACGCTGCACACGGCGCCGCGGCCGCACGACCCGGGACACGGGTCCGCGCAGCGCGACGCCTGGCACGCGCGCGACCGCGGGCACTCCGAGTCCAGCACGCACTCGGGCCGGCAGGTGGGCGCGCGGCCCGCGTAGCCCGGCTGGCAGGAGCAGGCCGGCTGGCTGCCCAGCGCCTTGCACACCGAGAACGGGCCGCACGGGTTGGGCGAGCAGGGGTCGCTCGGCAAGGGGTCGGGGCACTCTGGAAGACGGCGGTCATGAAGGGGTGCAGAGAGAGGGGGATAGAGACAGTGCCGGGAAGGGGTCCGGACGGGTCCACGGTTCGCTAGTCATCGACGTGGAGCCCGGCCAGACACTTACGGTCAGGCATGAGACAGCGGGTGGTGGGGTCGCCGGTGAAGCCGGGCGCGCAGGTGCACACGGGCTGGTGGTTGAGCACCTGGCAGCGCGCGTTGGCGCCGCACACGCCGGGGCACGGGTCCACGCAGCGCTGGTTGGCGCAGGCGCGGTTCTGCGGGCACTCCGCCGACACGACGCATTCGGGCCTGCACTGCGGCGGCGCGCCCACGAAGTTGGCGGCGCACGAGCAGGCCGCGTGGCCGTCCACCACGCGGCACGCGCTGAACGGGCCGCACGGCGACGGCCGGCAGGGGTTGGCCGCGGGGGGCGCTGGGGGCAGGGCGGGGCGGGGGAGGTCAGAGGCCGGGACGTTAGCAAGCGAGAGTGGCAAGCAAAGGGTGACAGGGTCGCAAGTGGAGGCCTTACGCGGCGCCGCGGGCAGCGGCAGGCACTTCTGCAGCGCGTTGCCGGTCGTGCCGGCCGGGCAGGCGCACGACGGCGTGTGGTTCACCACCACGCAGGTGGCGTTGGCGCCGCACGTGCCCGGACACGGGTCCACGCACTTGGTGTTGATGCAGGCCTGGTTGCGCGGGCAGTCCGTCGACAGCACGCACTCGGGCCGGCAGCCCTGGTACGGGTCGCCGCGGTACTCCCGGATACACGCGCACGACCCCGCGCCGCCCCGCGCCGTGCACACCGCGTTGGCGCCGCACGGCGACGGCGAGCACGGCGTGGGCGGGGCGGGAGGGGGCGCTGCGGTCGCGAGGAGGACAGAGATGGAAGATGAAGAGTTAGGTGAACAGAGTTACAGTTAAGTGAAGGGGGCCAGCGTGGGTGCGGAAAGGGCCGCTATACCGTGACGGCGAGGAGAGGCTAGTCTGAACCCAAAGCCGGACAGAGACCAGCAGAATGCTTCCGATTGTCGCTTTCGTCGCTCTGTTTCTCTCACACCTGGGACGCCTCGTGAGAGTGAGACAGGCAAAGCAAAGAAAACGACTCTACACTGGCCGTTTCGCATCACCCACGCTGGCCCAGCGAAACGGAAGGCAGAGCGAGAGGATGATGCTTACGCGGTGGCAGAGGGGTGCAGCCGGCAAAGGCGTCCCCGGTGAAGCCCGGCTTGCACGTGCACACGGGGCCGTGGTTGACGACGCGGCAGTCGGCCTGCGGCCCGCACGAACCCGGACACGGGTCGGCGCAGCGCTGGCCCTGGCAGGCGCGGTTGCGGGGGCACTCGGCCGAGAGCAGGCACTCAGGGCGGCACGCGGGGGGCCGCCCCAGGAACCCCTCCAGGCACGAGCACGCCGCCCGGCCGCCGCCCTCCCCCGGGACCACGCGGCACGCCGCGTTCGCGCCGCACGGGCTGGGCGTGCACGGGTCGCGCGGGGGCACGTCGGGGCACGCTGGCGCGCGGGGAAGAAGAAAGGACAGTTAGTGGTAAGATGTCGATGAAACGAAGCAGACGAAGCGAAAATGAACAGAGAGAGGGCAAGGATTTCGCGCGTTGTTAGTGGAGTTTGGAAAATGAACAGCAGAGTTACAGCCATTCTCAACCTTGGAAACTTGGGGTACCGGAAAAATATTTGTCATACTGGGTTCATTTCGATACTGCCAAGATCATTTCTAGAGGCCAAGACGGGCCAAGAGCAAGAGAACTCCGCGTCTAGACAGTGGAAAAGCCCCAAAAGGTTGAGAACCGCTCGCTGGTAAGAGAATGAAATGAGGAAGAGTGATTTTGAGCAGAAGTGTTAAGACTCGCGCTAAAACGTCGTAATCCCTGCGCTCGCTCGGTGCAAAGCGTTGGGTTGAAAGTGAGAACGGAGGGGCGAGCCTTACTCTCGGGCTCGACGCAGCGCCTAAACGGGTCCCCGGTGAAGCCGGGCAGGCAGCTGCACATGGGCCTGTGGTTGACGACGAGGCAGCGCGCGTTGGCGCCGCACGAGCCCGGGCAGGGGTCGGCGCAGGTCTCGTTGATGCAGGCGCGCGTCGCGGGGCAGTCCGTGCTGAGCAGGCACTGTGGCCGGCACTGCGGGGGGCTGCCCACCGCGCCGGGCTGGCACGAGCACACCGCGCTGCCAGCCACCTCGCGGCACAGCCCCCGCGGCCCGCACACCGGCGGCGTGGCCAAGCACGGCGGCGGCTTGGGCGCGGGCGGCGCGGGGGGCGCTAGAGAAGGTCATGCAGTTAGAGAGGACGAGCGACGCCACCAGGGGGACAGCGTGAGAAGAAGGGTTAGCTTACGCGGCGGGACGGGGGTACAAGCGAGCAACGCGTCGCCGGTCAGGCCGGCCGGACACGAGCACGCGGGGCTGTGGTTGATGACCACGCACGCCGCGGCCAGCCCGCACGCGTTGGCGCACGGGTCGCCGCAGCGGTGGTTGAGGCAGGCGCGGTCGCGCGGGCAGTCGGAGCTGAGCACGCACTCGGGCCGGCAGCCCACGTAGGGGTCGCCGAAGTACTGGGCCAGGCAAGCACACGCCCCGGCGCCGTTCTGCGCGCGGCACACCGCGTTGGCGCCGCACGGGTTCGGCGTGCAGGGCTGCGGCGGCGGCTGCGGCGGTGGAGCTGTAAGGCAACTCGAGGGACTCAAGGACAGGCACCACCTGGACGACGACGCGGACGGCACGGACGGCGAGGCTGGGGGAGAACAAGACCAACATGCACGCACTCCACGCAGTCCTCGGGCTCGCGTCGACAGTCCTACCTTGCACGGGGTTGCAGCCGGAGAACGGGTCGCCCTCGAAGCCCTGCAGGCACGAGCACACGGGCTGGTGGTTGCGCACGGCGCACTGCGCGTTGAAGCCGCACGAGCCCGCGCACGGGTCCGAGCACTTGTTCCGCACGCACGCCAAGTGCGTCGGGCAGTCCTGGTGGATGAGGCACTCGGGCCGGCAGTTTGGCGGCGCGCCGAGCATGCCTGGCGTGCACGAGCAGACGGGCCGCGCGTCCACGACGGGGCACTCGGAGTTGGCGCCGCACGGCGACGGCACGCACGGGTTCAGCGGTGCGATTGGCGTAGGCGCTGCAGGAAAACCCAAAGGATTGTTATCATTTTGCTTTAATTAAACAACTAAGTCAGCAGAGTAATTTTATAACGCAAGGCGAAGGGATACTCACGTTCTGGTTGGCATCGCACGAACGGATCTCCGTTGTAGCGCGGCGGGCAGCTGCAGATGGGGTTGTGGTTGGTGACCTGGCAGCGCGCGTTGACGCCGCAGGTTCCAGGGCAGGGGTCGGCGCACTTCTGGTTGATGCAGGCCTGGCTCTGCGGGCACTCGGCCGACACGACACACTCCGGTCGGCAGGCCGGCGGCGCCCCGATGTAGCCGGGCACGCACGAGCACACGGCGTGGCCGCTGGTGACGCGGCACACGCTGTTGGGCCCGCACGGCGACGGCTCGCACGGGTTCTGCGGCGGCAGCACGGCCACGGGTTCCTGCCTGCAGGCCTGGAACGGGTCGCCGCGGAAGCCGGGCAAGCATTGGCAGACCGGCACGTGGTTCACGACGCCGCACTCGGCGTTGGTGCCGCACACGCCGGGGCACGGGTCCCTGCAGTGTTGCGACAGGCAGGCCAGGTGGGGCGCGCAGTCCGCGTTCATCGTGCACTCGGGACGGCAGCCGCCGGCGTACGGGTTGCCCATGTACGGTGGGATGCACGAGCACCGAGCCACGCCGTCGCGGGAGTCGCACACCGTGTTCTCCCCGCACGGCGACGGCACGCACGGGTCCACGGGCGCGGCGGCGGGCGGCAGGTAGGCGAGGGATGTCTTGGCGCAGCCGAGGGAAGGCGCCCCGCCCTCGTAACCCCGGGCAAGGGGCAAAGGGCGGGCAAGGAACGGCGTGTGGTTTGACCCCCCAAAGCCCCCCGCACTTGGGGAGGGGTTTGGAAAAGGGCCCCCCACGCGCCGAGCAGGGTAAAGGGCCTTCCCCCGTTGACGCAAGCCGCTACCCCGCGGGGGCACCACCTTTCCCTGATGCCCGAAACTCGGGCCGGGCAGTACGAACGGAAATGCCGATGTATTTTGGCCTTGCACGCGCCAAAACTAGTTGCCCGTGCTTCACCTGGCAAAATCTAAAGTTAGGCCACCTGTACGGGTCGCAAGGGGGACGGGCCTCTTCAAGTTGGCATGAAGGACAGATGAGGGGGTTTCGGTTATCGCCAGGCTTTCCGTCCAGGCAGGGAGGTACCTCTACCGCGCCCAAAAAAAAACAAGATAAGGAAAAATCATGAAACCAAACTGAGCTCACCAATGGGCGTGTAGCAGCTGGCAAACGGATCCCCCAGCTGTCCTGGCGGGCAGCTGCAGATAGGGTTGTGGTTGATGACGGCGCAGCGCGCACCGAGGCCGCAAGTCCCGGGGCAGGGGTCGACGCAACGCCAGTTGACGCAGGCCTGGGTCTGCGGGCACTCGGCGGACACGACGCACTCGGGGCGGCAGGACGGCGGAGCGCCGCGGTAGTTGGGCAGGCAGGAGCAGGTGGCGTAGCCCTGCGCCGACACCAGGCACCTGCTGTTGGGGCCGCAGGGCGACGGGTCGCACGGGTTGGTGGGCTGGTGGGCGAGCGGTGGCGGTTGCGGGGCTGGTCTGAAGGGGTAGCAGTTGGTGAACGGGTCGCCGGTGCTTCCCTCCGGGCAGTAGCAGACGGGGACGTGGTTGACCACGCTGCAGTGCGCCGTCACACCGCACGCGCCCGCGCACGGGTTCTCGCACTTGTTGTTGACGCAGGCCTTGTCCATGGGGCAGTCCGTGTTGAGCACGCACTCGGGGTGGCAGCCCAGGTACGCGTTGCCGAAGAACCCGGGCAGGCACTCGCAAGTAGTGGCTCCGTGGCGGTCGCGGCACCGTGCGTTGGCGCCGCAGTGCAGCTTCTCGCAGGGTTCCACGTCCTCGACGGGGGCCTTGGGCGCGGTGCAGTGCTCGAACGGGTTGCCGGCGAGGCCGGGCGGGCACGAGCAGACGGGCTGGTGCTGCACCACGGCGCACTGCGCGAACACGCCGCACGAGCCGGGGCACGGGTCGAGGCAGCGCTGGCCCAGGCAGGCCAGGTTGAAGGGGCAGTCCGAGTTGGCGAGGCACTCCGGTCGGCACTCCGGTCGGAAGTGAGCGTCCGGGCCACCGCAAGGGTCGCACATGGCCACCTGGCCGTACGCCAGACACTGCACGTTGGGCCCGCACGGCGACGGCACGCACGGCCGGGAGATGTTGTGTTCCGGGCCGATTTGCGCTGCAAGCAAAAGCACCATTAGTTCACCCGGACTGGATTGCGAGTCACTCGGTCGGCATGAGAAGTACTCACGTCTGGGGTAGCACTGCACAAAGGCGTCGCCCTCGTAGTTGTCGGGGCAGGCGCAGGTGGCGGTGTGGTCGATGCACTTGCAGACCGCCCCCACGCCGCACACGCTGCCCAGCTTGCAGGGGTCCACGCAGCGGTAGCCCTGGCAGGCCTGGTTGGAGCCGCAGTCCGAGTTGATGACGCACTCGGGCCGGCAGCCCACCTGCGGGTCGCCGAAGTATTCGTCCAGGCACGAGCAGACCGCGCGCCCGCTCAGCACCAAGCAGTGCGTGTTGGGCCCGCAGGGGCTCGGGTTGCATGGATCTTCAGGAGGCAGTTCTGAAAAATAAATGAAGGACACGTAAGATTTTTCCACGTGAAAGGCAAACACCAGTTCAGCACCTTTTACGTTGCTGTGAGGGACTTACCTTGAGGTACCGGGTAGCAGCGCACGAGCGGGTTGCCGGTGAGGCCGTGCTTGCACGTGCACACGGGGTGGTGTTTCTCGACGCGGCAGTCCGCGGCCACGCCGCACGAGCCGGGGCACGGGTCGCGGCAGCGGTAGCCCATGCAGGCCAGGTGGTTGGGGCACTCGTCGTCCACGCGGCACTCGGGGCCGCGGCACCCGCTGGGGCTGGTGGGGTCCCCGGCGAGCCCCTCGGGGCACAGGCACATGGGCTGGCCTGTTGGGTTCACGGAGCACTCGGCCAGGGGTCCGCAGGGGTTAGGCAGGCAGGGGCTGGCGGGCGGCGGGCTGCATCCAGTGTAGGGGTCGCCGATGAAACCGTAGCGGCAGTAGCACTGCTCCTGGTTGTCGGCCACGTAGCAGTCCGCGTTCTGGCCGCACGGTCCGGGCTGGCACAGCACGCGGACCACGGGCTCGGTACAAGCCTTGAACGGGTTGCCCACGGTCGGGTCCGGACAGAAGCAGGTGGGCTTGCGGTTGGCGTCGCACAGCGCGCCCGGGCCGCAGGGGTTCGGGTCACACGGGTTGCGCTTCTCCACACAGCCCCGGATCGTGTTGGGACTCTCCAGGAAGCCGGGCAGGCACGTGCACTTGGCGAAGCCGTTGGACAGCACGGTGCACTGGGTGTTGGGGCCGCAGGGGCTGGGGTCGCAGGGGTGGTTGGGCAGCGCGCACGCCTTCTCCGGCGGCTCGCCCTCGTACTCCGGCAGGCAGAAGCAGTGCGGCACGCCCGCGATCACGCGGCAGCCCGAGTTGGGGCCGCACGGGTTCGGGGTGCACTCGTCGCCCTCGGGCACTGCAACGACAAAAGGATTAACTACTCATTCATCAATCTCAATGAAAGCACCCACCCGCGGTCTTCCACGGCACTTACCGCAGTTCCTGAACGGGTTTCCGGTCATTCCCTTCGGGCAGAAGCACACGGCGTTTCCGTGGTCGATCTCGCACAGCGCGTACACGCCGCACGGGTTCGGATCACAAGGGTTGGCTGGCGCTGTAAAATGCAGAAATAAGGAGTCTATATCATTTCTCCTACCTAAATGTTCGCCTACCTGTCTATTTCGCCTACCTATATTTCGCCTACCTATATTTTGCCTACCTAATAAAAATATTGAATAAAAATATTCAATATAATATTGCCATTTTTCGCCTACCTATAGTTCGCCTACCTAATAAAAAAATTAAATAAAAATATTCAACAAAAAAACGAAAAAATCGGCGGCAAAAAGTGGCAATACGAAAGTCTCAAGGAGACCCGCCGATCAGCTTCGGTGTTCTTATGGGAACCGGGCCTTCATCCGACGCTCCCTGCCGCGCAATTCGACAGATTAGTGGGTTCGTATTGGGCTGGCCCACCCGAAGTGCGCGCGGTTTCTGTGGTACAGTGAGAGTCCAGATTCAGAGGCCTTACCTCAGAGGGGTCACATTGGGTATTTGAACCCGCGACCCCGAGTGCCGAGTCTAGTCAACTCCTCTACCCTGACCGCTCAGCCACCGAACCAGCTTGTCGGCGGCGATGTCGCAACTCCTCTTGAGCTGCCGTTCGAGAAATCTGGTCCCGAAAAAATGGTACTTTGAGCGGTCTCGAACCCGGGACCTGCTGCTTCCCACATCATGCTCTTAACCACTGAGCCACCGGGACGCCATGGCACCCGCCTTGCCTGCGCTGGTACTCAATCTTCTCTGGATATACCTCCCCAAGCAATTGGTCGCCGAAAAAATTGTGTATACTGCCGGTCCCGAACCCGGGACCTGCTGCTTCCCACATCATGCTCTTAACCACTGAGCCACCGGGACGCCATGGCACCCGCCCTGCCCGCGCTGGTACTCAATCTTCTCTGGATATACCTCCCCAAGCAATTGGTCGCCGAAAAAATTGTGTATATTACTGGTCCCGAACCCGGGACCTGCCGCTTCCCACATCATGCTCTCAACCGCTGAGCCACGGGGACGCCATGGCACCCGCCTTGCCAGCGCTGGTACTTATTCCTCTCTGGATAGACCTCGTCAAGAAGTCGGTTGCCTCTGCCGAAAAATATGCTCATAGCACTAGCCTCGAACCCGAGACCTGCCAGCCAGGAACGCAGCACTCTATCCACGGCGCTACCAGGTTGCTATGCGCGCCACTAACCTAGCGCCAAACTTCAATAGCCACCCATTTTGATTAATGCTGGACAAATAATAACGTCGGCGATGGGGTGAGTGCTGTGCGTAGCAACCAAGTAGCGCAGTGGTTAGAGTGCTGCGTTCCTAACTGGCAGGTCTCGGGTTCGAGACTAGTACCATGGCCATATTTTTCGGCAGAGGCAACCGACTTCTTGACGAGGTTTATTCGGAGAGGATTGAGTACCAGCGCTGGCAAAGCGGGTGCCATGGCGTCCCGGTGGCTCAGCGGTTAAGAGCATGATGTGGGAAGCGGCAGGTCCCGGGTTCGGGACCGGTAGTATACACAATTTTTTCGGCGACCAATTGCTTGGGGAGGTATATCCAGAGAAGATTGAGTACCAGCGCAGGCAGGGCGGGTGCCATGGCGTCCCGGTGGCTCAGTGGCTAAGAGCATGATGTGGGAAGCAGCAGGTCCCGGGTTCGGGACCGGTAGTATACACAATTTTTTCGGCGACCAATGGCTTGGGGAGGTATATCCAGAGAAGATTGAGTACCAGCGCAGGCAGGGCGGGTGCCATGGCGTCCCGGTGGCTCAGTGGATAAGAGCATGATGTGGGAAGCAGCAGGTCCCGGGTTCGGGACCGGCAGTATACACAATTTTTTCGGCGACCAATTGCTTGGGGAGGTATATCCAGAGAAGATTGAGTACCAGCGCAGGCAAGGCGGGTGCCATGGCGTCCCGGTGGCTCAGTGGTTAAGAGCATGATGTGGGAAGCAGCAGGTCCCGGGTTCGAGACCGCTCAAAGTACCATTTTTTCGGGACCAGATTTCTCGAACGGCAGCTCAAGAGGAGTTGCGACATCGCCGCCGACAAGCTGGTTCGGTGGCTGAGCGGTCAGGGTAGAGGAGTTGACTAGACTCGGCACTCGGGGTCGCGGGTTCAAATACCCAATGTGACCCCTCTGAGGTAAGGCCTCTGAATCTGGACTCTCACTGTACCACAGAAACCGCGCGCACTTCGGGTGGGCCAGCCCAATACGAACCCACTAATCTGTCGAATTGCGCGGCAGGGAGCGTCGGATGAAGGCCCGGTTCCCATAAGAACACCGAAGCTGATCGGCGGGTCTCCTTGAGACTTTCGTATTGCCACTTTTTGCCGCCGATTTTTTCGTTTTTTTGTTGAATATTTTTATTTAATTTTTTTATTAGGTAGGCGAACTATAGGTAGGCGAAAAATGGCAATATTATATTGAATATTTTTATTCAATATTTTTATTAGGTAGGCAAAATATAGGTAGGCGAAATAGACAGGTAGGCGAACATTTAGGTAGGAGAAATGAACAACTCCCGAAATAAGTCAAACAATCTACGTAGAAAATTAATAGCACTCCCCGGCGATCCTCTAGAAACAACGCCAACTTACGGGTACATCCGTGGATGGGGTCACCGCCGTATCCCGGAGGACACTTGCACAACGCCTTGTGGTACAGCACCTCGCACGTCGCATACGCCCCGCACTTGCAGGGGTTGCCGCACTTGCCGTTCAGGCAGGCCTCGCTGCCCGCGCACTCCTCGTCGGAACGGCAGCCAGTCACTGCAAAACAAAGAATTGACAGGTTTAAACTCTCGACCGACATGTCCAAAGAAAGGATTTGACAAAAATTTGAGACCGCGTGGTCGTCCTGCAGGACACACTCACCCTGGCCGCACTCGATGTAAGGGTTGCCGAAGGAGCCGGGCAAGCAGCGGCACTGCACCTGGTGGTTGTCGGGCCAGCACTCGGCGTTCTCGCCACACGAGTCCTCAGAGCACGGGTTGATGCAGAGCCGGTTGAGGCGGTCGCATGCCTTGTCGGGCGGGCAGTCCTCGTTGTACTGACACACGGGCTGGCCGGGCTGGATGTTGGAGCGCACTGCAAGCAACCGGCTCGTCAGCAACGCCTGACCTGCTGTCGCAACGCCTAGTCCCATCCTTCTTACCCGGCAGGCAGCCGACGAAGCCGTTGCCTTGGAAGCCATCAGCGCAGCTGCAGTCCGTAGCGTGGTTCGAGTTGACGCACACCGCGTTGAGCGCACACGGGTTGTGCACCTCGCACGGCGGCTGGCAGTTGCCTCCGATGCAGGCCTCGGTGACGGAGCAGTCGTCGTTGCTATGGCAACTCGCTAGAAAGCCCATCCCAGAGAGAAAGAGTGAGAGGTATGTACACACAGTCGGAACAAGATCAAACCATAGCCCGGTCTGAGTATTTACAGCCCGGCCCGCTAAAGAGGGGTGCCGGTCTTGGCGAGAAAAACAAGGATCGTGAAATGGAATCTGGCGTGCGCGCGGCATTCAGACGAAGCCAAGAGTAGGGCTGGAGCAACTCGATTATCAGTGCTAGAGAACAACACGGGCAAACAAAACATGAGTGCTGGCTGAAATTTGAAGAGTTCGTTATAGATTTAGTGGTTAGGCACGAACCGAAGCGTTGGTTTAGGTAAGTTAATAAATACACGCTCCTTTATGCTGCTGGACACTGAAGGGGGGCGCCCGTGGCCTCTAATGGTAATGGTACTGGGGCAGGCCCGCCCGCAACACACAGCTTCAAGGCGTGTGGCCTACCCCGCTGATGGCAGGCGCCCAGCCTAGCACCAGCTAACGTTTATTCCGATTTTAAATGCGAGCCACCGTTTATTTGCGCAATGAGGTCGCATTCATGTTGCTTTTAACAAAATGACATCTTTACAGTGAGTTAAGACCCGGTTATTCTGTTAGCACGATTTGTTGCTTCCTGCGGCGTGGTCTTTCGACGGGGAGCTGGCTCACGACCGGGAGGTGGATGTATATAGTACAACAGGTTAAAGCAGGACGAAGTAATTGGTGCCCTCACTCCCACGCCAAAAGACCACACCCCGTTGAGAACCACGAAGCCAACGAGATTCACGAATGCCTGTAAGAGATGACTATGTACCAACTGAACCGAGGATGGGAACACTGACACAAACAAAAATATCTAGAAAAAAAAAATTGGTTTGCTCTTACATTTTTCTTTTTACTCTAAGCATTTGATAAATCCAAAATAATTCCGTCCAGTTTAAAAAATAACTTAAAACCATGTGAATTGTTTTTAAGAATGTTTCGAAAGTAAGAAAGGAACTTTAATGTCAGTTGCTCTCCCTCGGCCGGCCCTGTTAGCATGTTAGTCTTACATGGTTGAGTGGGGAAGCAGTTAAGCGCAGGGTTTCCGTGGTGGCCCGGCGGGCAGGTGCAGATGGGCCGGTGCGCCTTGACGCGACACTTGGCCGTGGGCGCACAGGCCATCGCGAACTGGCAAGGGTCCTGGCACTCCGCCATGAAGCATGCCTCCGTGTGCAGGCAGTCCGAGTCGGACTCGCAGGGCCGGGGCGCCTTGAGCGAGCCCCCAGGGTGAGCTGTGGAACAGGGAAGATTAGGCCCAGCCAGCACCGTGCTGTACACCCAAATAGTTCTTTGTACAAAGGCTTGGCACTTGATGCGTAATTGTTTGTTTATTGATGGCCCGTTGTAGCAACCCAAAATTATCTGTAACTGAATCGAATCTACTCCGCAAAAACAGCAAAGTTCTAGACCGCAAAAAAAGTTTCATGCATTTTTTTGTCTTTTTGATAAGTTGCTAATTTTTACGCGAGGCTTGGACAAAACGCAATAATTTTAACACACTAGGTGAAAGCATTGCGACGCTCTAATTTAATCTTCTACGTGTCTACGTGCCATGAATAACAACTCATAAGCAGTATTTTGGCCCCTACGCTGTACCTCGTCGACAGTCGGCCGACAGTTCAGGGCACGTGCAGTGTGTGGTGTGGTTTCTGACCGCGCACACGGCCGCGGCGTGGGCGCAGCTATCGGCACGGCACGGGTCGCCGCATCGCCCCGTCAGGCACGCCTCCGAGTCCTCACAGTCGGCGTCGTCCTCGCACCGCCGCTCCTCGCCCTTCTTGGACTGTTTTGTGGGGCCCCCGGGCGGAGTGCGGTCCGGGGACTCAGTGGTGGCTGTGTCGTCGATCGTGGTGGTCGTCACCGGTACCGTGATCGTAGTTTCGCGTGTACTGTTACCATCCACGTCCAGGCCTGGCAGCGTGGTAACCAAGGTCCGAATCGTGGTGACCGCGTAAGTACTGTTCCGGTCATACTCGGTGGGTGGCGGGACAGTGTCGCCGGTAAACGCGTCAGGGAGGGTAGTGGGCAGGACCCACGGCGTGGTTTGGGTGTCCGGAGTTGTAAAAGTAATATCCGTGGTCGTGTCGATCGTTACTGGAGGTGTACTCGTGTATATAATTTCTGTTTACGTGCCAGTAAGGGGAAACAAAACAAAGAAAACAAGCACCAGTTAGTGGTGGGAATTATAAACAGTGGAATATTTACAAACCGCAGAATGTACACAAAAGCCAATAAAAAAAACATTTTGCGATTGCTCCTCATAATCAACACTCTGACCTGATCGACATCGATTCCAATACAAACATACACCGCCATCAATCACCGTTAAACTGGTCAAATATTATTTTAAGCTGTCGACTTATCACCATTAATCCAACACCGTACATGCCACATGCAAAGAACAGTATAATAAACAAGGGCGTTCAAAGACACAAGAAATAACAAGATGTGTTGCTATTTTGGCAAGAATCATTCAGCATCCATAAGGCTCAGAGATGAAATAACCGTAGAAAGTAACACCAAGATGCATCAAATGCTAAGAAATCCGAAATATTGGAAAAGTTCCAATAAATGCACTCAAAATGCATGCATCGAATAGGAAAAATCGAAGTATAAACGATATCTTAAGGGAGAAGGGAGCGAGGTTAGGAACACAGGAAGGAAGAGTCAGGTAGTTTCTGTCAAAATGACGGACTTTCGCTAGAGCGTTCCATCAAGATTGAGGGCGTGCACTTAACGTCAGTCAAGTTGGTTGAAGAGTAGAGACAATCAAGGTTTCATTCAAGTTCTCATTCACTAGAAATAGCAGGTTGAAGAATAAATGGCCATTCGCGGACATTCATAGCGATGTAACCACACTGCGTCTCAAGGGGCAAGAAGCGATCTTCCGGAAGCATCCGAACGCACTCGGCAGCATTGCCATTCGCGACAGTTGAGAGGGAGGGACAGTGAAGGACAGTGAAGAGTCCTGGCAGGACATGTGGACTATACCTGTAAGGTTAGGTGTACCGCGGTTGCGGAAAACCATGGCGATCCCTCACCAGCTACGCAGCTCCTCAGGTTAGTCGTGTCGAGATGGTCGTGCCGATTGGTGATGGGGGTGTTGTGGGGGATGGGACGAAGGAAGGGTGGAAAGGAAGAGATTCGAGCCCAGAGAGAAAACAATGCCCAAAGACCTATCCGAGAGCATCGCGTGCCACGCAGTTCGAGCCCATCGCATCAAAAAAGTCAAAGACCGCAAAGAAAAAAAAGGGGCGGTTGTTTGGCTTTCATCGGAGATACAAAACTACGGGCACGCGAGCAGAATTTCTCATTTACTAGACCATCGCAAACCCTAACCAAATGAAGGTTAGTTGCCAAAACTTCTGAAAGATGTGTGACAAACACTTTCCAACACAAACACAACAAAACTACTCTACAAAACAGCAACACATTGGTCATTTCTAACTGACCACGATTCACACTCAGGCCCGTTTTGCAGGTTTTTACCCTACCTTTGATGCACGCCCCAGTAATCGGATCACATGGTACGCCTGGCGGGCAATGCTCACAGCCAGGAGACTCTGTTTTTAAAATGAAAATTGTAAAAATACCTAAAATGGATTTCTTAAAAATCACACATAAATAAAAAGCTGTAACTTACCGTCGTGGCAAACCGGCTGGTGCAAAAGCACTCGGCAAGCCTGATTGGCTGAGCAATAATGGCTGGAGCACGGATTCTGGCATCGGCCGTTCAGGCAAGAAAGGCTCGTTGGACACTGCGCGTGCGATGTACACTCAAGAACTGGAAACACAGTCGAATAAATTAGAAACGCGTCATAAATGGCACATTGATACTAGTAAAACAGTGACCGAAGACAAGCAAAAAGCCGAATAGTAAACATCATTTCATAGCACTTTGTAAAAATCATTGACATTGATCTTGGTCCTGAATATAGAATGCATGATTCCACTAAGCGTAATCATGCTGCTAAATTTTGCGATGCGCGTAACCAGCTCACATGCCATAAAACAATCAACTGAGCATGGATTTGATTCAACCAGCATAAGAAACAAGAGAAAAGATTACATTCCAATTTATTTCATCAGCAAATCACATTTTTCTCAAGTAATTTGTATCTCACATGCTCAACTAGCAGCGAGGAGGACGAGACAAGAAAAAAGCTGAAAAAGAAACGGAAAAGACAAACAAGAAACAATAACAACAAAGCTTTCAGTATATACAAAAGCCAAAGCAGTATGTACATGCACCGCTATTATAAGACCCATGCAACAGTTAAGGGGAATAGACACCGACCATTAGTATCGAACCCAACACCGCCAAAAAATTGTATTTCCCCAAGAAAATTCCTTGCCATCGTGCGATAACTGTAAAAAGTTGTCCGATCAGTAATAACGAGGACTAGGCCTGGGAAACACTTTGACGAGCCTCATCCATGCACCTGACTGATGTAGGGTGTCCAGCAGTTGGCCATGCCATGCTGCGCTGGGATGCAAAGACTCTGCACAACGTGTTTACCTGGGTGTATGCTACAATGTGGTGCTGCGGCCGGGTGCTGACTGGGTAAACACAAACACTGAGCGGTGTGCCAACGAGTAATGCAAAGAGCTCGCGGGCCGCAGGAGCCCTTCCAAAGGGCGCATGGGTCTCCACAACGGAAACCGACGCAAGCCTCATCATCCAAGCAATCAAACTCAGATACGCAGGACGTTGTGTTTCCTATTTTAATTCGTCCAGGAGGAACGGTGGCTAAGGTTTGAGACCGAACAGTGGTGCTTGAAAACAAAGTGGACTCCGTTCTGCTCTGACTAGGGGTTAAACTTGTCATACCCTGACTAGAAAATTTACCATTATCATTAGAAGTTACAAAGCGGCTACCAAGAGTTGCCCCAGGAACTGTAACAGTAATTCCTTCGGAAGAAGTAGATGTCGTTCCAAAAGAGCCAGTAGTAAAAGAATCTAGAGTTGAAGTCTGAGACAAAACAGATGCCTCAGTTGGAACGGTATCGTTAAGTTCCGGAGGAACCAATGTCGACCCAAAAGTTGACCTAAGGGGACTGTCAGTACGAGAGGTCGCCGCTGTAACATCAGGAACTATGGTAGTTACGTCTGGGACTAGAATAATAGTAGTAAGATTAGACTCAAAAGAAATAGGACGAGTCGAAGAATCATATTCAGACATATTAAAAGAAAAGGGACTAGAAATGTCACTAGAAGTCGTAGTTTCGACCAGATAAGGAATTGAAGTATAATTAGACATATCTAATGTATCATTTAAAAGCAAAGCGGTTGTGTCGGAAATGAAAGAACGAGCTGAAGTAACTGTCGAGTCAAAAGAAGGTTCCGTTGTAACATCGCCCAAAGTGACTGACGTATCTGTCGTCTCAGGAATCAGTTGTCCAGCCGGGTCAAACCGAGGGCTGCCAGGACGATAGCGAGATACAGTAGTTTGATCAAGTTGAGGCGTCGTCGACGCAACATCAGACGATGTTCCAGTTTCGATTGTCGTTGGTTTCTGGCTCGACGATCGCGTGACAGTTGTTTCGTCTCCCCTAATCGTCGTGGGCGATCCTGTTGAGGCCCAGTTGGTCGTTTCTCGATCTGCCAAAGTCGTCGTTTCGACTCGTCTAAAGCCGGTCGTGGTTGTCTCGTCCAGAGTACCTGTTGTGCCATAAAAGCGAGTTGTACCCTCAGTGGGCAGGCCCGTGGAAGTCTCGTCGGTAACGCCAGTAGCCGAGGGTTCAAACGTGGTCTGACGTTGTGTGGTGGAAGTCAAACCAGGCTGAGTGGTTGTCTCAGGGAAACCAGTGGTAGTGCCGTCAGAACCTGTGCCCTGACGCTGGTCGAGAGGAGGCTGGAATGTTCTGGGCGGCATTGTCGTCTCGGAGCCAACTGTGGTGTAATACTGCGTTGTTGTCTCGGCCCGCTGAGTGGTAGACATTTCCTGTTGGGTGCTCTGGAATCCGCGGCTCGTGGGAGCGTCGGTAAAAACTGTCGTTCCCTCTGTTGTTGTCCTGGCGCCAGCCATTGTGGTCTCGCCCATTGAAGTGTACCCGATGGTAGTCTCCTGGATGCCTGTCGAGGGGAGCCCGGTGGTAGTGGGAACAGATGATTCGCCATCGGTTCGACCTGTGTAATACTGTGTGGTCGTCTCGGGACGAAGCGTAGTCGACTTTTCTGGACGCGTACTCATGAAATCGCGACTGGTTTGTGACTCGGTGCTAATCCTCATATCGGACAGAGTATTCTCAGCCGTGGTCATGTCCCTTGTGGTTTCTGGATAGCCGGTTGTGGTGAATTCGTTTTCTTGCAGAGTGGTGGTTTCAGCCGCTTGGGTTGTCGTCTCTCTACCGCGCTGTGTGGTGGGCTGCCTCGTGGTCTCAAATCGACCAGTGGTGGAATATACGCCCGCCTCAGTGGCGGTAGTCTCACCTTCCATCACACCCGTTGAGTAGGGCCCTGATGTCGTAGTCTCCGAGTCAAACATGGTGGTTGTCTCGGCTTCCATTGTCGTTGGTTTCTGGCTCGACGATCGCGTGACAGTTGTTTCGTCTCCCCTAATCGTCGTGGGCGATCCTGTTGAGGCCCAGGTGGTCGTTTCTCGACCTGCCAATGTCGTCGTTTCGACTCGTCTAAAGCCGGTCGTGGTTGTCTCGTCCAGAGTACCTGTTGTGCCATAAAAGCGAGTTGTACCCTCAGTGGGCAGGCCCGTGGAAGTCTCGTCGGTAACGCCAGTAGCCGAGGGTTCAAACGTGGTCTGACGCCGTGTGGTGGAAGTAAGACCAGGCTGAGTGGTTGTCTCAGGGAAACCAGTGGTAGTGCCGTCAGAACCTGTGCCCTGACGCTGGTCGAGAGGAGGCTGGAATGTTCTGGGCGGCATTGTCGTCTCGGAGCCAACTGTGGTGTAATACTGCGTTGTTGTCCGCAGTGTGCATCCGTTGGGTGGATCCGTGGGCGTGGGGTGCAACTGTGGCTCGAATGCCGCCCGTTGTGGCTGCCCAGCCCATTTTTTTTTTTTTTTTTTTTTTTTGTCTGCCTGTATGCTGTGTTCCCGTGGTTCTTGTGTGGTAGCCGTTGGGTTGTTCTCGGTGGTGGTCGCCTGGTTCATCACCGTGGTGGTGCGCCTCGTGGCATCCACCTAACCCGTAGTGCGTTACTCCATCAACTGGTGGGCCCTATGTCGTGTCTCCGAACGTGGTTGTTCGCTCTATCGTGTGGCGATCGGCAGTTGTCTCCCAATGTCGTGCGATGTTACCGGTGTGTTTCTCGCCGCACTGTTTGCAAGCGGTTGTCTCGCAGGCGTGGAACGGTACCTGGGGCGTGGAGCGTGGTGAGTACCGGCTGTGTGGCGTCTGGAAGCGATGTTCTGGGCTCATATCGGACGGTTTACCGTGTAGTCCTTGGCGGTAGCCGGTGGTATTTTTGTTTGATGCGGTGTGATTGTTTCTTCGGTGGTGTGCGCTGGTGTGTCTCTACCCGTGTGGTGGCGCCTCGTGGCAATCCACCTTGATACCGCTAGTGGCGTAGTCTACTTCCTCAACGTGGTGGGCCCTTCGTGTTCGTCACATGGTGGTTGTTGCTCATGTCGTGGTGGCTGGAGGCAGTGTCGTTCCCCTATGTCGTGCGATCGTTGCGGTGTGTTTCTCGAGGTCTGCTAGCGGTTGTCCTCAGGCCGTGGCCTAAACGTACCGGGGCAGCGTGTCTCGCGGTAGCAGTAGCCAGCAAGTGGTTGCTGGGAACCAGGAGTGGTGCGGACAGTGGTAGGCGCGAACCTGGCCTGCGTGTCGAGGAGTGAATCTGCGTTGTGTCTCGCCACTGTGTAATCGTTGTGCTCGGCCCGCTGTGGAGCATTCTGTGTCTCTGTCGGTCTGGCGAATGTGTCCTTGTGTGTCCGGCAGCTGGCTGCGAGCCGTGGTAGTCGGATCTCGGGGACCGGGTATGAGTGTCGCTCGGTCGACGGTAATCGTTTTCTGGACGCGTATCGTCGCGTTTGATGGTGTGTCCTATCAACAGTAGTCTCATGGTCATGTAGTGGTTTCTGGATACGTTGTGTGTGTTTCTGGAGTGGTGGTTTCGCTTGGGTTGTCGTCTCTCCTGTTTGCTCTCGTGTACTCACCGTGTGTTCGCCGTCATGGGGTGTTCCTTCCATGTTGGTCCGTGCGTATTCGTTCCATGGTGTGTTGCTGGTCGTTTTGTTGTCCGTGACATTGTTCTCTAATCGTGAGCGTCGTGGCCGTGTCTGTAGCCTGAGTCGTGTCGACTTTACGGTGTGGTTGTCTCGGACTGTGTCCTAGAGTTAGGTGGGGGCTGGCGTGTGCGTGCGAGTACTTTCGTGGTGGGGCTGGTGTAGCTGTTCGGACCTGCCTAGTGTGAGTGGTGCGGGGGTGTGTGATGTGTGTGTTGTTCGGCGAGTACTTCGTTGAATCGGGGGCGGAATCTCTGTTGTTCGTTTTGGTCTCGCCCATTGAAGTGTACCCGATGGTAGTCTCCTGGATGCCTGTCGAGGGGAGCCCGGTGGTAGTGGGAACAGATGATTCGCCATCGGTTCGACCTGTGTAATACTGTGTGGTCGTCTCGGGACGAAGCGTAGTCGACTTTTCTGGACGCGTACTCATGAAATCGCGACTGGTTTGTGACTCGGTGCTAGTCCTCATATCGGACAGAGTAGTCTCAGCCGTGGTCATGTACCTTGTGGTTTCTGGATAGCCGGTTGTGGTGAATTTGTTTTCTTGCAGAGTGGTGGTTTCAGCCGCTTGGGTTGTCGTCTCTCTACCGCGCTGTGTGGTGGGCTGCCTCGTGGTCTCAAATCCACCAGTGGTGGAATATACGCCCGCCTCAGTGGCGGTAGTCTCACCTTCCATCACACCCGTTGAGTAGGGCCCTGATGTCGTAGTCTCCGATTCAAACATGGTGGTTGTCTCGGCTACCATTGTCGTTGGTTTCTGGCTCGACGATCGCGTGACAGTTGTTTCGTCTCCCCTAATCGTCGTGGGCGATTCTGTTGGGACCCAGGTGGTCGTTTCTCGACCTGCCAATGTCGTCGTTTCGACTTGTCTAAAGCCGGTCGTGGTTGTCTCGTCCAGAGTACCTGTTGTGCCATAAAAGCGAGTTGTACCCTCAGTGGGCAGGCCCGTGGAAGTCTCGTCGGTAACGCCAGTAGCCGAGGGTTCAAACGTGGTCTGACGTTGTGTGGTGGAAGTCAAACCAAGCTGAGTGGTTGTCTCAGGGAAACCAGTGGTAGTGCCGTCAGAACCTGTGCCCTGGCGCTGGTCGAGAGGAGGCTGGAACGTTCTGGGCGGCATTGTCGTCTCGGAGCCAACTGTGGTGTAATACTGCGTTGTTGTCTCGGCCCGCTGAGTGGTAGACATTTCCTGTTGGGTGCTCTGGAATCCGCGGCTCGTGGGAGCGTCGGTAAAAACTGTCGTTTCCTCTGTTGTTGTCCTGGCGCCAGCCATTGTGGTCTCGCCCATTGAAGTGTACCCGATGGTAGTCTCCTGGATGCCTGTCGAGGGGAGCCCGGTGGTAGTGGGAACAGATGATTCGCCATCGGTTCGACCTGTGTAATACTGTGTGGTCGTCTCGGGACGAAGCGTAGTCGACTTTTCTGGACGCGTACTCATGAAATCGCGACTGGTTTGTGACTCGGTGCTAGTCCTCATATCGGACAGAGTAGTCTCAGCCGTGGTCATGTACCTTGTGGTTTCTGGATAGCCGGTTGTGGTGAATTTGTTTTCTTGCAGAGTGGTGGTTTCAGCCGCTTGGGTTGTCGTCTCTCTACCGCGCTGTGTGGTGGGCTGCCTCGTGGTCTCAAATCCACCAGTGGTGGAATATACGCCCGCCTCAGTGGCGGTAGTCTCACCTTCCATCACACCCGTTGAGTAGGGCCCTGATGTCGTAGTCTCCGAGTCAAACATGGTGGTTGTCTCGGCTTCCATTGTCGTTGGTTTCTGGCTCGACGATCGCGTGACAGTTGTTTCGTCTCCCCTAATCGTCGTGGGCGATTCTGTTGAGACCCAGGTGGTCGTTTCTCGACCTGCCAATGTCGTCGTTTCGACTTGTCTAAAGCCGGTCGTGGTTGTCTCGTCCAGAGTACCTGTTGTGCCATAAAAGCGAGTTGTACCCTCAGTGGGCAGGCCCGTGGAAGTCTCGTCGGTAACGCCAGTAGCCGAGGGTTCAAACGTGGTCTGACGTTGTGTGGTGGAAGTCAAACCAAGCTGAGTGGTTGTCTCAGGGAAACCAGTGGTAGTGCCGTCAGAACCTGTGCCCTGGCGCTGGTCGAGAGGAGGCTGGAACGTTCTGGGCGGCATTGTCGTCTCGGAGCCAACTGTGGTGTAATACTGCGTTGTTGTCTCGGCCCGCTGAGTGGTAGACATTTCCTGTTGCGTGCTCTGGAATCCGCGGCTCGTGGGAGCGTCGGTAAAAACTGTCGTTCCCTCTGTTGTTGTCCTGGCGCCAGCCATTGTGGTCTCGCCCATTGAAGTGTACCCAATGGTAGTCTCCTGGATGCCTGTCGAGGGGAGCCCGGTGGTAGTGGGAACAGATGATTCGCCATCGGTTCGACCTGTGTAATACTGTGTTGTCGTCTCGGGTCGAAGCGTTGTTAATGTCTTCGAATAAGATGTTGTTTCTGGGCCTTCAGTCGTGGCGTATGGCGCTCTGGTCTCTTCAGCTTCGATGGTTGTTGTGAACGGCGTAGTCAATTCCCTTGTTGTTTTTTGGCCACTTGTAGTAGAATAAAAATACGTTGACTCTGTTGTTGTGTCTGGGGTGCTCGTTGTTTTGTAAGGCGTTGAGGTTTCTGTCGTGTCTGGGCTTATCGTAGAAGAATAATCAGTCGTTGACTCTTTCATTGTACCTGGGTTCTCTGTCGTTGTGTATAGGCTTGTAGTATAGGTCGCTGACTCAGTCGTGTTTTCCGGGTTGCCAGTTGTATATTGTGTAGTCGGTTCCGTTGCCATGTTTTTATTTTCCGTTGAGTAATAATTCGTTGACTCTGTCGTTGTTTCTGAGTTGCTTGTTGTTTCATAAGGCGTGGTTGTTTCTGTTGTCTCGTCCAGGCCACCCTTAGTAGAATAATATGTCGTTGAATCTGTTGCCGTGAATGGGCTGCTTGTAGCAGTATACTCAGTTGTTGACATTGTAGTAGTTTCTGGGTTGCTTGTTGATTTGTCAGTCTTTGACTCTGTTGTTGTATCTTGGTTGCCCGTTGTTGTGTACTGCGTAGTCGACTCCATTGTTGTTTCTTGCCTACTTGTAGAAGTATAGGATGCTGATTCTGTCGTGGTTTGCGGGTTGCCAGTTGTGTATTGTGTGGTCGGTTCCGTTGCCATGTTAAGGTTTTGCGTGGAATAGTAAGTCGTTGACTCTGTCGTTGTTTGTGGGTTGCTTGTTGATTTGTAAGGCGTGGTTTCTGAAGTCACGTCTAGAGGGCCCGTAGTAGAATAATAGGTCGTTGAGTCAGTTGTCGCGTATGGGCTGCCCGTAGCAGTATATTCAGTTGTTGACTCTGTCGTGGTTTCTGGGTTGCCTGTTGTTTTTTCAGTCGCAAACTCTGTTGTGGTATCTGTGTTGCCTGTTGTTGGGTTCTGCGTGGTTGTCTCGATTGTTGTTTCTAGGCTTCTTGTAGTAGAATCGGTCGCTGACTCCGTTGTGGTTTCCGGGCTGCTTGTTGTGTATTGTGTAGTTGGTTCCGTTGTTATGTCTAGGTTTCGCGTTGAATAGTGAGTCGCTGACTCTGTCGTTGTTTCAGGGTAGTTTGTTGTTTTATAGGGCGTAGATGCTTCTGTTGTGTCTAAGCTGCCTGTAGTAGAATAGTAAGTTGTAGACTCTATCGTGGCAGCTTCATTTTCCGTTGTGGTGTAAAGCGTTGTTCGTTCCGTTGTCATGTCTGATCCAGTCGTGGAATAGTAAGTGGTTGACTCTGTCGTGGCATCCCCTTCGTTAGTTGTTGTTGTGTAGTGCGTAGTCGGTTCCACTGTTGTGGAGAAATACAAAGAATTTTCTTTTTCTTTGACAGTAGTGAAAGTTGATGCGACTGTCGCTTCAGTTGTTGTTAGTAAGTCGATTGTAGCTGGAAAGTCAGAAGACAAGGTCGTAGTTTGCAGAAACGACTTAGAGGACCCTGGTGTTGGGACGGTTACTATCATATTAGGTTTGGAATCATTAGCCTTACGTTGTTCAAGTCCTACCACTATCCTAGGAGTTGTCGTCTGCGTATCTGAGATAATTTCTTTTGAGTCAGTTACGTTGTACGGATTTTTGAAACACCGACGACCATTGTCGTTTAAAAAGCCTTGAGGGCAGTAGCACACCGGTCTGTGTTTGCGCACTTTGCATTGAAAGCCCCGGCCGCAACTGGTGCTGAGGGTGCAAGGGTTTACGCACTCCCCACTAACGCAGGCCTGTGTCTCTGTGCAGTTGACATCCGAAGTGCAGGGCACTGAGGAACAATGACAATATCAACATATGTACAGGGATTAGTATCACACATACTTACTTCATATGACCTCCCAAACACACATTAGAGTTTAAAACTCATCTATACATATGTTAGGTTAGTTACGTGAAATGACCAAGCCACTATGTGCAAACCAAGTAAAGAACTTCTTCTTTACGTTGGGTGTGAATTGGTGAAAACATGAGTGACCATACCTCATGTTAATTTTGTAACCTCTACACAGTAATGTGAAGTAAGAGAGACAGCTTCCAAGGAAAAGAGGACAGAGGAAACAGGAAGACGCACTCCTTCCGAGTACCGGCCACGTTGGCGATCATTTTGTCCCACTCAAAAAAATTAGTCGTATATTAGAGTCCAGTCTGTCTATCGCTTACAAGGCGTTCTCCATTTCTGTTTCTGCCGCCGCATTTCAAAACTATTTAAGCTACTTATGTCGGTGATTTACCTTTCGTACATCCGCTTTTTTGGTCAGAATCGAATCCTTGTGGGCAGAACTTGCAAACGGCTCTGTGCTCTTCCACGTAGCAAGGTGCGCCCTGGGGGCAGGTCACGTTGGTGCAAGGATCCGTGCAACGGAAGTCAATGCAGGCCAACCCCTGGGGACAGCCGCTGTCCCGGAGGCAGATGGACAGCTCCGGGTGGCAGTCCGCCGTGCACAGGCAGACGGGCTTGTGGTCGAGCACTTGGCAGGACTTGTTGGAGGGGCATGACTTGGCGGCACACGGGTTGACGCAGCGTCCACCCGTGCAGGCCCTGTTCGAGGCGCAGTCTTCGTTTCTTGAGCACTCGGGCCGCTCCGGCGCGCACGTCAGCTCTCCAAGCTCGTTGACGACGAAGCCAGTCTTGCACACGCACACGGGGCGGTGGTGGCGCACCTGGCACTTCTTGGAGGTCTCGCACGACAGCGACACGCACGGGTCGCGGCACTCGCCCGAGCGGCAGGCCAAACTGTCCGAGCAGTCCGAGTCCGAGCGGCACGCCCCGAGCGAGGGGGCGCCGGACTCGCGCACTGAGGGTCGGGTCGGCACGCTTTGAGTGGCTGCCCTACATAGCACTGGGGACACGCGCAGCGCGGCCGGTGGAGCAGGGGCGTACAGAGTGCGTTGAGGCCGCAAGCGGCCCGAAGAGAACACGGGTCCACACACTGACCGCCAACGCAGGCGCGTTCAAGGGAACAGTCTGAATCACTTGCGCATTGGCTCGCTAAGGGCGGCACGGAGAAACAGAGAAACAACGATAATAGTAAAGGGAGGAGAAAAAGGGAAAGGAAAAAACAGAGAGACTGGAAGAACCGTGAAAGGAGAGATACTTCTCACCATGCATCGTGAATGACAGCAAGGTAAGGATGGCCTTAACACAGGAAGAAATATTTACACAAGCTTCCCTCCAGAAAAAAACAAAATCTATCCACAAAACAGATAATTCGACTAAGGAAAAAACGACTTTTGAAGTGAGTGAGAATGCTCCTTTCACAGTTCCCAATCTGTCTTATCAGTAACGTAGACTTCCGGTTGGCTGTACAATGGTTGGTTAAATCTATACATGATGCCTATGTTTTGGGTGGAACTGTAGCTGTACATTACGAGATAATTATATGTTAGTGACAAGGCAGATTGGAATACTGTATGCATTCCACAAAATAAATCAACATCTACCCCGTTTATGTACACAATGTGCGGCTCTGAGCCTCAGGAGTGTAGGCACACGTCATAAATGAATTAATTTCATTGAACAAGTACTACTTTACTGGTGTCTTGGCCCCGAGCTTGGCCCTTAGTTTCAGGTTTGCGGTGGCGGATCATTACTCTGAACTTGCAAAAGAGCAAAATTGTCTCTGAAAATGTGACTGTATTTTGAAAAGGCCGATCCGTGTGCGTGCACATCCCTCGGCGTCTCTCGCCCCGGGTGGGGCGGCCAGTGACTTTAGCGAACGTATGTACAGCACTCCCCCACCCCCTCGCTCTGCAGTGTGAAGGGTCCTACCTTGCTGGCAGGCCACGTCAGGGTGTCCAGAGGACCCTGGCGGGCATCGGCACACGAAACCGGACCGCTGGCGCACGCACTCGGCGCCGTCTCCACATCCCAGGGTTCGGCAGTCGGACGGGCCACGCTCGATGGTGCCTGCGGGAGGAGGAGGCACAGAGGGTTGTTTAGGCGGCTCTCTCGCACAGCAAACTGGGAGCGGATGTGTTGGAACTTACATTCGTGGAGAGGGTCGCCGGACGGGTAGTTGGGCGGGCAGTAGCACTGCGCCTGCACCCCGTTGACGATGCGGCAGTCGGCGTTGACTCCGCACTGCACGTCTCGGCACAGGTCACGCAGCGACGCCTCGCAGACGCAGCCTCGGTACGGATCACCGCGGCAGCCGGGGGCGCAGCTACACTCGAAGCCGCCCACCACGTCGCGGCAGCGCGCGTTGTCGCCGCAAGGGTTGCGCAGGCACTCCTCGCCGGCCTGGCGGCACTCGACTTGCGGGTTGCCGATCTTGCCGGGCGGGCACGAGCACTGCGCGCGGCGCGCCACCACGCGGCACTGCGCGTAGGCACCGCACGCGCCGGGCTCGAGGCACGGGTTGCGGCACGCCTTGTCCGGGCCGCACCGCTTGTTGGGCTCGCAGTCGCTGTCCTCCAGGCACTCGTACTGCGTGCAGGCCTTGGTGGGCTCGCCCTGGAAGCCGTCCGGGCACAGGCACAGCGCGCGGTGGTCGGAGACGCGGCACAGCGCGTTGAGCCCGCACGGCGACACGCCGCACGGGTCGCCGCACTGGCCGTTGAGGCAGGCACGATCGTTGGGGCAGTCCGCGTGCGAGCGGCAGCCCGGCAGGCAGGAGCCGGCCACGCAGATGAGGCCGGCGGGGCAGCTGTTGGCCAGGGAGCACTTGACGCGGCACCGGCCCTGCTCGCAGCTCTCGCCGCAGTCGCAGTCCTGGGGGCCGCCGCAGCGCGACGCGCAGTAGCCCACCTCGTCGCAGTCGCAGGGGCCGTTGTCCGCCCCGCAGCGGCGCGCCGGCTTGACGCACGCCACCAGGGGGTCGCCCAGCAGCGCGGCCGGGCACGAGCACTGCACGTTGTGGTTCGACACGCGGCACTGCGCGCACGAACCACACGTGGTTGCACCCTCGCACGGGTCTGGGGGAGGAAGGGAACATCAATCCACAGTAACAGGTATTCATTAGGCCAAAAGGGTGATTTAAAATCACCAGACACTTGTCAAAGCACCACCTTTAGTTTTAAAAATGGAATGGTCGGCCCCAGACACTCACCTCTGCACTGTTTGTCGATGCAGGCCTGGTTGTCGGGGCACACCACGTCGCTCCTGCAGCCCACGTCACACAGCCGGTTCTCGCAGATCTGTCCGGGTCCGCACTTGCTGTCCGAGTTGCAGACGGCCTTGCAGACGCCGCCCACGCATCGCTCGTCCGAGAGGCAGTCGATGTCCCTGCAGAGAGGCTCCGGTTAGCATGGGCACGGACGGGGAAGGGAGAACGCAACATAGATTTTAATTAGTTCAAGTGAGGCGGATTGTTGGACAAATAGCAGTCTGGCTCGTCTCGAGGAGCGACTGTCGTTACTTGTTACTCCATTAGTGGACGCGTTTATGTACACGCGGGGTTAGCTACTCACGTGCGACACACAGACATGCACAGCCCGGCGTAGCAGGCCTGGCTGTCGGCGCAGTCAGGGCCGCGCTGGCAGCTGGTGGTGGGGTGGCGGCAGCCGACCTGGGCGTCGCCGATGAGGGGCGCGGGGCACGAGCAGGCCTTCTGGTGGTTGCGCATGGCGCAGCGCGCGTTGGTCCCGCAGGCCGTGGGCGAGGCGCACAGGTCGATGCACTTGCTGCCGACGCAGGCGCGGTCGCCGGGGCAGCCCGAGTCGCTGCGGCAGCCCGCCACGCACATGAGGGCCTCGCAGACCTCGCCGGAGCGGCAGTCGTCGTCGCGGCGGCACAGCGGCTTGCACACGCCGGCCGGGACGTCGCAGCGCTCGTTGCCGAGACAGCCCACGTCGGAGGAGCAGACGGGCCGGCAGGAGCCTTCCAGGCACGTCGCGCCCAGCGGGCACTGCCTGTTCTCCGCGCACGGCAGCGCGGGCGTGCGCACGCAGGCCACCTTGGCGGTGGGGTTGGGCACGAAGCCGTCCTGGCACGAGCAGCTGGCGCGCTGGTTGGACACGGTGCACACGGCGTTGGGCCCGCACGTGGACGCCTGGCAGGGGTTGACGCAGCGGTTGTCGCGGCAGGACTCGCTGCCGCTGCAGTCTCCGTCGTCGTGGCACCCGAACATGCACATGTTGTGGAGGCAGATGTGTCCCAGGAAGCAGTCGTTGTCCACGCGGCACGTCAGGATGCAGTTGCCCTTGAGGCACTTCTCGTTGAAGGCGCACTCGTCGTCGCCGCGGCACACCGGCAGGCACATGCTGTCGCGGCAGCTGTTGCCCGCGCTGCAGTCGGACGTCGAGTCGCAGGACACGGGGATGCGCACGCACTCCACGTCGTGGTTGCCGGTGAAGCCCGCCGGGCAGGAGCACACCTTGCGGTGGCTCAGCACGCGGCACTCGGCGTTCATGCCGCACGCGTTGCGCTGGTCGCACACGTTGCTGCACTGGCCGCGGACGCACTGCTCCGTGAGCCCGCACTCCTCGTCGGACAGGCAGGACGGCCGGCAGAGCTCGCCGTAGCAGTAGGTGTTGGCGGGGCAGTCCTTGGGGGTCTTGCAGGGCACGGGCTGCGGCCGGCAGCCCACCGTCATGTCGTTGGGGTTGCCCTCGTAGCCGGCGCGGCACTCGCACGCTCCAGTGTGCTTGCGCGCCACGCAGTCCGCGTTGGGCCCGCACCGCGTCGACTCGCAGATGTCCTTGCACTTGGGCACGCCGTTGGCGCGCGTGCACTCGGCCGCGGCGGGGCAGTCCTCGTTCTTCTCGCACTCCACTGGCGCGTGGCAGCCGTCGCGGTAGGGGTCGCCCACCGTCCCGAGCGGGCACAGGCACTTGAAGGAGCCGCGGGCATTCTCGCACCGCGCCAGCGGCCCGCAGGGTGAGTCCGCGCAGAAGTCGATGAGTTTGCAGCCGGCGTGCGGGTCGCCCGTGTAGCCCGGCTGGCAGAAGCAGACCTGCTGGTGGGCCTGGGCCGAGCACAGCGCGTTGCGGCCGCACGGGTTCTCCACCAGGCAGGCGATCTTGCACATGAAGTTGTCGCAGAGCTTGTCGTTGGAGCAGTCGTCGTCGCCCCGGCACTCGATGGGCTGGCAGCCGATCTTGTCGTCGGTGGGGTTGCCGTGGTGGCCGGGCTTGCAGGAGCACAGCGCCGTGTGGTCCCTCGCGGCGCACTCGGCGTTGCGGCCGCACAGCACGGGGCCCTCGCACGCGTCCACGCACTCGGCCTGGCCCAGCGAGTTGGCGCGGCACTGCTCCGAGGCGCCGCAGTCGTCGTCCGCGCGGCACCGCACCTCCTGCACGCAGATGTTGTTCTGGCAGAACTGGTACTCGGGGCAGCTGGAGTTGGACCGGCAGGTGGGTTGGCAGGCGCCCTGGATGCACAGCTGGTCGCCGATGCACTCCCTGGCGGTGGAGCAGAGCGACGTGCAGATGCCGCCGCTGCAGCGGGTACCCGCGGGGCACTGTGAGTCGCCGGCGCAGTACTGTACGCTGACGCAGCCCAGGTGGGGGTCGCCGGTGGAGCCTGGCTGGCAGGCGCACACGGCCACGTGGTTGGCGGGGCTGCAGGTGGCGCGTCGGCCGCAGACGTTGGGCAGCGAGCAGGGGTCCACGCAGTGCGCGTCGATGCAGGCCTTGCTGGCGGGGCAGTCGTTGCTGTCGGAGCACTCCAGGCGCACGCACTCGACGCGCGGGTCGCCGCGTGTCTGCGGCGGGCACCTACACTGCGGGGCGTGCGCGGACACGACGCACTGCGCGTTGGCGCCGCACGCGCGCTCCGCCAGGCAGGGGTTGCGGCAGCGTCCCTCGAGGCACGCCGCCGTGGCGGGGCAGTCCGAGTCCGTGAAGCAGTCGCCCGGCTTGCGGCAGCCCGCGCGGACGGGGTCGCCCACCAGGCCGTCGGCGCACGCGCACGCGAAGCTGCCGGGGCTGTTCTGGCAGACGGCGCTGGAGTGGCACGGGCTGTTCTGGCACTCGTCGATGTCCTGGCAGCGGCCGTCCTCGAACACGTAGCCCGCGAAGCACGAGCACACGCCCTGGTGGCGCTGGGCCTTGCACGTCCCGCGGCCGCAATTGACCTGGTCGCAGGGGTTCATGCACTTGTAGCTCTCCAGGTGGCAGAAGCGGTCCGAAGGGCAGTCGTCGCTCGTGAGGCACTCGACGCGGAAGCAGCCCACGTTGGGGTCGTTGGGGTCGCCCAGGTTGCCGGCGGGGCAGGAGCAGGACGGCGCGTGGTCGAACACGTTGCAGACGGCGTTGGGGCCGCAGCGGACGCCCGCGCTGCAGGGGTCCGTACAGCGGCCCTGGACGCAGGCCAGCGTGTCGCTGCAGTCGCTGTGGCGCCGGCACTCGCTGGGCTTGACGCAGCCGGGCTCCAGGAAGGGGTCGCCCACCGTGCCCTCCTGGCACGAGCACTGGTACGAGCCGGGGACGTTGGTGCAGCGCGCGCTGGGGTGGCAGGGGTTCTGCTCGCACTCGTCGACGTCCTTACAGCCGCGCGGCGTGGACGTGAAGCCGCTGCCGCACAGGCACTTGTTCCCGCGACACACTTGACTAGCCTCGCAGTCGCCGTCCGAGCTGCAGCCGGGCCGGCAGGTGCCCTCCACGCACACCTCGCCCGTCAGGCAGTTGCTGTCGCCGTAGCACACCTTGACGCAGAAGTTGGCGGCGCAGCGCTCGCCCACCGCGCAGTTGTCGTTGTCGGCGCAGGGCAGTCGGCACAGGTTGTTGACGCAGGAGTGGGCGGACGGGCAGTAGGCCGAGGCGCCGCCGCAGCGCGCGGGCACGCGCACGCAGCCTTGCTGAGGCGTCGGCGTGCCCTGGAAGCCCTCGGGGCAGCTGCAGACGGTGGCGTGGTCGCGACACGAGCACAGCGCGTTGGCGCCGCACACGTTGTCCTGCTGGCAAGGGTCCTGGCACTTGTTGTTGACGCAGGCGTGCTGCGAGGGGCAGTCCCGGTTGGAGCGGCAGCCCAGCGCGCACACGCCGTTGACGCACGCCTGTCCGGACGAGCACTGCGAGTGGCCTGCGCACGGCAGCACGCACGTCTTCTGCACGCAGCGCTCGCCGGCGGAGCAGTCCTCGGCGTTGCGGCACACCACCTTGCACTGGCCGTTGATGCAGGCGTCGCCGGCGCAGTCCGCGTCCGAGACGCAGCCCGACGCGGTGCGCACGCAGCCGGACACGGGCCCGGCCGCCACGGGGTCGAACTTGAGCGGGCACGAGCAGACGGGCTTCCTGTTGATGACGGCGCACAGCGCGTTGGGGCCACACGCGCCGTCGCAGGGGTTGACGCAGCGGCCGGCCTGGCACACGGCCTGCGGGGGGCAGTCCTCGTCGCCGCGCGGGCAGTTACCCTCGGGCCGGCAGCCCGACGTCAGCGGGTCGCCCACCAGCCCGGGCGGGCAGCGGCAGACGTGGCCGGCGGGGGCGGTGGCCGAGAGCTCGCAGATGGCGGTGGGGTGGCAGGGGTTGGGGCTGCACACCTCCGTGGCCACGCACTCCACCTCGGGCAGCGGGTTGGCGCGGAAGCCCGGCGGGCACTGGCAGGTGGCGCGGTGGTCCTCTGCGATGCACACGGCGTTGTCTCCGCACGAGCCCTCCTCGCAGGCGTCGTGGCACGTGTGCGTCAGCCGGTTGCAGAGCTGCGACGCCGGGCAGTCCAGGTTGTACACGCAGGGCACCTCGCGGCACCCGTTGGCGGGGTCGTTGGGGTCGCCGGCGTACGGCCCGGGCGGGCACTGGCACTGCGCCACGTGGTTGTTGACGGCGCACACGGCGCGCGGCCCGCAGTTGGCCTTCTCGCAGGCGGGTCTGCACTTGAGCGCGCCGCTGGCGTCCGCTCGGCACGTGTCCGACTGGGGGCACTGCGCGTCCGTGTCGCACTCGTTGCGCGTCACGGCGTGGCAGCCCGTGCGGTCGTTGGGGTTGCCGGTGAAGTCGGGCAGGCACTGGCACTGGCCGTGGTGCGCCACCGCGCTGCAGATGGCGTTGGGCGGGCAGGTGAACTCCGCGCACACGGGGACGCACTTGAGCACGCCGACGGCGTCCGGGCGGCAGGCGGCGATCTGCTGGCACTCGTTGTCCGAGGTGCAGTCCGGCAGCGAGGGCTTCTCGCACACGCTGGTCACCGGGTTCCACACGTAGCCGTCGCGGCAGCTGCAGGCGGGGTGGCCGCTGGCGTCCACGCTGCAGACCTCGTTGGAGCCACAGGCCACGTTCAGGCAGGGGTTGATGCACGCCGACACGCCGTTGGGGCTGAGCGCGCAGATGAGACCCTTGACGCAGTCCTGGTCCGAGTGGCACTCGCCCTTGGGCGCGGCGCGTTCGGGCGCGCAGCCGGTCACCTGATCGCCGGGGTTGCCGAAGAATCCGTCGGCGCAGATGCAGGACGAGCGGTGGTGGTTGGCCACGCACAGCGCGTTGGGCCCGCACTGCAGCTTGGAGCACGCGTCCACGCACTTGCGCGTCCCGCGGCCCAGCTGGAAGCAGATGTCCGAGTCGGGGCAGTCGAGGTCGTTCTGGCACTGGCCCTGCTGCTGGCAGCCCTTCTTCTTGTCCTTGGGGTTGCCGCTCAGCCCGGGCGGGCACACGCACTGGCCGGCCACGCAGCCGGCGCGCGGGCCGCACTCCACGCCGTCGCAGGGGTTCCTGCAGCGGCCCTTGGTGCACGAGTATCTGCGGGGCACGGCAGGGGCATGCAAGGTGAGGCTTCAGCCAGACTCGGCAGGGCCAAGCCGCGGCTCACCGGATGGAAGTTGATTTTTCGACAGCGCGCCGGTTCGCGAGTTGGTGGTTTTTAAGGAGTTAAGTTCGAAGTGGAAACAACGAGCATTGTCTAATTTTCAGAACGAAGTGAATTTGTCTTTCTTGATTAGTAATTGAAAATATGGTACTGCTTTCAAGATCTATATCTACTCCAAATAAATTCAATTAGATAAAAAACTGGTTCTTTTAAAAGGAAAATAAGCTTTGCTAAATCAAGTTGTTTCCTCCTCGGTTAAGTTAGTTGAAAAATCAAGTTTCATCGGGTGGGTAAAGAGCAAGCACAAACACAGTATATACAATGAGGGTAGTCAAAAATTAAGACTGTACAACACACAGGGTATGAGTGAGCGATGAGTGTGTCAGTTCGGGGCGCGCGGCGGCGCGGACGACTCACCCGTTGGGGCAGGTCACCTCCTTGCCGCACTTGCAGTCGGCGGGGTTGTTGCAGACGCGCGGCCCCAGGGCCAGGCACACGCTGAAGGGGTTTCCGGCGAAGCCCTGCTTGCAGCGGCAGTCGTACGCGCCGGGCGTGTTGATGCAGACCGCGTTGCTGCCGCACGCGACGCCGGCGCTGCACTCGTCCACGTCGAAGCACTGGATGTAGGGGTTGCCGGTGAAGCCGGGCGGGCAGAGGCACTCGATGTCGCGCATGCCGTCGCGGCACACGGCGCCCTGGCCGCACGTGTTGGCCGTGCACGACTGGCGCGCCTCCTGGCCGCAGCCCTCGTACGGGTTGCCGATGCTGCCCGCGTTGCACACGCACCGGTTCTCGTCCACGCCGTACTCGCAGTGCGCGTTCAGGCCGCACCCGGGCTGGCACTGCGGCCCGATCACCGCTGCGGGGGAGGCACAAGTCAGTGTCACATTGCGTCAACCAAGGACTAAATAATGAATTCGTTTGACAACTATGAGAGGCCGCCGTTCCCGAAGTACGACATTATCTTTCTGGCGGACGCCATATTGATTGACGCAATAAGCTTTTTCCAGAGAGCAAAGTTGTTGAAATACTTACGTGGCATGCAGAGGTAGTCTGGGTTGCCGATGAAGAACGGGTCGCACACGCACTTGTTGGTGTTCTTGTCGCAGGTGGCGCCCACGCCGCAGACGACGCCCTCGCAGCGCTGCTTGCAGCGGCCGCCGATGCAGACCATGGGCTCGGCGCAGGGGTTGGCCGCCGAGCACACGTCGGGCACGCAGGAGCCGCCCGCGAACGGGTTGCCCAGGTATCCCTCCACGCAGGCGCAGGTGGGGCCGGCCGCCGTCACGATGCACTGGGCTCCGCGTCCGCACACCATGCCTTCGCAAACTGCCAAAAAGAATTAAAAGTTAGTTAGAACATTTTCCTGGCGGCGAAGAACCGGTGAAAATGGGGTGGGACTTACGCGACACGCATTCTCCGTTGCGACCCTCCGAGAAGCCGATGGCGCAGCGGCACCAGGCCGCGTGGTTCTCGGCCTCGCAGAAGGCGTTGGCGCCGCAGGGCAGGCTGTTGCAGGGGTTGACGCACACGCCGCCCTCGCAGGCCAGCGGGCCGGCGCAGTCCGCGTGCCGGGAGCACTCGCCCTTGGGGGAGATGGCCCCGACGCCTGCGAGTACAAGACGGTCAGCATCGCGGTCGCGCTCAGTCGGACGGACCGCCATGGTCCAGGCCATGTGCCATACTCACATCCTTGCCGGTAGGGGTCGCCGCTGAGCCCGTGCGAGCACACACACTTGTAGCTGCCCTTTTCGTTGATGCAGTGCGCGCCGGCGGCGCACGGGTTCTCGGCGCACTCGTCCACGTCCACGCAGCCGTGCAGCGGGTCGCCCTTGAAGCCGGCCTCGCACAGGCAGCGCGGCGGGTCGCTGGGCGTGCAGCGCGCGTTGATGCCGCACGGGAAGCGCTCGCAGGGGCTCTTGCACTTGTTGTCGTCCAGCGCGTCCGTGAAGAAGGGCGGCGGGCACACGCACTCGCCGGGCTGCACGCACTTCTCGTTGGCCAGGCAGTCGTTGTCCGCCACGCAGCGCACCTGGTTGGGCGAGCACACGCCGTGGTAGGGGTCGCCGCTGGTGCCGAGCGGGCACACGCACTGGTGGGCCCCGGGCTGGTTCACGCACTCGGCGCCGTAGCTGCACATGTGCCGGTTCTCCAGGCACTCGTTGATGTCCTGGCAGATGCCGTTGGCGTCGGGCCGGAAGCCGTGGGGGCACGCGCAGTAGCTGATGCCGCCCGCGATGGTGACGCACTCGGCGCCGCCGGGGCAGACGCCGCCAGCGTCGCAGCCAGGCACGATGCAGTTGCCGTCCACGATCTGGTAGGGCGGCTGGCACTGGCACTCCAGGCTGTTGCACTCTGCGGGGGGAACGAGCGTTAGACGAGTCCGAGCGAACCACACTGACAAACCCTCAGCAGCACCTTACCTTGGCAGGCCGAGAAGGGGTTGCCGTTGAATCCGGGCGGGCAGGCACACTCGTAGCTGCCGGGCAGGTTCTTGCACACGGCGTTGAGGCCGCAGGCGGGCTTGTCGCGCAGCTCGGTGCACTCGTTGACGTCCCTGCACTTGCCCGTGGCCACGTCGCGCAGGTAGCCCTGGCGGCAGATGCACACGTCCGCGCCGCTGGTGTGGTCGGGCACGCACTGCTCCGAGGCGGGGCAGGGCGAGTTGGGTCCGCAGGCGAAGGGCGGGTTGTCCGAGCGCGCGCAGCCACCCTTGTAGGGGTCGCCGCTCAGCCCGGACGGGCACTGGCACGAGAAGCTGCCGGGCTCGTTGAAGCAGACGCCGCTGCCGGGGCAGGGGTTGGCCGCGCATTCATCGATGTCCACGCAGCCGCCCACCACGCCCACCACACCCGTGAAGCCGGGCCGGCACTGGCACTTGGCCTCGTCGCCCGTCAGCATGCACTGCGCGTTGGGGCCGCAGTACACGAACTCGCAGGGGTCTGGCGGCGGGGAAAGCACGGTAAAAACACTGACTTACAGTGGACAGCCTTTCGACAGCCGGGCGGTACTCACGTCTGCAGTCGCTGCCCACGTTGGGCTGCGGGCACAGGCACCGCTTGTTGCTGTCGCACACGGCGTTGCCGGGGCACTCGCTGTCCACGGAGCACGTCACCACGCCGATGCACTTGGTGTGGGCGTCCGGGTCCGGCACCGTGCCCTTGGGGCACTCGCACGTGTAGGCGCCGGGGGTGTTGCGGCACAGCGCGCCCACCCCGCACGCGTCGTGGCGCGCACACTCGTCGATGTCTGCACAGAAAGGGAAAGGTCTGGGTTCAAGTACCGGCGGGGGCGGACGCGTTTTCTCACCGCAGCGCCGACAGGTAGGCAACCCAACGCTCGCCGGTGACGGCCGCGCGGGTGTTGCCTACCTGCCAGGCGCTCGCCGTGCTCGACGCCGCCCAGTGGACCAGATCGACAGAGACGGTGCCGTACTCACCGAGACACTGCTTGTGCGCGTTGCCGGAGAAGCCGGGTTTGCACTGGCACGAAAAGCCACCCGGCGTGTTGGTGCACACCGAGTTGGCGCCGCACTGTCCGAACGGCCCGTTGATCTTGTCGCATTCGTCGATGTCTGCAACAACAACAACAAGGCGTCAGACGCGTCCTTTGGGCACTCCACTGCCTCCAAACCCTCCAGTGGACGCACCGATGCAGCCGGCGGCGATGTTGGCCGGGTTGAACGTCCAGCCGTCTTCGCAGATGCAGTAGGCCTCCTGGCCGTCGGGCTTGCAGTATGCGTGCTGCCCGCACTTGACGTCCTCGCACGGCGCTGCGGGCCAAAAAGTCACCGTTAGCTTCCTCGGAAAACGGCCAGGCCTGGCCAGGCCGGACACGGACAGGCAAGCCAGGCTAGGCCCGCCAGGCCCACGGGGAAGTGGTTAGAATGCATCCGGAGGGAATCGAACGCCACGCCAGGACGCGCTAGAGTGGCGCCTAGCCACAAGCGCGTCTAAGCGCATCGGAGAGAGAGAGAGAGAGGATGCGGTGAGGAGTGGCAGGACTGGAGCGGCAATTAACGCCAGGCAATCGCGGTACGCCCTGGTCCGTTTGAAAATGCCGCCAACATGATAAAAACCCACTGAATTTAATGCAAACATATTTCTACTTTTGAGTTGGTATCAGTATTCTTTTTTTTTCGAGCAGTTGGTTCATCTGGGCGGAAAAGCCGCCAGTATGAGAATAGGGCCACTTTCCCACATGCTGATGACGCGTGGCGAACCAGGCGAACCTGGCTCGGCCAGATAGTAGCGCCACCACACCGCAAGGTGCGCGTGTGGAACAGTGGAGTGGGCCCCGACGCCCCGACCACCGAATTATATTAATTGTTTGCCTTTTCCCACGGAATAGGAGGAAAAAAAATTCTCGACCATTGCTTGTTTTACAACGGTAGTCGAGTGAAATGCAGAATGTGGATGCATTAAGATGCCGCCTTAAGAAACCACAAGAGTAGGCAGTGATTTTAGTTGTTTTTTTTTATTATAAAGTTGCGAGTTGCGAGTGTTGCGTGGCGGTCCTACCTTTGCAGGGCAGGCGCGGCGGCGACCCGACGAAGCCGGTCTCGCAGTCGCAGCGGAACGAGCCGGCCGTGTTGTGGCACGTGGCGCGCGGACCGCACGGGTTGCCGACGCACTCGTCCACGTCCACGCACACGGCGCCCTGCGGCGCGAAGCCCTCCTGGCAGAAGCACTGGCCCTCCAGGCACTCGGCGTTGTTGGTGCAGTCGAAGTTGGACTTGCAGAGGATGTTGACGTCGATCTGCTCGCACGCCACCGTGGGGTGCGGCTTGGCCTGGTAGCCTTGCGGGCACACGCAGTTGTAGCCCGGCGCGGCGTTCTCACACAGCGCGTTGCGGCCGCAGGGCCGGTCCAGCGCCACGCACTCGTCGATGTCTAGCGGGAAGAGGGGGATTAGACTTCCGGAATCGCAAAAAAAACGGTCCCTGTGGGGTAAAAACTAGACAACTACTTTTTTTTTTAAATCGATGCTAGTGTTAAAACAGGCATTCTTGTTGGTCATTGACATGCACAACAAAATATGTACAACAGTCATGCGCATAGATTAACACAGGAATGCAATCTACCACAGAGCTAAACATTTTAAAAAACAACAACATGGAACTGATCCAATCACAAACAACAGCAACAACAACAACAATTGATTGATTCTTACCGACACAGCCCTTGAATGGGTCGCCAGTGTAATCCTCCCGGCATGAGCAAATGAAGCTGCCGACGGTGTCGGTGCAGACCGCATTCTCGCCGCAAGGGTTGTGCGCGCATTCGTTGATGTCTGCAAACGATTGCACTGTCAGAGCCGCGCCGCGCCACGCCACGCCGCGCCACGCCGCGCCACGCCGACGGGACGTGAGACGCGTCAGCGCTAGGCAGAAGCGGGCATCACCATCACACAGCCAGATCCGATTCATGGACAGCGGGTCAATCTAGTTCACCTCTGGCCTTGCTATGGCTAACATCAAACATTTTAATTTTTTTTTTAAATTTTTTGTATTTAGTGAAAACACCGAGGGGGCAACCACGTAGGATGTTTGGGGACACAAGATTTCTTCACACAAGAGATTTCGTTGGGTTTCGTCCATTTTTGATTCTAAAATCGGCTTGTTTTTGCCTTTTTTTGGGGGGAGATTTCGGATTTTCAGAGATTTCTAGAGCTCCAGGGGACACCGGATTACTCGAGTGGTTGCCCCCTCGGAAAATATGACCACAAGCAAGCTGATATTTTTTGCGACTATTCTACTTACTGCTGAGCCACATCGATTCAAACCGCTAAAATTCGAAATCTAATTCTAGTGCATGGGTCGAGGTACTACAGAATAAAGCTTTAAAAAAAAGTGTAGCATGGAAGAAGTTTCCTTTTACTGCAGTGCAAAGGTTTGGAAGCGCTACGTAGGCAACCTGTGGAGAGGAAATCTACAAATTGGAGTGCATCAAGACAAGCGAAGAGGGGAGGGGGACGCATCGCGCCGTAGACGCAGTGCAGTGCCGCGCAGTGCAGCGCTAATGATACAACATTTCGCGATCCGCAGTCGTAAAAGTGCGCGAATGCGGCAAACGCGGCGAACGCCGGAGGAGATTGGTCCACGTACATCTGCGCGATGCATCAACAAGCTGGCGGACGAACAGACAGACAGGCAGACAGACAGGCAGGCGACGGGATGTGTTTTGCACTTCCCGCGAGTAGCACAGGACAGGCAAGGGGACTCCTCGGACGAAGTGGCTGCAAAGCACTGGAAGGCTGCAAGGAAGGAACCTGCGGCGCTGAAAAGGGAGCGACGCTTTCCCGGGTACACTGTCACGCGCCTTGGCGAAAATGTTGTCGTTCCATATCAAATCTCTTGAAATTAAAGATCAGTTTTCAGGGGGAATAGAAAATAGTGGTTGAAAGGTGGGTGGGGGCAGCGTGACGGTGTACCAGGAGCACGTCGAGAATCACTTGAGCAGAGCAAGGATGACGGCCAGGGCTTGGGGGCCCCGCCCGAAGGCCCCACCGTCCACTGCAGCCATGCGTGTCAAGAAGCAATATCAAGCAAGCGGCGGAACGGAACGGACAAGTCACAGCGGTCAAGACCACCGAGGCGGTTTTCAAATTTAAACATCTTTTTTTTTGTTTTTGAATGAAATGAGTCCTAGCTTCGCTGTGACTTTTCCCAATCGCCAGGTTAGCGTGCGTTCGTGCGTCGTGCACGTGCAAGGGGTGGCTGGCACCCCTGGGGTGCTTCACGTGGGCCACGTCGTGGAACGTACTCTCGCAGTACAGCTGGCCCTGTCCGCTGAAGCCCGGCGGGCAGGCGCAGGAGAAGGAGCCCACGGCGTTGGTGCACTTGGCGTTGACGCCGCACGCGTTGGGCCTGCCGCACTCGTTGAGGTCCAGGCACTCCTCGTGCGCCGTCCCCGTGTAGCCCGGCGGGCACGTGCACATCGCGGCCCCGGCCACCGTCGTGCAATTGGCTCCCTTGCCGCACGGGGGCGGCTCCACCGCGCACGCATCCACCTCTACCAATTTGTACATCGTTTTAGGATTTTTTTTACAAAACAGGGGTTACTGTTGCACACCCTCCGATCGGCCCATCGGAGACGTCGTTAGTGGAGAGGAGCCGGAACCAGCACGCCATGGCCTTTTTTTCTCAAAGATTTTTTAAAGTTTTTACTTTTATTTATGAAAATATGCATTTTTTAAATTATAACTTTTTTTAAAGATTTTTTAAAGATTTTAAAAATACTTTTTCATACTTTGGCCGTTGAAATTGACAGAATTTCACTCCAGTAATAATGCGCGTCCAGCCTTGATTAGAACGGACCGAATCCCAATCACGAGGGCTGCCCCGAGACCCAAGGCGTCGGTGCTAATCACCAATCAGAATGCTTCGATCCATCACTCGGACGCCTCATACAGGCGGCAAGGCATGGCATGGCGCGCTGGCCCGGCCCAAGGTTACCGAGAGAGAGCTATTTACACAGAGAAAGACGTACATACATACGTACACACATTCACAAACCGATCATTAGATGCCTGTTACCGCCGTGCACCGTTATTGCACAAACAACGAAATTAATGATTAGACACAACACCGCAGGACGTCGGTTATTTCACTTGTTTGCAAGCTCGATGATCAACGCTGATTTTTCCATCAGTTCACTTTACACAAGATTAAAGATTGTGACTTTCATTATGGCGTGCTGTGTATATACATGGTTATTCGATTTCTCGGAAAAATAATACAAATTAATTGGATTAAGAGCAGACGAGACTGTGTCCAGCGCTCACCTTGGCATCCTTCGAAGGGGTCCCCGTGGCTGCCCTGCGGACAGACGCAACCGGAACGAGCCGGCCATGTTGGTGCAGAGCGCGCCGCGGCCGCACGGCGACCTGGAGCACTCGTCCTCGTCCACGCAGCCGGTGCGGTACGCGTCGCCGTGGAAGCCGTCCGGGCACAGGCACTCGTGGCCGCCAACCACGTTGCGGCACAGCGCGCCCGGGCCGCAGGCCTCGGGGTCCTCGCACTCGTCCAGGTCCACGCACTGCAGGGCAAGGCGGAGCATGCACTGGGTAATGAGCCGTTCCGGGACAGTTTTCGACAAACGGGGCCACCGCCGTCCGTCCACTCGACTCCAGTTTTCCTAGGCATTCGCTTGGATACTTGAATTTATAAAAAAGAAATTGTAGGGTTTTCCCAATTTTTAAGATATTGCAGTTTTTTTTGTTAACTTTTTGAAAAATTAGTAGGCTTTTTTCATTTTAAAAAAATTGTAGTTTTTTTTTAATTGACTGGTAAGATCCACGGTGCGACTTTTGACTCACCACTTCGAAGGGGTTTCCATGGTAACCGGGCAGGCAGGAGCACGAGTAGTTGCCGGGGACGTTGATGCACTGGGCGTTCAGTCCGCAGGCTTCGGGATGCTCGCATTCGTTGATGTCTGCGGGCACACCGTGGCACACGCACACCGTCAAGCTTTACTCAACCCTTTTTCCCTTTTTTTTCAAGCAGAGTCTCCGTGCAATTTAAATGCCGCGATGCATTCCAGTTCGGAGCACGCAGACACACTCCAGCGAGCATGCCTCGTCGGAGGGCCCTGCGCTCCCCCAGCGCCACAGACTCATTTTGAGACTGAAACGTTCTCAAACACGCTTTTATTCAACGTTTTTTTCCGGTCTCGTTGAGGCGAAAATGGCCGCAAATGGACAAACCCGCCGCACGGTGTATTATTTTCCCAGTTATCAAACTGGAGCGACGAAAAAAAAAGACACTCACCTCTGCACTCCTCTTCGCCGTCGCCTTCGAATCCGGGGAGGCAGCGACACAAGAAGTGAGCGGGCAGGTTGCAGCACTCGGCATTGGCCACGCATCGGGCCGCCACTGCCGGGTCGTCACACTCGTTGATGTCTGCAACAGAGCGGCAAAGTGCCTTATTCAACCACCGTCCTGGAAAAAGGCCCGTGTCAGTCAAAGCGGAGCGATCGCAGCGCCGCGGCTTGGTTAAACACACTGGCGTGTTTGAGCGCCGGCTTCGTCACCATTTTCTACGCTCAAGGATATTTTCAATCTAGCATGGTTTTCATTGCCACCAACCAACCCCCTCCTTCTGAAAAAATGTTTCTCTACTCTACAGTAAGTCGTTATTTCTGTGAAAATCCGAGAATGACCGCGAGCTACCGAGCCGGCCCCGCGTTGAGGTCTCCGCCGACGAGGGGTTGCCCCCGAAACGTGCCGCAGTGCACGGTGCGTGTCAAGGCGACGCTGCCCGGACCCTGTCCGGCGGGTCCTGGGCGGCCTGCCCTGCCCGCCAAGGTCACGGACTAGACCTACCGCAAACGCCAAACCGGAAAATAAAATAAAAATAAAATAAAAACGCCGGCCGACCAGGATTCGAACCCGCGCCTTCCTCGCGCGGCGAAGGCGGAAACGCGGCGCCTCTTCACGCCGAACGAACGGGGCGCGTTACGCCACGGGAGAGGAAAAGTGCGGTGGCGAGTGTGAGAGAGAGAGAGTGTCAACAGAGGCAAGGCCGAGCGGGAAGAACGCGTCATTTGTAACGAGCGGCCGATAGACGTTATCGGCGGGGGCGTGGTGGGCGCGTGGGCGCGGAGCTGGAGGAGAATGCCAGGAAGGAGAAGAGAGGGCCGCGCGGGGCACTGTAGGGCCGCCAAGGGCCCCGATTGTACTCCACTTTCTCTCGCAGAATCTGCTCCGCAGTGCGCCCGCGGACCCGGCTCGGCTCGGTCCGGCTCGGCTCGGCCCGGCTGTGCGCTCATTAGCTACGATATTGTTCCCCGTCCCGCACACACCTTTTCTCTCCTCCGGCCGACTTAATCAACCGCGAACTTGTCGCCTCATTACGACGAGCTAGATTGACGTTAAATTGCGACGGCGTTGTCCGAAATCCGAAATCGTGACCCCAAGGCGGTCTACCCGGCGCCCCGTGGCCGAGGACGGCCGGGGCGGGCCGCCTGGCGGGTAGGCAACCGCCGCACACCGCTGCGCTGCATCCGAGAAGTTGCCTACCTCGCAGGCGCTACCTCGCCAGTCCTTGTCTTTTTTCAAGCGCGTTTCACCCGCCATTCCGGCATAACAACTCCGATGCGCGGACGAAAACGACGAGCGAACGGCGGGCATCAAACAAAGCCAGCCTTTTCCGCAAAAAAAAAAAAAAGAGCCGTCCTCCGACCGACACTTTTTCCTATTTTCATCGTTATTTTCGTTTCACACGGACTCGCGCCGCGTACACGTGCGTTTTCTCGACCAGACTCTTATTTTCATCATTGTCTTTTTTTACACGCGTCTCTCTCTCTCTCTCTCTCTCTCTCTCCAGTGCAAGGGCGGTGCGAGGTAGGAGAAGGCAGCCCACCGTGTGCGAACGCTAAACGAGCCCTACGCTGTCGGCACACGGTCCATTAGGCCTCGAGTTCAATTTTAGTTCCCTTTCCCCTGAAAAACAAACCGTCGGCGAAATTGTTCTCGGCAGCGCGCAAGGACCGCGACGGCAGAGTCCCCTTGACGCCTCCAAAAGCCGGGCGGCCGGGCGAGAAGTTCACAAACCTCGGGCCGGAAGCCAGCGTGGCGTGAATCTCTCTCTCTCTCTCTCTCTCTCTCTCTCTCTCTCTCTCTGTGTGTGTGTGTGTGTAGCACGCGTGTGGGCAGTATTGGGGCAGAGATCGCCGCCGTGAACCCACGAAACCAACTCATTCCGAGGCGCAAGCTGGAAACCGCACACGCACTCTCACACACACACATACGCGTACGCACGCACACACACACACATGCGTCTTCCCACCCGGCTGCAGTAGGGGAGGGGGGATTTTTATTATGATTAGCTAAACAAGCTTTTGCGCGAGGAATTCCTCCCCCCCCCCTTCTCTTTTCTTATCGGTGATCTACATGGGGAGGTCGTTCACATCGCGCCGCGCCCTGCACTGTTCAAAGAGTCTTCGTCATTGAACCACCACTCCCTTAATGTGTGTGTGTGTGTGTGTTTTAGCGACCGATAGCCCCATCGGCAAGGCACTTGCGGCACCAATAACAGAAGCCATGCTGTGTGCATCAGGCCATCAAGCCGATAACACCACAGTAGTTCTGACACTGTCCAATTTTATAATATTTTTTGTAAATTTTTATTTTAAAAAATTGGTTATGGCGGTAAGTTACCCGCGGGCCGCATAGTAATGCACTCACAAAACTCCGAAGGTGTCTGCACCGCAAGTAGTAAAAAGGCTGTCGTGGTCTCTTTCTGTTCTCTCCTGACGCGTTTGGGACTAGGCACGGCGCGTGGTTTGATTTACAGGTTACGGCAGGCCGGCAGTGCGGCGGGCAAGGTGTCTTACAGCGTACCGCCGCCGTGCTTACGGCATAATGCGACCTCACTGCCTGCATGGCCTGCACGGCCTGCACGGCTGCATGGCCCCTGCGCGCACATAAACAGCGCGCATCGCGTTCACTAACGTGTGTGCGTGTGTGCGTGTGTGTGTGTGTGTGTGTTCGTGTGTGTGTTCAGAACGGCATACCAGTGGACAGTGGGCAAGGCAACGGCGCACCGGAAAAAAAGACCTGATATCCTATGCTGAAAAACGGGGTTCCCAAATCCAAGTTCCGAATCGTTTTGCGCAAATGTGGGCGGAACGGCACAGGGTGTTTTGAGTTGTGCCGGAGCCACCCTGTCGCGCCGAGTGTGTGTTTGCACGGGGTGGCGAGCAAGTGGCAATAAACGTCGGCCGGCATCACCGCGGCGCGAGCGGCGGGAGCGGGAGGGACAGCGTCGCTTCGTCTCGCTCGCACTGGCGGGGCGTCGCCGCGTCGCGTACAGGGGTGCGAGAGAGACGGGGCAGGGCCCTTGGCAGCATCGGCAGGCCTCGGCAGGGCCTAGCCTGGCGGATGACAAACTCTTTATGGTTTTACGGTCACATTGAATGGTCGTCCGCCGTGTTGTGTGGAGGCACTGCACTGTAGGGACGTTCGGCACTGCGAGGCACGGCACTGCAGGGCACGGCCTGGCGTACGGGAACGCATAAACACCGCCTTTACGGCATTCTGCACCCCGGCCTGACAGGCCTAACTGAATATTAAGCGCGATGCACCGCCGGGGACGGCCGGGGACGCCCCGCGAGAGCGAGAGAGAGGAACCATCACTCTTCCGGCCGGCCGACTGCCGCTGCAGGAGCGCGGCGGAAAAATGGAGGCCGGTTCGGCCCTAGTGCGATATCGGTCCTGGCCGAACTGGTTCCGTGTCTCTGCCAGCCTCTGCCGGCCTGGCGGGCATTCCGGCCGTACGACTCACTCCCGGGCAGGGAGGGGAGGGGAGGGGAGGGAAGGGGAGGGGAGGGTTTCGACCCAGCCGCGGCCTTAGACCAGCCAACCCGCGGGAGACTTTTTCAGACCGTCGAACCTGCCGGGCCTGCCGAGCGATTCTGGAGATCGGTTTGTCGCTCTGTCCCTCTCGCACCCTTAGGGGGAGCCCCATGAGTGCGAGAGGGACAGAGCGACTGGCGGCGGTTTGCCTCGATTTGCATAACGAAGCTAAGCACCGCCACCCCACGCCCACGACGGATTCGTCGCGGCCGCGGCCATCAACGCGTTGCAGGCCGTGATGGTGATCGCATCGGCGAGGATCGCAGCCAGGATAGCATCGATGCCGGAGTCTTGGAGGGGCCGCGTCGCCGTCGGCACGCCGACGGCCAGGTCCGCACCGCGAGGACGTTGCACCTTGAGTGCGCCCCGCCGCCCCGCCCCGCCCCGCCCCGCCCCGCCCCGCGCCCGGCGCGCCGCGAGGTCCGCGAGGCCGGGGAGGGGAGGCGCGGCCGGGCGCGGCGTGTACTCCGTGGTGCCCGTCGAGGAGTGCAGCGGGAGGAAGAGGGAGTCCCGGGGGAAGGGGGCAAAGGACATTGCTCTGGCAGTTTACCGCTGGCTGCCGCGCTCGAGTCGACCACGCCTCGCCGCGCCGCGGGACGCGCGGGACCCGCCCTTGTCAAATCCATACCCCTCGCCTCGCTGCCGGCTAGAAAGGCGAGCGACCGCCTCGGGGCCGGGGTTCGATCCCCGTCGGAGGCAGAGCGACTTTTAGTACCGACTTTGCCTTTTCGGATACCTCTGGGTTTGTCAGTCAGACTATATCCAGAAGAGGCGCTAAGGTTCCTGCGCACTCGCGCAGAGCGCTCCGGTGCGTTAATTCCGAACCCCCTCATCCGCGTCCCACTCGCGGTCCCGCTCCACTCACACTCACAGATTACAGCGCAAAAACGAGCTCCTCAGCGCGAACGGGATCGAAGACGACCCTCCAGGGTTGGAGGAGCAGGGCGAGCAGGGCAGGTCGAGGCCGCTGCATGGAAACTTGACGAAATGGCCAATCATGCCCCCTCCCCCTCCCACGGTTATGGTCACTTAACATGTACTCTTGGCACTGGACCTAACGTCCCTTCTCCCCCCTCCTCCCCCCGCCCCCGCAGCACAAACACGTTCGCAGCGGGGCGCTGCACTGCCCGACGGGCCCGACGGGCCGCGAGGCACGACAAAAACTTGCAGATCGGCTTATGAGGGACAGGGCCGTGTCTGTGTCTCTAGCGGTGCGGGCACAGGCAGCGCGATGAAGGATGGATCAAAGAGTGAGAAATGGACACGCGACGTGCGCGCGCGCCACACACACACACACACACACACACGACGTCTATTTGAATCGATTTCAAACCTTACAGCCCGACGGCGGGAGTGAAGCTGGACGTGCCTCATTAAGTCTCGGGCGCCCTTCACCCCCCCCCCTCCCCCGCATGGATCTCTTAGCGACTTTTACGGTAACTGGGCACGGCCCAGCATCCCAAGCAGTGCCGGGGCTGCTTCCTAGAACGCCACAAGGACGGCCCGGGGTTGAATCTGAATCTGGAGGTCCTGCTGCCGCTGCTGCTCCGCGACGGATAGACGAAAATCAATAACTAGGTTCCAAGTTAGGGGTGCCAACTTCGCTTAGCTAGGGCTACCGTCTGGACGAAGGTGGTCCGCGAGACGAGTGGCAACCCGCGCGGTCGTCGGAAACCCGAACCCCTTGGCGGGAGACACTCCGCGACGCCACGGCGACGCCGCGACCGGACGACGAGCTCCTCGAGGGCCTCCTTTGTGGCGACCGGCGGAGCGGCGGAGCGGCAGAGCTCCGGCCGGACTCCAGCGTGCGGGTCTCCAAGCCTTGTGTGCAAATGAAAAGGGCAAGTCGTGCCGCGGGGCGGGGTGAGGCGGGGCGGGGCGGGGGCGGGGGGGCGGGCGGGCGGGGCGGGGCGGGGCGGCACAGAGAGGTAATGACCAGGGCCTGGTGCACGGGGCCACCCCGGGGCCACGGGGGCTCTCAATCTAGGGGGACTTGAAGGAGCGCGCCGCCGTCGCCGTGGATCGCGAGGGAGTCCCTCCCCTCCCCCTCCCCCTCCTTCCCTCCCCGGCGTGGCTCTGCCGGCTTTGCATCGAGCGGCGCTGCACGGCGGAAAGGAGACACGTCGGGGGCCGTCCGTAAACACACCAACGGTGGGACTCGTCCCCTCCACACAATTCGGTCTGCTCTACTCACCCTGGCAGTGGAATCCATCGCCCTGGTATCCCGGGAAGCAGGTACACGAGAAGCTGCCGAGCGTGTTGGTGCAGTGAGCGAACACGTCGCACGGCCGGTCCTTGCACTCGTTCTCGTCTGCAACACATCATCAGTGTCACAGGTTCAGCAACATTCTCCTTCCTTCTGCTAATTTTTTTTTTATTTTCAACGAAAAAATAAAGAGTACAGCAGTAGTACGTCTCGTAAAAGAGGAGCGACAAGGGGCATAAAAAAATGCCGGCTTGATGAGCGAAAAATTCAGCGACGAAGATGCTGCACTGGGGAAGTAAAATAAAATAATAAAAAAATAATAAACTCACCCGGCACTTCGCAGCCGCAGCCACCGTACCCGTCGTTGCAATGGCACTGGTGGTCCAAGCACGCTCCGTGCTGGCACCGCTTACCGTCGTCCTTGCCACAGTCAGCTGCAACAAACAAACAAAATGAATTAAATTTATTTTTAAAAAAATTCATTTGTTTTACAAATGAAAAATGTGGTGCCGGCTCTTGTTGCAAATATAATTGCAATAAAAATGAAACGAAAAAATCCCCAAGTTGACTTGGCAGAGTAGGCGGAGGGCCGAAACCGGAAACACGAGCGCGAAAGTGCGAGGAGGAATGCGATAAAGATCGTTTAACGCTCTGCATCTTCGTTGCAGTATGCACGCGCCGGGCACCGAGGAAAAAATAAAAATAAAAGAGAACTGCGGGAAAAAGAGGCAAAGGACGAAAAGCGCGAAGGCCGCGCGCCACATTGTGCATCAGGACGTCTCGGCCGATCGGCCGGGCACAATCACCAGTGCCACCACATTGGAAAAATAAAAAATAAAATGCTGAAACGAAAAACTGCACAAGTGCAAAAAATAAAGTGGTTCCCAAAATGTTGTATTGCTTCGTAATAGCACGTCGTAGACCACGCATGCCAACCTGACTACGTTACTAAGTACAGTTCTACTCCGGTGCACCCTAGGCCAACCTGCTCTCGTCTGCCAATCAGGCCGTCTGCCTGTCTGTCTGCCTGCCGATCCGTCCGCTCGCCCACTAATAACGCTTCCGGCCCCACGCGACGGGCGCCGCCGGACAGTCTGTCTCTCTCGCACTTGTACGGAGCGCGCCACGAGTGCGAGAGAGACAGTGTGCAAGCATTGGCAGTCGCGCTGCGGACGAGGCGGACGCCGCACCGTACATGCGGCTGAGCCTCATACTACTCTCTCAAAATTACAGCCAGTTTTGAAAAAATACATTTCTTGAAAATGAGCAACAATTACAAATGAGCTACACCGGAGGAAAAATACAAAGTTCGAAATGTGAGACTTGAATTTTTGAGCCACATTATTTTTTTTCAACAGTAACCTTCTGCTTTAATCTAAAGGGACCTTTGCGAGCAGTCGGCGTGCATCTCATTCAGGGGCTTCTCATTAGCCAGTGCACCTGCATGCACTGCATCCGATGCACTACTGCATCCCGCCGCCATCCTCTCTCTCTCTCTCTCTCTCTCTCTCTCTCTCTCTCTCTCTCTCTCTCTCTCTCTCTCACTGGGGCGTTCCGTAGGGCAGGAGCGAGACAGAGAGAGACAGAGAGAGAGAGGGAGGCAGTCTTGGGAAGGAACATCAGCTCTTCAGGCAGCACCGAGGCCAGCGCGAAAACACTGCTGGCAGTCCTTCCCGTCACAGTGTACCAGAGTATACCTCTACCGGACACACAGGCGCGGTAGGTTAACTGTAGCCTTTTCCGCCACTGTTCAGACAACGGCGAGTCGGACAAAACTCTGGCCACCTCACGGACTCGGCTGATACAAAACGGCCGACACGTAACGCACTTTGTTGTTGTTGTTGTTTTTGTCTTTACTCGGCGTGCGATCAAAAATAATGCCGGTGCTTTGGCTTGAGAAGGACGAAAGGTGTCGGGAGGGGGGGGGCGTAGCACATGTCCTTTTCCAGAGAGAGAGAGAGAGAGAGAGAGAGAGAGAGAGACGCACGGCGAAGCAGACCGCGGAAAGCGCGACCCTTGACCTTCGTGCAGTGACGGCGCCGCAACGCACTCACACAACGCGGCATGGAAAATCTTTAAGTGCGGGGAAATTTTTCTGATCCGCAGCACCGAAACCTTCCAGTGTACCCCCCGCCCCACCCCACCCCGCCGCGGTTAATTGGAGAAGGAGCAGCAGCAGATTAATAGCTCGAGATAACTCGTTATTCGCTTATCATTTCTTTTCCATCCTCTCTTTTTCCCTTCTTGATCCGTAGTGTGTGCGTGTACGTAGGGCCTCTCGTTGCGACTCGGCCGGCCCTAACTGTTGTTTTGGTCTCCGCGCTCCGCCAAGCGGGCCCTGTGCCCTGGGCTTGGGCCCTGCTCGCCCGGCCAGCCCTTTGGGCCTGCCACTGGCCCCACTGGCCCACACGGTCGAGTGCGGATCCTTCCTCACGATAGGCGCCAAACTTGCCTCTCTTTTATCGCCCGGCCCGTCCCTCCCCGCGGAACGAATGCCAAACCCCCGGCAGCCCAAAAACGCAGCAACCGCGCCCCACCGCCGCCACAGTTGGGGCCTTTTACTCCGGCCGGACACACTGTAAACTTGGCGAAACGACCGGCGTGCATTTTCGGCGACCGCAGCGCCGCGTGGGAAGCTGCGGCTAGATTTATTGGGCACGCCGGCCAGGGCGCGGGCTGCGGGTTCGATCCCCGGCGAAGCCGGATCGCAAAATGAGAGCCTTGAATTTCCTCCTTTGTGCCTTCCCCCTGATTTGCGTGTGTAATGAAGGACGTGACGCAACGCGGGGCGCGGCAAGTCGCACACAGTTTACAACGACGCCGAACAAAAACGAGAAAAAGCGGGGCGGGCGGGGGGATTCGAACCCAGGAACAATGCGTCGGATTCGTGGCGTCATCCCGCAGCTCAGCTCCCATGCCGCGCCTCCGGGTAATTATTTTCCCACTAAAGCAAACCAAAATCCCGATGGCGGCGCCGATAAAGCCGAGGAGCGCGATGAGCCGGCGGCACGTCTGGGAGTGACGGACGGACGGAATGACCGACTGACTGGAAGTGACTTAGAGTGACGGACGAAGAGACCGACTCGGTAAAAGTGAGTGACGACGGACAGTGTGACGGACAGAGTGACCGAATCAGTAAAAGTGACTTGAAGTAGTGACGGACAAAGTCACCGTGACTCAGAGTGACTTAAAGTGACGGACACAGTGACGGACACAGTGACACGAAGACGCCCGAGTGACGAGGCCGCCCAAATGTAACGCGCGCCGCGGGATTCCTCCTGCCGAGAGCGTTAAAGGGCACTGTCCTCTCCCAGCGCGAGGCGCGCGAGGCGCACAGAACCGGGGAGAAGCAGAAAATAAATACACGGGCAAAAAAAAGGATGAAAGACGCGAGATTCCCTGTCCCCTTCGCCTAATTGTAGTGAGTCTCGTCATTTGCAGGCCTGCCCCATTACGGTCACGCGCGTCAGTGTGTGTAGGTGTGTCGCTGTGTGTGTGTGTGTGTGCGTGCTCACGCCGAAAAATTAGCCGCGGGACGTGGCGCCGAGTGCTGCACAGTGTGGTGCACAGTGTGCCCGGCCGGCCGTGCAGTCGGCCGGCCAGCGGCGTAGCCACACGCTGCCTTTCCAGACGATGCCCCTATGGACGCAGTCTCTTCAGACCTCCAGGCATTCCCTCTCTAAACGTTGCATCTCCAGACGATACCTCTCTAAACGTAGCCTCTCCAGGCGTGCCTACGCTGCCTCTCTAGACGCTGCCTCTCCAGGCGATGCCTCTCCAGACCGTTGCCTCTCCAGGCGATATCCCTCTAAACGTTGCCCCTCCAGGCGTTGCCTCTCCAGACGCTGCCTCTCCAGGCGTTGCCGCTCCAGACGCTGCCTCTCCAGGCGTTGCCTCTCCAGACGCTGCCTCTCCAGGCGTTGCCTCTCCAGACGCTGCCTCTCCAGGCGTGGCCCGCCGCAGCATATGGCGGGATAGCAGTGGCGTGCTGGCAGCCAGCGAAGCGGATCGGCATCGGGGCTCGACGGCGCTGCGCCCCGCCGACGCCGTCCACGCGGTGAGGCCTGCAGCCAAGGTTGCCCCCACGGTGCCTTCACCTTGAGAGAGACCGTCATGGGGAACCCCTCTGTCCGAAATCGCGTGCGCCGTCTCCAGCGTCTTCGCCGTCCTGTTCGTGGACGAGCCGCGACCTCGCACACCTCCGCGGCGCCCCGCGAGTGCGAGCGAGACAGAGCGACGCGTTGGGAACCACCCCACCCACGCGCGTCCACGCCGTCACAAAACCGCACTCAAAGGCCTAGCGGGACGGCTGTCCCTAGACGGGCGTTAGGCGGTTCGATTCGAAAATAAAACGCCGTGTTTATCTTTGAGTCGAAAACAGAAACGTCTTGCCAGTGTCGTATACTTGTCGCGACTAAAAATCGGAAGTTCCGTTGCAGCTGGGTTAGTGCATCTCCACTCTGCGCATTTCCTTTACGGGGTCGATAGTCCGAGGACCGGATTGACCTACACGCAGACGGGCAGGCAGACAGACAGGCAGACAGACAGACAGATAGACAGGCAGATGGACAGACAGACAAACGCGCTAAGTGCAGGCCACGCACTGCATGCCACTTTGGGCCGGGGCCAAAATAAAATGGACGCGCCGCCGTGCCTCGTCCGTGCCGCCGTGAGCGTCTTAAAGGCGGCTGGAATGACTCGGACGCCTCTCCACACAGCGAGAAGAAAAAAAACTGTCTCACAAATCCTATTAAACGTCGTTCGGGCCCCAATAAAAGGCTTGTAAGCCCAAGCGACTACCGAACGCACGCACGCCGACAGGCCGGGCCCAGCCGAAGGTTAAGCATTCCTCCGATTTCGGATCCATTTTATTCGAATGAAGACTATAAACGCGTCAGGGGTCCTTAAAGGCGCTTCAGTCAGCGTCGCAGGGATAATTTTACAGGTCCCAGCCGACGAAAATACTGCGGGGCACCTTTCCTGGAGAGTACCCCGCACGCGGAATCGACAAAAAATTAAAATACATTTCCCACAGGGTACCCCCACACACACGAATAGGTCATAAACGCGAGCGACTCTGAAAGAATGACGCTCCAGTCTCGTCTGCTTCAACGATTCCCAAGATATCTGGTTTCAGATGCCTAATCCCTGACGGGGTGGCGCGAAAAAAAAAGCAAAAATAAAACTCGAAGCCAAGAGAAATATAAAAAAGTCACACTTACTTGAGCATTTCAGTTCCGATCGGAGCTCGTCTGAGCCCCGAAAACAGTCTGGTCGTCCATCACATAATTTGGAAACTTCGTATAATTGTAAAACATCTGTAGATTCGTTGACCTGACACCCGAAGTACCCGTCCTCCAGGTTCAGGAAAAAGATTTCTCTCTTGATGCCGAATCCAATTCCTTGTGATAAGACCTGCAACACAAGAGCACAGCGCGCATTAGGACTGATGACTTCGTGCACAATATCTTCCTCCATCGTTAACTCCCTCTCACTCACACTCACACCACCACCACACCGCCACCCACACTGCCGGGTTTCAACACAGCTAATCTGGCCAGGTGACTAATGCCCCCCCCCCCCCCCCCGAGACAAAAGATCCAGATTGGAGCCGCTGTTCCATAGAGCGCGCCGCCCGCGAACTCGAGGGTAGGCAAACCCGCCCGGCACGCTTGGCTCGTTGGAGGGCTCCTGCCGCAACGGTCGCCGGGGGGCTCCCACCTCGTCGGTCGCTCCGGGCGCTAAGCAGCGCCCCTGAAAGTGTGCCTAGTGACATGGAGATAGAAAGATAAGTAGGGAGGCCCACTAATTGGGGCAAAACGAGTGTCGGACGACGCGCGGGAGCAGAGTGGCGGCAGCGCGGCGACAAAGAAATAATACATTTACCGCCGTAATTAGAGAGAGACAGAGGAAAAAGAGGGCCGCGTACCGTGAGCCACGTCGCACGGCAAGAAGAAGAGCGAGGAGAAGAGGCGAAAAACAAGAACAAGAAAAACAACAACCCCGTCTGAGCAAGATGCCATATAGCAGCTGACAAGCCGAGTGCGTCAAGTGCATCGCCGTGTCATAACTCGCCGGGAGGAATAGAGAGAGAAATGGGAATGGAGCGAGGAAGGGGGCCGGCAGCCAGCGCCTTATGATTACAAGTTTGGATCCAAAATGATGCATTTCGTGGGGAAGACCGGGACGGCTCCAGGTTGAACGGCCGTTCGCCGCCAAACCAGTCGGCTTGCCAGTCGGCCACGATTCACTAGCGCTCGCCCAGTCAGCCGGCCCGGCCCGGCCCGGCCCGCTGGACGTAATTCAGACATGATTGCCGACGGAGAGGAACGAGATTCATCGCGGCGCGGAGGAGGCAGTGCAAGGCGGAAAAAGAAGTGTGCAAGGCGGTGCACGAAATCGCCCGGCACTGCAAGCGACGTGTTAACGGGACGACCCTTGTCCAACAAAGGCGACGTCGGCCACGGCGACGCGATGCCAGATAGGAGCCACCGATGCCATCTTGGCGCGTCGCGGCGTGGGACGGGGCGCGGCGGGCTCTGAAATATCGTCCATCGTCCGCGGCCGTATGAGACGAAAACGGTCTGCTTAGCATAGACAACAACGGCCTGGGAGAGCGGCGGACCTAGCGCCACGCACCGCTAGATTTTTCATCCGATTGGCGAAGGCCGGCCGGCAGCGTGTCGCCACTGTAAACATACCCGCGAGTCGTGCGGACAGAGCACTGCGTGGAGCGGGGCCCTGGTGCGCTCTGCAGACTGAGAGCAGTTTTCGTCGCTCTGTTTCTCTCGCACCTAAAGGGGGCGCTCGCGAGTGCGAGAGAGGCAGAGCGGCGGAAACGACTCTCGGAATGAGTCTGCTGAGGCCGACGGGCGTGACACGCCTCTGGCCTAGGCGGCCCGGGCGACGCCGGCGGCACTCCCAGAGGAGGACCGCAACTCCCAGCCCGCGGCCGCACAGTGAAGGTGCCTCCGGGCGCGGCGCGCTGCGGCGGCGACGCGGCGTTTGTTATTCCGTTTGCTGTTTGCATAACCCGAAAGTGAAAGCATTCATTACCGGCCCTGATCGGGACGAAGTTATGACAACGAGGAAAAAATTAAAAGGCCGTAAAAAGGGACGATTGGCGGCAGAAGAGCCCCGCGCACGCAAGGCGCTGTTGTTTGGACCGACCCGGACGGGGTTCGGGACGGTACCCGTCTGTCTGTCTGTCCGTCCGTCCGTCCGCCCTCGCCACCAAACTGGTTCCGATCGAGTCAATATTTTGTCAATCTGCTCGTCTTCATCAAGCCACGCTAATTCGGCTAATCGGCCGTGCAGCCTTTAATCAAGGGCCTTGCCGGGCGAGCGGGCGACGCGAGGGCCGTTAGGAGGGACACCTCGCGGTGGAACGACCTCGTTCCCGACAACCTTCGTGGAACTACTCGTTCCCTGGCGCTGGAACAGCCCAGGGAACAGCTAGGCGCACGTTGGGAACACGACGGAAGCGTTTAGCTGGGGCCAGCGGGCCCGCGGACTGCACTACGGGACGGGCGTTGTCGTCCACCGGACCGGCACACTGAGAGTCGTTTTCGTCGCTCCGTCCGTCTCCGTCGCACTCACGGGGCGTCGCGTGCGGGTGCGAGAGAGGCGGAGCGGCGCAAACGACTCTCGGCATCAGTCTGCGGAGTGGAGATGGCAACGTCCCGGGCGGTAAAACACTCGGCCGAAACACTCGGACGCGCTCATTTTTCCACCGCCTTCGCGTTTCGCGGCGTTTCGCGCTTCGCACGGCGGAGGCAGTCCCGACGATGAAGTCGTCTCGACTTTCGTGCGCGGCCAGCCAACGGCCAGCCAACGGCCAGCCAACGGCCAGCAGCACAAATATTATTCATTTTCCGTGCGATTCCCGCGACCGATAAGACCACCGCCACTACCCCGGCAGCAGCGCCGTAAAAAGACCTTCCACTGGGAAACCTAATATATTTAATGGTGGGGCGTCAGGGTGCGCCGTTTATTTTTTTTTTAGGAAATTGGCCGGGAAATCGGAGAAGCGCGTGTGCACGTATGGTCGCAACCCGACCGACCGGGTGTGCCGGGGAATAGAAGGAACCGACTTTGGCGGCCCTTGAGTAGCTAATGTGAGTGTGTGTGTGTGTGTGTGTGTGTGTGTGTGTGCGTGTGCACGGTGCGGGTCCGGCCAGGTGACGGCGGCGGCGACCAGAGAGGCCTTGGACTGAATGCATACAGGCGGCTCTTAGCGGTCGCTTCGGTCCATTCCAAGTCCATTCCGATCGACCGGGACATCTGCTCCGGGATCATCGCCAAGGGCAAGTGGGTGCTGGCGGCACTCCGTCTCTCTCGCACCCACACGGGACGGCCCACGAGTGCGAGAGAGACAGAGCGACAAACGGCCCACTGTGCGCCCGGTACGCGCGGTGCGCCATAGCGGGAGCTGCGAGAAGTCAGACGCCGCCCCGGGGTGTATGTACGCTGTAAGGGGGAGGGGGGGGGGCTCGTGACGGAGGTGACGGAGCCGGCGCGGGTGTGGCGCTGCATATCAAGCAGCAGCAGCGGGGCGCGGCGGGCTGGTGGCGACACACGCACTCCCACTCACCGGCTCGAAAAAACCCCGGCAGGCGGGGGAAGGGGAGGGGGGGGGGGCAACGCGCGGAGTGCCTGGCCCGCTGCAGCCACGCGCGGCAGGGGGCACCCGAGGAATCCCATTCCGGCAGTGAGGACCGCGCCTAGCGACGCCTAGCGACGCCCAGCCACGTCGGTGTGAATCGGCCGGGCCCACCTGACGCGGCCAGCCCCATCCCAATCACGCAGCCAATTAAAACCAGCAGACTGATTCCGAGAGTCGTTTTCGTCGCTCTGGCTCCCTCGCACCCGTACGGGACGCCCCGTGAGCGCGAGAGAGGCAGAACGACGACTCTCGGAGTCAGTGTGCCGGTCGGCATGCGTACGAAGACAAGGCCTCGACGAAGCCAATCGAGTGTGAACGACCGGGGCGACACCCGCTGCTACACTTTCACTGATCGCTCGCACTTTCGTCCATTGTGAAGCACGAGGCCCTGCAGCGGGCGGGCCGGGCTGGCTGACATTCATTGAGGGTGTCCCGTCGACGGGTCCACAGGGCCAGCAGCCGGGCGGTGGGGCGGCGCGGCGGTGCACCCGGCCCGGATGGGGCATCTCATCACGCCTTACTTGGAAAAACGAAAGTGGCCCGCCGCGGGGCAGCCGGGCAGGCAGGCAGGCAGGCCCAGCGCAGTGGCCCGCTTTGGACCGCAGCGAGGCAGCCCTGACCCGGCCCAACCCGCACTGCCAGGCACACCGTATGCACACACTCACTCACTCACTCACTCACTCACTCACTCACTCACTCACTCACTCACTCACTCACTCACTCACTCACTCACTCACTCACTCACTCACTCACTCACTCACTCACTCACTCACTCACTCACACCGGAAGTGGAGACAACAAGGGAGAAGGGAAATCGTACGGCGTTCACGATTTTGAGGGCTCTCACAGTAACGATGAGAGGAGAGAGAGAGAGAGAGAGAGAGAGAGAGAGAGAGAGAGAGAGAGAGAGAGCAGGAGGCTATAAATGAAGTGAGAAAGCAATATATTCAAATGGCGCTATCCGGGAAGTGTCAACCACTAACGGGAGAGCGAGCGAGGCAGCACAATGCAAATCGATTGAATATTATTTCGGCCGCAGAGTGGGGCCTCACGCACCGCGCCACAAACGAGGGCAGTAATAAATAATAACAATCACAAATTGCAAAGTCGCAATCAGATGCTGTCTCTCTCTCTCCCTCCTTCCCTCCCGGTCGTGGCCGGCATGTCATGATTGTTTGGCCTGTTCTAGAGGAATGGTACAGAGCCGCACGGTCACGACCGGGTATCTCAGAAAGAGAGCGAGAGAGAAAGATAGACCCTCGCCGGAGGAGAGAGGGAGAGAGAGGGGGGCAGGCGAAGGACACGGCTCCAGCTGGATGACGCCCGATAGGTATAATGAACTACACTGGAGTCTGACATCTCACTCCGTCTCCGCTGCACCCACGCCCAACTTAACTGCTGCAACAAGTCCGGGACATTCCGTCTGCCCGTCCGTCCGTCCGCCGGCCTGTCCGTCGGCATGACATGTGCCATCCCAGAGGCATCACCGTCTCCACAAAGGGCTACAGGCTGCTCTCTCTCTCTCTCCCTCCCTCTCTGCGCCCAAAGGAGCGCTGGGATGTGTAGTGCGTGTGATCCGACTGCAACACAGTGTGCCATACTGCCTGTACACTGTGCGACAAGACACGGGGGCGTTCCCACACACGCACGCGCGCCCACGCACACACACACACACACACACACACACACACACGCGCATAATGACAGCGGAAGGTTACGAGGTCGCGGCGTAGGACATGCAGAGCCGCGG